TTCCCCGCCCATCATGCGATCCAACTGGAGATACCAGAGCGAATTGTCCACTGATTATTCTCTCAATTGTTCGCCAGGCCGGTAACTGCTGGCAAAGCCTGTGCTCTGAGCATTGCTCCACGTTGACCGCTCCACTGACAGACCGCCGGCTCACCGTAGAGGTATTTGAACTGTCGGCCTTTAAACTCGTGCGGACCGCATCGAGGAACGGACCATATGTGGAGGCTGTTCGGGCCGTATCCCGGACCGCTCACTCCATCTTTGCCATGCTTCAATCTGGAAGCAATACTGGGCAAACCTGGAGACCGGACGCTGATGAACAGCCATGGACTAGCTATTTTGGCAATTACGATGCGGCTCGGGATTTGAATTGGTCTCATGCTCGACGTGATACGCAGCTGGCTCACATGGCCTGCCTACGCCTCCCATTCTCGCCCCGGTCACCCGATATTACAGACTGGTCCGGGGTCTTCCACCTCGATGTATATCCGCGGCCCGTTGGTAACGGTCCGGGGCAGGCTTGTCCATGGACACCGGCTGCCGCAAGGGTCCGCCGAACACACCGTATGTTTATAGGGCTTGCTATGGCCTGTATACCGGTAGTTGAGCAGCTGTAGCCTGTAAGTAATTGCTGCCGTCCCACATGCAAATAAGTTGATGAACAGACTTTGAAATGAGGGTAGCGGTGGACCCTGGAACCCGTAATCGGTCATGGCGATGTTGATCCGAATAGCCTTTGAAGGGTAAAAGCCCGATCCATCAAAGAAGGGCATTTCTACCTTGGTATCGTGCGCTGTGCCTCCAAGCTGTAGTGGGTTTGGGCGACGCAGTTCGCCTCAGTTGTGATTGAAGACGTCAGGAATGTTTGAAGCGATTCAGAGCCTCACTTTCCAGGCTGGCGTGTAAATCCCAATGTCCAACTGGCGAGCCTGCTAGTTCAGGTAGATCAAGCAGCTTGCACAGTTTATGTCGGCGGTGGCAAACAAAGCTGATGATCCGATTCGACACAGTCATGATTTCAGACCAGGTTGGTTATGCCCATGTGTCTTTGAGCGGGGGATTTGTTTGACGAGCGTTCTCGGCGTACTTTGCCTACGATAGACGCCAGTGCAGGCGAGGTCGGTAAAATAACTTGACTGTAGATATGCCGTCTGATTGCGTGAGTTGCTATGCGTCGAGAGCAATCATGAGACAAGTGGCCTCAAATGTCGTCCCTTCTCCGTCACTGCGGGCCAATGGTCGAGTTTGGCATCGCATTGACATTGTTTACGACACCGGGTACATTCACAATGGTCAGGAAATGTCCCAGGCAACGTCTGTGGGGGAGAGGGTAGCATCGCTTTGGATGATGGAGGGTGTAGATGATAGGACCAGCCTATCACAACAGTGAGAGACGGCAAACCAACCTTATCACAAGCTTGCGTGAAAACCCTGCCTCTGTACCTGCAGATTAGTGCGTCTGTTCTTTGCAGTAGCGCATGTGCAGATGCAGACCGCCTGCAAGGTACAGAAACCATCACCAGTTCTGGCTGCGAGTGAGATCAAACACCAGAACTTTGACAATCCATCCAGACCACAATCTAGCTATACGCAGTGTCGTAGAAGAGCTCCTGGACTTGACTTTGTGAGTTGGGATGCGAGGAGCATCCTTTCGTTCATGAATAGTCTCCCTCAAGCAAATCTCATAATGGAGCAGGTCGTATGGGAAACAAAAGTCCTGATGACCGGTGTCAAGCACGCAAGCCACGCAAAGCACAGCGAGTCGGGCTAATGCGATCATACCGTCCCATGCATTGAAGACAGTGAAGGCTGGGAGATTAATCCGGGGTAAAATAATGGAGTCCGGCCGATGCTACCGAGAATGTCGAAGAAGTCTGTTTCGGGTCCGAGCGAGACCGTGGGCAGCGAGTCCAAAGTCGGCCGTGGGTGTGGAAGGAAGGCAAGCAAATGACTTCTAGAAGGCGGAAATCCGACCGGCAGCACTTCCGCCAACTGCTTCACCTCTGGAAGACTGGCCTCTGGGTGTGAGCGGGGACCCAAAAAGCCAGCCGTCAGCGGCCAGGCGAGCCAGGCTCCCAAGGTCCCCGGGCTAGCAGATACCTATCTAGGTTAGCCTTCATGTACTGTGTAGCAGGCGGTCAAGGCGGTGTGAAGATGGAACCTGGTCTGAAATACGAGGGTAGCAATTGGGGCTTTGGGGGTGCGCTTGATGAAGCGACTGGACTCGAAGTTGAAGTTTCTGTGAAGTTGTGGATGTGATGACGGCGTTGCTACCCACTGGTGCTTGCCTCGAAAATGGCATTTCAGAAGTTTGAAAGACTCGGAAGGCTTGAAAGGCGTGAAGGGCTTGCAGAAGCCTCGTGGTTTGCGAGGTAGGCTGTGGGCAAACCTCGGGGAATGTTTGGCATGATTGCCATGTTGATTGTCAGATTTGCAGTTTGAGGTCCGATTTTGAAGAATTTGAAATGCTGCTCGGGCGGATGGCCAGCAAGGTGCGCACATGCTTTGCGGTGCTGCTCCGAGTGCTGGGTGCCTGAGTTGTTTCTCTCGCTAGATTTGCATGTCGATCGCAGTCCCGGCGTCCCACCATTCCACTTGCAGAGGATTCGCGGGGTTGTTAGGGAAATGAACCTCTCTTTCCCATCCAGTCCGCCTCGCACACTCGCCGCCGATACCTTGAGAGGAAGTCGCGACTCACGAACCCTACCGTCCGGACCGGACCTCTGGCAAAGATCCAGAAGTCAGTTTCCCGTCAAACCCGTGTTCGCATCAGAACTTTTGGACAGCTCGAGTTTTGGTGGTGGGAGGAAAGTGCTAACACTGCAGTGCTGAATGGTCGACATGTGCAATCTCGAGTAAGATGCTGCTTCTGATTTGACGACACCAATCGAGTTTGCCACCGTGACTGCCCAGTAAAGTTAATAGCGTTGTGGTCCAATGTGATGGAAAACTGCCTGACACCACAATCATAAAAAATCAAAGACACGAGATGCGGAGGGCCGGCTACGTACCGCGCGGCGCTCACCTCTTTTTGTCACAATCACCGGCCTCAATTGGTGACGGCGCGTCTTGACTGGCGGCAGCAAATAGCAATACATTATCGACCGGGTGATGATGCATCGGAGGGGCAAGTCTGGCGAGCTATTCGTGACGGCCCCGTCGTCCGTGTCACTGCTGCTATGAGCCTGTGCTGCCGATACCCTCGAGATCCCGTAGTCGACGGTCACTACTGGTTCCCTCGTCGGTGCTTATGTGGCCACATCCGTCATCTCTGTCCATCATCACGCCCGATCAATATGCTGGGTTACAGCGTACCTGCGTGAGGTCTCCCGGTCGTTTCATGTGTTTTCCATCGCTGCGACCACTTGGGAACGGCGGCCGCGGGGGACAGTCTCTGTTTGGCTGCCAATCGCACACACCTTAGCGCTGAGACGTGCATTATCACTGCCCCGCGCGCGAGCATCAGGGTCGTCGTGGTTGCAGCATGAGGCGATTTTTAAATTTCAATTGAACCTCAAAAAGGTGCAAGAGCGTATGTCTCGAGTTTGGGTTTGCTTCTTCTGATGAGTGATGACGGATGGTTGATGCGTGGCCGGAAGGCAGACCCCGCTCAAATATAACAGACCGGGCAGCTACGGGGACGGAACCGGGTCGCAGCTGAGGGTCCATTTTGCGGGAATCCACACATCATATTTCAGGCACGCCGACCCGATTTGCTTTCAAGCGAAGCCAAATGAACGGGAGATCCGACGGCGGAGCAGCAGCACCGTCATTCTTTCTTTTGTGTACTTGTCACTCTGCCACAATCATCTCTGAAAAGTCTTCACGTAGCTATCACTTGATTCAACACATCTGTCAGAGGCAGCCATTTTAGCGCGGCAGCTGCTCAGTGACCATGCACCAAACAAAACACTTGCTTGAGTTTCAGCTACTGCGTATCAAAAAGTCGTAGAGTATAGGGCATGGTACATTACACTACGGCTTCATTGGTCTAGAGGTCATCAACCCAATCAACCTCAATTATCCCACCTCACCCCACCTCATCCACACCATCCGACACACGGCGACACCACCGCATCTCTGTGTCGTCGTCGCTGCTTCCTTGCTGGCCCGCCTTTTGCCCGCGTCCATCATTTCGCTGAAGCAGTGGCGGGGACAGGTGGGAGTTGTCTCGCAGGCCCTGGTGCTAGCAGTAGGTATCTTTGCCTGGCTCCCCGGCTCTGGCCTTGGGATCCGTATGGACCCATTAACCTAGCAGCCCATTTCCCTTCTCGCCCATTTTACTCCAGAGCTCTGTTACCGACAATACGACCCATGTATGGCTCCGGCCGGGATCATTCAGGCTCAAATTTCGGTAATCTACACAGTACAGGCCATGTTCCCAAGCCCTTGGGCCTTCTAGACAGAAGTGGTGGACGGCGACAACTTATTCGGCGTGGGATGAGCGTGATCCATCAGAAGCCCGTTGCGTGAGCGTTGTCGAGTGTCCTTCTCTTGGGCTTGACCGCAGAATCAAGAGGAGCCTTGACCTACCTGTACAGCTCTGCAGCTCTCTGCTACCACACAGTAATTCCTAGCTGCTCCACCAAGCTACACTTCTGCAGGCATCGTGAAGCTCACTGTCCAGACTGTGAAGATGCTCGCACCCCGGGTCTCGTCTTGCCACAACAACCCCCCAGTTACCGGAATACTCCCGTCTGCCGTTGGCTTGGACCCTATTTGCTCTGCTTGGAGGTACCATGCTAACCTATAAGGCCCTGTAGACCTGTGTCATGGCCAATCCCAGCTCCGTCTGGACCAATTCTCGGCCAGACAGCCAGACGCACAATCACCGTATTAAACACAGTGCGGATGCTCACGGTTCGCTGAGAATCGGACGAACTTGGGTGGGTGCTCATCTGAACTCATTGTGTACGCTTCGCTCCCAGTTGCCCGGATGAGGACGGGAACCCAGAGCCTGGTGAAACTGGAGCGACACAATCGTTGTAAACATCGGAGCCATGATGGCAACCACAGCAAGAAAAGCACGCACGTACTGGATGGGAGCCGAGCCTCTCAACGGGCTCTACGGCCTCCGTGCCTTCTCGTTGCTCAACCTCGGTCCTCACTCCGAGACAACCGGAGCAGTCAACACAGCGAACCAGGCCCTCAGCACCCGGACTGGAGGTGAGGTGACCGGCGCAGGTGGTGTGGTGGTGGTTCGGAGTGTGCGAGCACCACAGCGAGCTGCTGGCTTTCACTGGGGCCGCTCAATGTCGTCGGCGACACTAGAGAGCACTCGGGCCTGCAAGATCGCTGTTCACGGTCCACTGGGAAGCTTGGGTCGAGGTACCCGTGTTGTGGTTCGCTCTGTGGTACCCTTACTCAGGCCGCTGGAGGTGGTGCTGCTGCTTGCTCGAGTCCAGAATTAGAATAGTACCAGAAGTGGACTGGCGGCTGTGCCTTTCCTCTCATCCAGACAAGCTAGAGTCCACCCACACCCACCAGTCGTCTCTCATGTTGCCGTCCACCGTCCACCTCTCACCCCCAGACATGAGGACATGGGTCGGGTGGGCACGGTGGGTTCCTGAACTTCCCAGTCTGTCCAGTCCAAGGTGCCTGTCACCTCCAAGCGAGGCCAGCCAGTATGCATTCCGACTAGTGTCGAGTGTACGTAGGTACATGGCCCTCTGGTACGCACCCACATGTACACCTCCCAGCCAAAAGTGCGCATAGACCGTACCCGGACAGTACATCCCGGGTGGTGTGCTGGGCCCTGGTTGTCCTGGGGTGCGGTGTCGACCATCCCGGCTTGCCCAGTCTCACCAGTCGAAGCCGGTTCCTGTCCAGCGCCGTTGCATCGTCTTTTGCCCGCTGATCTCGGTGGGACTTACTTATCCTCCCAGGGTCCCCGTCTCCACGCTTCCTCTTCCTACTCTCGAGATCGGCATATCTTGTTCTTGGACGTGTGGTGTATTTATTCCTTTACTTATCGGTCTCTGCCCTCTTTTTTGGATTTCGATATTTTGGATAACACTCCTTCGTTTCCATCTCATATTTACATCACCACTTGGTCTCAGTCAATCACTTCACCATTGGCACCAGCTCGACGACAATTCAAGCTCTCGATCCGGTTTATGTACAACGACCTATTAATCTAGACTGCCAGCCTGTCTTTTTCCCGGAGGAAATCAGTCAACACCATCATTAGCCCTTGACGGCACGAAGCAATAGCAACAAGACGACGCGACATCTATATATACATACATATTCAACTACTTTAATATATAAAAACCCAAACGTCAAAGGCATCCATCGACCGCCTCAGTTACAAAAGCTACTACCTCTTACCTGGTTGGTACCAGCGCTTAACAACTTGGAAGGAACAAGAAGCTAACGGCAGGAACAGCACACTATAATAAAACAGTCAAGATGGAAGACATCATGGCCCAGCCCTTCATCTTCTACGAGTCAGACGCCAGCCCCGAGAGGCAACAACGGCAGCACATCTTCAACCCTTTCCCTACCAGATGAACATGCTCCCCGTTGTGCCCCCGGTGCCCTCGACGCCCATCTACTCCAGACGCAACTCGGGCTGCCTCCAGTCACCAATGCAGCACAAGCCGTTCCTCAACCTCGATGCCATCACTAGCATGCCTATTCCTCAGGTGCTCACGCCAATGGCTTCTCCCCAGCCCATTCACGCCAGACCCGCCATCAAGCTGCAAACCGAGATGGGCGATTATTGCGGCATGCCGCCTAGCCCTCCTCTGACGCGTTCCAACAGTGCCGCCAGCAGCCCACGCAGCTGTGACCTGCTCCAGACTCCGTGCAACCCAATGGTGTCGGGAATGGACGGCTTCGAGGTCAAGCCTGCTGGTCACGAAATGAAGCCCTACTCTCCTCCTCTTACGCCTGGTATGTATTTGTCTCCATTTTTTTGCGCTTCTATTTGAGTCTGTGCAGCACAATTGGAAAGAGAAGGAAGCGAACTGGGAAGTTGCAAGCTGGGCTCCGGTGGGTCGGGGTGGAAAGCGGTGACGGGATGAATGAAATGTTGGCTGCAACTAAAAATGCCGGGCCTGATAACGTGTTTCAAGAGGAAGCGGGATGTGGAGGCCGCTGCAGCAGGCACGACCGCGGCGGACGACTCGGATTGCGCAACTGCTGGTCCAAGCAATTTCGGGGGCTGAGCTGACCAGGAACCCCAAATTTTTAGTGTACCTTCCCGACCAGGCCCGCATCCAGGTTCCCATGCTCCCCTCCAATGACCTGAACCTTAACACGCCAAACACCACGGCCAGCGGCCTCCTTACTCCCACTCCCACCTACAGCACCTTGCTCTCGCCTGCCGCATCGCCGCTCGTCCAGCCGGCCTCCATCTTCCCGGTTCCCGTCGACGGCGTCTGCGATCCCCGCGAGCTTACCGTCGGCACTGTCAATTCCACCCTTGCTCCCGAGTACTTCCCCACCATCTACTCGCCCGACGAGGAGGACCGCGACTACTTCTCCCAAGGCATTGCCCCGCAGAGACTCGCTACCCCCTTCGACTACTCGTTCAACCCCCAGCTCACTGCTGGCCTCCCTGTCTTTGACATCCTCTCCGTCTTGACCGACATCGACTCGGAGGACGAGTCTCCCTTCACCAGCGGTGCTTGCTCCCTGGTTGAGAGCTCCCCAGTCATCAGTCAGCCGCTCGCGCTCCAGCTCCGGCGCTGCCTCGCTTGACCAGTCCAGCCTCTTCTGCGACGAGCTTGAGGACATGCACGACGTCGAGTCTGTTGAGGACGACTGCTGCTCTGACAACGAGTCCCGCCCCAGCAAGAGGGCAAGGCACGCACGCAAGCCCACCATGGACGTCGCTGCCGACAACCAGACCGCCAGCGCCGAGAAGCAGACCCAGGCCGGCGAGCACGCCCAGCAGGCTGCCAGCGCCGAGCCTGAGAGCAACAACACGTCCAACGCGACCACCGAATCCTCGGTCGAGGCCGGTGAGCAGGCGTCGACGCCCCTCCCCGTGCCTACCAACCGCCGCGGCCGCAAGCAGTCCTTGACCGAAGACCCTTCCAAGACCTTCAAGTGCGACATCTGCAACCGTCGTTTCCGCCGCCAGGAGCACCTCAAGCGCCACCACCGTTCTCTGCATACTCACGATAAGCCTTTCGAGTGCAACGAGTGCGGTAAGAAGTTCTCTCGCTCCGACAACTTGTCCCAGCATGCCCGTACGCACGGCTCTGGCTCGCTTGTCATGGACTTGATCAACGATCCCGAGCTCATGGGCATGCACCACCCCGGTTTCATCCATCATCCGATGATGGGTCCCGCCCTTACCAGCGAGGACTGCCACACTTTTGGCAAGGTTCTCTTCCAGGTTGCCTCCGAGGTTCCTGGCAGCGGCAGCGACTCTTCGGATGACGGCGAGTCCAACAAGAAGAAGCGGAGGAGAGGCGAGTGAATAGCCTTCACTGCGCTAATCTAAACCCCGCTTGTTCACTTCTTCGCACACTCTTCCCCATTAATGACGGTCTTCGCAGTGGAACGGAGCCGTCCTTATTGATGTTAGTCATGAACCATTACGAGATTCATTGGCCGAAATACCCCCAACCACAGGCGCTTTTAAGGATCAAAAGAATTATAGAGAGAGAGAGGGAATACTCCTCGATGTTTGTTACGAACGATGGATGCGCAATATCGGACGCCCATTCACCACACCTTTGGAAAAGGTTGGATTATAAAAGGGCGTTTATAGGTATTGCAAGATTCCCCCGGTCATTTTGGGTTTTGGTGGATTGGAGGAGAACAGCAGTCTCTCTGTCTCAAGGCGCACACAGCAAGTTGTTTTTTGGAGTCAATACTCCTTATTATTTTTGTTACAACTTCCGATGTTTTCAGACATTTTTAATCGTTCGGTGGACGGGGCAGCTGGCTCAGCCGTCTATCGCAACACTTTTCTTCATACTTTTCTTCTTCTTCTTCTTCTCTCAACAAAAAGGCTGTTGTCTCCCTCCTCCACATCATACTCATGGCATCCTCGGTTTGCAGGATATCGTCGTTAGCTTAGCATCAAAGACTCGGGCCAGGCGGTCTGGGAAAAGAATAAAGGCATACAAAATGCACATTGAAATAACTTTTGCTTCCTCTTGCATTCTTGGTGAATCTGAATCTCGCAGATTGAACAATATTTTGCTGGTCTTCACGTTTTAAAGGTTCTTGTGTCGAGCTCGTTAGTGCGCTCAGCATGACCTGTAGAGGTAGGTAGGGGAAATGCCCGCTGTTAATGCTGTACTTATCAGGTTGTCCTCGATACGCCAAAATTCCGGTTTCAGTAAGTATCTTGCTAGCGCAACGCTGCGCGAGTGTTATCCCCACTGGAGTTGCAGCGTGTGAATTTTTGATAGTTGACCAGACGATGGACAACAATTTATCAAAACATTATTGACAGTCACTCCAGGTGAGCATGTCTCTACCCCGTGCTCAGTCACAGTGCTAACTAGCCGTAGTGTCATCTGTATTGGTGGGGCCTATAGTAGAGCCACGATACCCTCCAAAGTCGCACATTCCAGGGTCTTGGGCTGTCGTCACCTCACCTGGTGATATCCGAGCACTGGACGGAAAGATCACGAGAAGAAGGGGCACCCGCGGAGTCAGATTTGTCGTCAAATCTCTGCCCATGATGGCCAATCCTGCTGCTGCTCCTTCCCCTCCAGCTCAAGGAGGAGAAGGGCTGAACGTCATCGCCCTCATCTCCGGCGGCAAAGACAGTTTCTTCTCCCTCCTCCACTGTCTCGCCCACGGCCATCGCGTGGTAGCACTGGCAAATCTACACCCACCAGAAACAAACCAACATGGAGAACTGGAACCGAATGATGAAGAAGAAGGGACGGCGGAAGAAGAGGAGGATCTGAACAGCTTCATGTACCAAACCGTCGGCCACCAAGTAATCCCCCTGTACGCCGAGGCCACAGGCATCCCGCTGTACCGTCAGCCCATTATCGGGGGAGCTACGCAGGGGAAGGATTACTCGCATTTTTCAGGGGTATCAGTATCAAAGATCGGACCAGGAGGATCAGGAGGATCTGAGGCTGCCGTCAAAGTCGAGAACAATGACAACACAGAAGAAGCAAAGGCAAAAGGGAAGGGCGATGATGAAACAGAATCCATGATCCCCCTCCTCCTCGCCATCAAGCGCGCCCACCCCGAAGCAAACGCCATCTGCGCCGGCGCCATCCTCAGCACCTACCAGCGCACCCGCGTCGAGTCGGTAGCTACGCGCTTGGGCTTGACGCCTTTGGCGTTCTTGTGGAAGTTCCCCTTTTTGCCCGTCCCGTCTCATTCTATGGATGCGGACGCGCAGCTGCTAGATGACATGGCTGTCGCAGGCATGGAGGCGCGCATTATCAAGGTCGCCAGCGGCGGGCTGGATGACTCGTTCCTCTGGACTAACGTCGCGGACCCGATGGGCAAGGCGAGGATCACGAGGAGCATGCGAAGGTTTGGCACGGCGTCGGAGAAGGGGGCGGTGATTGGTGAGGGGGGGGAGTTTGAGACGTTGGTGTTGGATGGACCAGGAACGCTATTTCGGAAGAGGATTGTGGTGGAGGAGAAGGATAGACGGATTGTGAGGGAGGGAGGAGGGTGTGCTTGGTTGAGTTTTGGAGGTGCGAGGTTGGAGGAGAAGGATGTCACTGATGAGAAGAATGAGGCTGTTGAGGTCAGGATCCCGGATTTGCTGGATGCTAGGTTTGTGAGGGTGTTGGAGGGTTTGAACAAGAGTGCTGGCGAGGAAGAAGCTGAGAAGCTTCTCGCTCTCCTCAGCTTGGATCCCAAGCAAGGCTTGTCGAAGCAAGAGGGTACGTCTTTGCTAGGACTGCCTCAGAGTCTCAAGGACAGCAAACTCCAAAAATGGTGTTTCTTCGTCAACCCTCCTTCCTCTGCCGGTAACAGCCGCACAATCGAGACAGAAACCTACTCACTAGTTTCCCAAATCCGCCAACAACTCCAGCAGCTCAACCTGCCTCCATTCGCCATACTCACCTCCACCATCCTCTTGCGAAACATGGCCGACTTCCCCGCCGTCAACACCATCTACGGCGCCCTCTTTGACGCACCTAACCCTCCATCCAGAGTCTGCGTCGCCTGCGGTGACTCCCTATCTGCCCTTGCCGGCGGCAATGACAGCAACATCAACATCAACATCGCCATCTACCTCACCGTCCACACCGGCTTCACCAACAAGTCCTCCAAGCCCGACCAACGGCGTCAAGGTCTCCACGTGCAATCCCGCTCATACTGGGCTCCCGCCAACATCGGCCCTTACAGCCAAGCCATTTCGATTCCTCTCGCCAGTCTCTCATCTTCTTCACAGGCCTCCTCCTCCTCTTATAACAATGATGACGGTCCAAAATTAGTCTCCATCGCGGGCCAAATCCCCTTGGTACCCGCCACCATGACCTTGCCTCCCTCGGCCCTGCCGTCCTCTTCAGACGTGGAGTCGCAGCAGCAGAGACAGGCGCTAAACACCCAACTCGCCCTCTCCCTTCAACACCTCTGGCGCATCGGCGTCGAAGTGGGTGTGCAGTGGTGGACTAGCGCCGTGGCTTATTTCCCTGCCGACCCTTCCACCACCTCCTCCTCAGACTCTGCTTCAATGCTAATGAGCGAAAAAGCCAGACTGGCTTACAAAACCTGGCAATCTGCCCATCAGTGGCGGTTTGCCAAAGTCTCATCCGACGGCGATAACTCCAACTCCGACTCAGATGGAGAATCGGATTCAGAGGATGAAGACTCCGACGCAGGCGGCCCTGATCTCTGGGACAGAAAGTTCAACCCCTTATACAAATCCTTTGCCGTCAGCAACTCTTCAGGACAAGCGTCTTCTTCCTCTGGGGAACCCAAGCTGCCTGATTGGAGTATTTTATCGAACAAGACCACGACCAACAAAACCAACAAAAAGAAGAAGGGGGTAATCCCGCCTTTTTCGCCGCGCAGGTTTCTGAACTCCCCCGCTCCGCGGGCGTGGAGTGGCACGCGCATTTGGGGATTGCCAAGGCCAGCTCCAAAAATGTGGAAGTTTTGGAAAGTTTCCTGGTGGATGGTGATGGTGGTGGTGATGGTGATGGTGGTGATAATGACGATGAGGGGAGGAGAGTGGTGGTGGAGGTCCATCAGACTGTTATTCGCTCTCCGGCTTCCACTTCTTCTACTTCTACTTCTTCTTCATATGAAGATGATAGTGACGACGAGGAGGACAACGTTGATGGATCCAAAAAAGCTACGACGGGACCTGCTATTCTCCAGACTATGCTGGTCGAGAGACACACGACAACGTCATCGTCATCTTCGGCTCCGTTCAAGGGACTCGATGAAATTGCGCGGTTGGCCGCTCGTCGGTTGATGAGTTCAGAACAAGGAGAGGCAGAGAAGGGGAACCCGTCAGTGTCGGTACGTTACGTGGATACTGGGGTATACTCCTCCGCCGGGCCTGACGGTGGTGTACATGTACCTGTCGTGCCGTGCGCGTCGCTCTGGAGCGGAAATGGGGATAAGCTTGCTTCTGTGACTATCTATCAGAGTGTGTTTGAATGAGTACGGGGTGAAGATGACTTGGAGCAAAACAGAACGGGAAAAGCAGTATGATTAGAGTACTACATAGGCACGCACTTGTATGGGTGAAACTTGGTGCTTGTTTTAGTTTTCTTGAACGTAGGCGTGGGTATATCGTACCAAGGGTCAACCTCGTTGTGTTCACTTTTCTCCTCAAAATGACAACTCGCCAGGCAGGGCCCGAAGAAAAAGTACTGACGGCACCAAATTCAATGTCATCATCTCGCTGAACACATCAGGTACCATACAGCAATACGTTCACATATCTTTCTCTATTCAAAACACACACCATACATACATCACCGACATATGTCCCAAGAGTTGTGATGATGATGAAGAGTGGGGTATGTGCCTTGAAAAGAAGAGAAAGAAAGCTACAACATATGGGTATGACACCGTAGAAGATTGAATGATTAGATAGGATGAAAATTTCGTCCCGTGCTGACATATCAACAACATCTAAACAGCAAAGAAGAAAGAAAAATGTTCCAAGCAAATGAACAAACAAGAACTAACACCGGTTCCTTCCCGCTTATAGAGACATCCACATGGAGATCCAAAACCCTTCCACAACCAAACGCCCTTTTTATGAGTTGTTGAAAATGACTTTTGACACCCCCCATGCGTGATTTTTCTTTTTTGAACACGTCTTCAAAAAACTTAAAAAGAAAAACAATCAAACAGAATGGTATCATGTCATTTACAAAGGCTTGCCGCCAATGAACTCGGACCACCTGCGGACCTCAGAGGGGATACCCTCGGGGCGGGGCAGCTTCTCGGCCATGCACTGGGCGAAAAGCATAGCGGTCTAAAGAGAGAAGGGAAACGTTAGCTTCAGTCGCCAGGAAACGAAGGGTCAGTAGTGAGGCTTACCTGGGGCTCCATGAAGAGAGGAACGCCGAAGTCGACGGCGTTACGACGCATGACGTAGTCAACGTCGAAGATGGTCTTGCCACGGGCCTGGGCAAGGTTGAAGACACCACGGATGTTGTTCTTGGCGAAGACCTCACGAAGGGCACGCTTGTCATCGGTGGGGAACTCAATGACCTCAACGTCGATCTTGTTCTTGGCAGAGGACTCGAGGAACTGCTTGACCTCGTTGTCGGCGGCGTAGAGCTTGTAGCCGAGCGGGCTAAGGTAGTCGACGATGGTGGTCAACCAGCTCTTGTTGAGCTCACCACCGAAGAGGAGACCCTCACCGGGCTCAGGAACGCGGAAGTTCATGGCGGACTGGAGAGAGGCCCAGTAGGCATCAACGAGATCCTTACCGAAGCAGGCCATCTCACCAGTAGAGGCCATCTCGACGCCGAGGAAGGGGTCGGCACCGGCAAGACGGGTCCAGGAGAACTGGGGAACCTTGGTAGCGAGGTAGTCACGCTTGACAGCCATGAGATCAGTGGGCTCAGGGACGTTCTTGCCGACAAGGGCCTTGGTAGCAGCATCGATGAAGTTGACGCCGAGGACCTTGGAGACGAAGGGGAACGAACGAGAGGCACGGAGGTTGCACTCAATGACCTTGAGGGCCGGGAGGCCACCCTCGGGATCATCAGCCTTGATGATCTGCATGTTGAAGGGACCAGTGATCCTCCAGGCCTTGGCGACCTTCTGGGCGATCTCCTTGACGCGGTCCATGGTGGTCTGGTCAAGGCTGGCGGGAGGGAGGACGAGGGTGGCATCACCGGAGTGGACACCAGCCTGCTCAACGTGCTCAGAGACAGCGTGGAGGATGAGGTTACCCTCGGAGGCAACACCATCAACATCAATCTCCTGGGCGCCCTCGATGAACTTGGTGATAACAACGGGGTGCTCGGGGGAAACGTTGGCGGCAGCCTCAAGCTTGTCCTTGAGGTCCTCCTTGCTGCGGATGACGGTCATGGCAGCACCGGACAGGACGTACGAGGGACGAACAAGGACAGGGTAGCCAACCTCCTCAGCGAACTTCTCAGCAGCCTCAACGGAGGTGAGCTCCTTCCAGGCGGGCTGATCGACACCAATGCTATCGAGGATCTCAGAGAACTTCTGTCTGTCCTCAGCACGGTCGATATCGCGGGGATCAGTGCCGAGAACGCGGGCCTTGCCAGTCTCCTGGAGACGGAGGGCAATGTTCTGGGGGAGCTGACCACCGACAGAGACGACAACACCAGAGGCGCTCTCGAGCTCATAGATATCCATGACACGCTCGTAGCTAAGCTCCTCGAAGTAGAGCTTATCGGCGGTATCGAAATCGGTAGAGTAGGTCTCGGGGTTGTAGTTGATCATGACGGTCTTCTCGCCCATGGCCCTGAGGGCCTGAGTGGCGCTGACAGCGCACCAATCGAACTCGACCGAGGAACCGATACGGTAGACGCCGCTGCCGAGAATGACGGTACCCTTATCCTCGAATGTGACGTCGTGGGTAGAGGCGTTGTAGGTGGTGTAGAGGTAGTTGGTGTCAGCGGGGAACTCAGCGGCCAGAGTATCAATCTTCTTGACCCAGGGCCTGATGCCGAACTCCTTTCTAGCAGCGCGGACAAGGTCCTCAGTGCTGTTAACAGCCATGGCGATCTGCTTGTCGGAGAAACCGAGCTTCTTGGCCTTGAGGATGTGCTCCTTCTTGAGGGCCTCGAGGCTGCCAAGCTGCTGCATCTCCTTCTGGCAGTCAACAATGTTCTGGAGCTTGTAGAGGAACCACTTGTCGATCTTGGTAAGCTCATGGACCTTGTCAACAGAGTAGTTCTCGTGGATCATGGCCTGGCCAACAGCCAACCAGCGGCGGTCGGTAGGGTTCTGGAGCTCAAAGTCGAGATCCTCGAACTTGTCGCCCTGGAACCCGACAAAGCGGGGGTCAACCTGGCGGATAGCCTTCTGGAAAGACTCCTCAAAGGTACGACCGATGGCCATAACCTCACCAACCGACTTCATGGCAGAGCCAATGTCGCGCTTGACGTGCTGGAACTTAGACAGATCCCATCTGGGAATCTTGGTGACGATGTAGTCAAGCGAAGGTTCGAAGTTGGCGGTGGTGGTCTTGGTGACAGCGTTGGGGAGCTCAGGAAGGGAGTGGCCGAGACCGATCTTGGCGGCAGTGTAGGCCAGAGGGTAGCCGGTAGCCTTGGAGGCGAGGGCAGAAGAGCGGGAAAGACGAGCGTTGACCTCAATGACACGGTAGTCAAGGCCATCGGGCTGAAGGGCGTACTGGACGTTGCATTCACCAACGACGCCCAAGTGACGGACGATCTTGATGGCAGCGGAACGGAGCATGTGGTACTCCTCGTCGCTGAGGGTCTGGGAAGGAGCAACGACGATAGAGTCACCAGTGTGGATACCGAGGGGGTCGAAGTTCTCCATGTTGCAGACAGTAATGCAGTTGTTGTTGGCATCACGGACGACCTCGTACTCGACCTCCTTCCAGCCCTTGAGGGACTTCTCGACCAAGATCTGGGGGGAGAGTGTGAGAGAGCGAGCAGCCATGTTGCGGAGCTCCTCCTCGTTGTTGGCGAAACCGGAACCGAGACCACCAAGGGCGTAGGCAGCACGGACAATGATGGGGTAGCCAATCTTGTTGGCAGCATCGAGGGCCTCATCGACGGTGTTCACGGCGATGGACTTGGCGATGGGGATGTTGATCTCCTCAAGGGCCTTGGCGAAGAGATCTCTGTCCTCAGAAAGCTCCAATGTCCTGACACTGGTACCGAGAACCTTGACACCGTACTTCTCGAAGAGGCCGAGCTTCTGCATCTGGACACCCAAATTGAGGGCGGTCTGACCACCGAAGGACAGGAAGATACCATCGGGCTTCTCCCTCTGGATGACGTACTCGACGTACTCGGGGGTGACGGGGAGGTAGTAGACCTCGTCGGCGAGGGAGTGGTTGGTCTGGATGGTAGCGATGTTGGGGTTGATCAGCACGGAAGCAACACCGGCCTCCTTGAGGGCCTTGAGCGCCTGAGAACCTGGATGGGTAGAGTATGGTCAGTACCTCGGGCTGTCTATTTGTTTGTTTGTTTGTTTAATCGTGTAGCGAGTGAACATACCCGAGTAATCGAACTCGCCGGCCTGGCCAATGGCAAGACCACCGGAGCCGATAACAAGCACCTTCTTGACATCAACATGGTCGCGGGGCTTGATAACGCCGCTCTGGATGTAAGCCTTCGCATCGGGGGCGGGCTGGGAGGCAGTAGCCGCGGAGGCAGAGAGCCACCTCTTCTGGGAGGACAGCCTCTGGGCGGCGTTGGCCTGTGTCTGGAAGATGGAGGTGTTCTGGGCACCGGAGGTGAAAGCCCTCAGCTGGGACGCCTGGACGGGGACCGCCGACCATGGCGAGGAGAGCAGGAGCTCGGCCAGCCTTGTGCACGGTCGACAGCATTATGTCCGATATGGGGGGGGAGGTGTTTGTAGAAAGGGGAGAAAAAAAAAAAGACTAAGAAAGGCCTCGTGAGAGCGGCGGGGGGCCCGATGTCTTGTATATCAACAAACAACCTTCGTGGGCAATGATAAGCTGCTAAACCCCGGATTCTGGCCAATTGACTCAATCTCGGGTCTCCCGTCCGTGTTTTCGGATTTTCGCGCTTTTAATTTTGGCGGAGGAGGAGCTGGAGAGGTGGGACGGAAGGAGGGACGGAGCGCGGTGACTGGTTCTGGTGGCCGGCGGCAGAGACGAGAGAGACAAATAATTCCCAGAACCGGCCGCTGTGGGGAGGGCCGATAAGAGATAAGGCCGGCGGCAGGGTGGATTGTTGGTGGACGGGTGTGACTCTTTCACCAAACAGAATCGACGATGAGGCCCCAAATATCCACCATGCTCTGCCGGGCAATGGCGGGCAATGGCGGCATGACGGGCTGGGAACAAGTGAAAATTTTGGAAAATTTTCAAAACGGGCCGCGTGCCAGCTCGGTGGGTGGCTTCCGACAACGGAAGCGGAGATCTCAGGCCTGCAGTGCTTCATGGATCATGCCCGGCGCGGTTATCGCATTTTGCTAAATTCCCATTCTTGTCCCGAATTTAAGCTCACCCACCCGGGCCAGACTAGTCCAGTAGATATCTTGCGACAAACATGAGACTCGCTCGTCAACCGTTATGCCTGTTCAAAAAGACATCGCATTCGAGAGGGTGAGGTCTGTCTATCTCAATGCCATCCCAAGTATAAACTGGAGGCTGCATGTGTCATCTGAAGTCGCTTGTGCTTTTTGTCCGATGTTCGCTTATGCACGCCATGCCCTGCGTCGCTCTCCCAGGCAAGCCCCTAAACAGGCACAGGCTCGGGACGGCACTGAGACGGCTAGTACCGAGTCAATGGTTACAACGACCTCCAGCTCCAACCTCCAAAATTGACTCGACGACACCCAAACCCTGCGAAAAAAGTTGAACTACCTTGGCGGTGAAACTGGCTGAATTGGGTGTAACAGAAATATCATTGGCCAATTGCCCGTTGCTTGAGAACTTTTTGGCGGGAGAGGAAATTCCCGCGTGTTATGTGATTGGTTTGAGTTATTGCGGCCCCACCCTAGTCTATTCGGCGATAGTTTGATGCCTCCATTCCGGACTTGTTGGCGATCCTCAGAATCCCCTCGCTTTTGACGTGACTCTGCGGCTGACTCAACTTGAAGCGCCTTGCTGATACTCCTGCTCTTGATTTTAATTCCTCAACCAGCCGCCAAAGTTCTCCTAGGGCGCATTCTTGTCTGTAAATCGCCGGTGAACAGAAGGCTTTGACTCACACAGAGCGGATTTCGACGGCTGTAGCACGGGAACCCTACTGATATCAATTTTGCTAGCTCACAAGCCAACCCCATCCTATGATCTCACAGTACTTCGGGGGTCCATACTATTCCGGAAGCTTATTCCATATTCACTCACGTCCCTGGGGGAACATGGATGTGACCGGCGCACATGGAAGTTGGAGGTGTGGTTGCCGGTTGGTGGACTCCTGAGGCTTCCACTTGGTGTAAGTCAAGACCTCTCATTGGGGAAATGCAACCCATTCTGAGCTGTGACTCAGAAACAAAACTGGACATCGAGTGCGAGTCCATCTCCAAAAGCTGATGCCAAATTCCCCTTTCTGGAGACACCCATGATGTCAAGCCCGTCACCCCAAGACGTTGGCACATGGCCAAATCCATCACATCGCGTTGTTGTTCCAGTGCGTGGAGGATTCCCAAATCGCCCAGGCCGGGCTCAATGGGAGCAAGGGTAACCCCACTGAAGTTCACGGTTGCAACAAGGCCGGGCCCGTCCTCACCCCGCCCGCGGCTTCCGGGGCACATGCTTAGCCGGCCGACGGTGGGGACCAGAGGTCTGCCAGCTGGCAGGTCTTGGCATTACCAAAATGCTAAGCTCACTGAGCACAGACCATCCCCCTCGCTGTTTCTGGTCCCTTCATTGCTGAGCCTGGCACTGACAGCTCAGGCAGGGAGCACCACCGCATCCTTGGCGACGTCGATGATAGCTGCCCATCGAATGCATCGCGCATTCTCGACTCGTTGCTTTCTCTGTGATCATCATCTTGCTTCTTCTTCTTCTTCTTCTTCTACTTTGATGGATACCCTGTTTGTTGACATTCTCCAAATCAATCATCCATACACCCAGATATGTGAGGCTTAAACAGCTGTTGAAGCTTTAATACCCACAGCTCTTTAATGCGCCAGCCATCACACCCCTCCCTCTCACACCACGGCGAGCTATGAACGATGATTCCGAGCCGAGCTTCGCGGCCCGGCAGCAGCAGCGCATCCCGCCACACAATTCCGATGGGGAAAGCAGCCGGCGCAATCCTATCGACGAGCAATCGCCCGAGCTGAACAGCAGCGGTCGAGATGATGGTGATGATGACCAGACGTCACGGCAGGAGAGGCGCAAAGCGGGCCTCAAGAAGAAGCTTCAGTTCATGAGCCACCTGCAGAGAAACCTCGACATGATCTTCTTTGCCTATCTCTGCACATTATACTATATGGAGTACGAAAAGAACCTATATCTACCTGGCCACATTAAAAGCATGACGGTGATCGCTGACGATAATCTTGATTTCTCTTTCCGTTACAGATGTTCCTTTCTCCGCCTGTTCGTACGCATCATCCCACACTTCATGTTCATCACCCCGAAAGAGGGTCCCGTCCTCTTACCCGCCGAACGTCCTCATGTCTTTGCCATCCTCGGGCCGAACTTGGTATGCATACTCGCACATATCATCTCCGCCCTACCGACCGCCGGCGAAGCGACGCGCGGGTATTTACACGGGGGCGTGATCGTCGACTTTGTCGGGCAGAAGCCACCAGCCACGAGGCTATGTCTGTTATTCTTTGATGCGATGATACTGGCTGTTCAGTGCTTGATGTTGGCAATACATACGGAGCGGGAGAAGCTGCGCAAGATTGTGAACCCCTCGTTACAACCTCTCTGGCCTGGGCCCGGCCAAGCTGGACAGCAGGCGGGGACGCCAGGCACCCAGCCGGAGGCAACCCAAACTTTGGATGCGGAAGAACGCGGAGTGAATAGGGAAGACGAGATTGCTATCGGTGATGGAGATGGGAACGAAAGAGGTCCCCTAGTGGGAAATAACCGTGGTGGTGAAGAGCAGGATGATGAACAGCGACTGGGGGCCAACTACTCGCCAGCATCTGCCGGCATAGACTTGTTTGACGTTATGAGGTCAGGCAATGCCAGTGTCGGCAGCTTTCATCCAATACACGCCGTACGGACGGTAGGGAATGATTACCAGACTGCTGCGGCGTACTCGCTCCAAAGCTTTGGGTATCATGCGGCCACCGTTGCTGGTAACCGGGGAGTTAGAGGAATTGCTAGGATTGCAAGTAGAGCAGCCGGAAGGGGGACATGATGAGACAGCATTTGTACAGACTAATACTTAGTGCCGAGACCAACCAAAGCGTGCATGAAAATAATGAACTGAGCTTGGACAAGCAACAACAAAGAAAGCATCCGGTTTATAAATTCTTCACGCTACCTTCCTTCCCACATTACCAACGCCCGTACCCTTGACTGAGACTACTAGATCGGTCGTCTCACCGTCATCATCAACATCCCTTATGCCCCAGCTAGCCGCTCCGAACTTCTTCAAGTCCCGTGCTAGCCCTATTGTCTCCTCTCTGGCTAATACTTCCCTGCCTAACCTTAGGCGACCCACATCTTCCGATCCCATCGCCATCAGTGTAAGCAACGTCGGTGCCGACACATTGCTGACGCAACCTCCCTGTGCAATAACCTCCAGCAGCTGGTACGCGCACCTCGCGCCGATGTCTTCGGGCACAACGCCACCCTCGGGCGGCGCCACCACGTCGGCCGAGTAGAGCACGCCGTCCGCGCTCGACTCCGCCACAAGACTAAGGCCGAAACCGATACCAATCTTCTTCTTGGCGCCGCTCTTGTCGCCGACCAGCGGCGCCGGGTCGTACTGCGCCGCCACGTGCACGTCCGAGACCAGCTGGTTGAGCACGCCGCGCGCCGCCGTGATCATGCGGTTGTTGTGGGACGCCGACACGCCCGTGCAGTACGCCACGCCGCGGATCCTCCTTATCCTTCCTGGGCGACGGTTGAGGTGCAGTGTCTTGGGCAGGCGAACCTGGCTGGCGAAGCGGAGCTCGACGACACCACCACCGCCGCGGCCTCCGGGACCGGAGCACGAGCGCGAGAGCACGCGCAGCTCGATGCGCGCTGGAGGGATGCCGAACATGCCGTACAGCGGGAGCACGGCCGTGCGGAAGGAGTCGATCGAGATGTCGCCGGTGAGATGGGTGGCCGAGGTGATGACGCCGGGGCCAGTGAAGCGGACGTTCATGTGGGCTTTGGAGAAGGGCGCGAGCAGGGCGAGCGGGAGGAGGAAGTAGGTGATTCCTCGCGTGTTGTTGGCGGGAAGGCTGTGCTCGACTACATCGCCGACGGCGCCGGCGTTGACGCCCGCGACGGTGCCGGTGATCAGACCGGGCTGGTATGTGATGGTGGTGCCCGAGTACGAGACATCGATGACGGAACCGTTGGTAATGGCCTCGATCAGACGCAGGAACGAGACTTCGTGGGGGGCGAGACCCGGGTGTGTGGCACTGCTGCTGCGGATCTTGGAGATGTGCACCGGGCGGCCGGTGAGGGTCGAGAGAACGATCCGTTCCGTGAAGGCGCGGTGGCCCGTGAAGCGAATGAATTCGGTTTTCTCGCCCGACATGGTAGGCGGTTGTCGAGGGTGTTTGAGTTTACGCTGTCCCGGGTTGTTTCATGTGAAAGGTGTAAATCCTAGACTCGTGTAATTTTTCGTAGGCGATCGCGCCCCAAATTCGTTGGACGGATGTCGGTGGTGATGGAGTAAATGGGTATGTCGCGGTTTTGATGGAATTTGGTTATTGACTGGAAAGCTCCTAGTTGGGAGCGCCTGCAAGTGTCCCGTTCCAATTCGTTTTTCTCCAGAATTTTTTGGAGGATCCCGCTGTTTCTGCCTGGCGGTGAGACAGTACTTTACGCTTATCAACCCTCTGCAGAGCCGATAAGAAAAAGTCACAGCGGCAGCAAGCGCATGGTGGGGCCGAATGATGGCCACTGTTTCTAGGGCGTGCTGCTGTAGGACAAAGTGGAAGTGCCGCCGGCTTTCCATCACGAAAAGTTGACGAAACATCTCCAAGCTCTAGTTCATCACAACCTTCAACCTCCCGCTGTCCTAGCGTCCACTTCTCCAATTTTCTCACTGTCTCTCGTGATTACCTTCATTCATTCTTGTATATTATCTTGAACCACTCGACGCACGAAGCCACCTCACCACACCACCGATGCCTCCCCGAACATTTGCGCTTGACTTGAGTCGAACGAGCAGCTATGTTTGCCAGTCCTGCATCGCCAGTATAGGACGAGCCCGCCCGAATCCACAGCCATGGCTGGCAAGAAACGCTTCGAGTGCGGCCCGCACCGCTCGCCGACAACGTGCGCCGATGACAACTAAACAGATGGAAGAAGAGCAACAACAAAGGTTCCAGGAAGCCCTCATACGGGAGGCGCAGAAGGAGCCAGCCGACACCGACGAAGGCCCGACCGAACCCCTCTCGGTAAACTACTTCAATGAAGAAACTGAGGGGCAATATCGACAGCTACGCGATGGTGCCGAGTTCGGCGCCGTCAGTGGCGGAATCGACAGCGAGATTTCCGAGGCCATCAACGACTTGGAGCAGAAGATGGTCCAGACGATACAAATGCTCAACAGCTTGGAGAAAGTTGGGGGCTCCGAACAGGACAAGGCCGAGGAGCTACGAAAACAGTTTAAGAAGATTCTCAGGGACAAATACAAGGGGAAGACGGGTCCGGAAGGCGAGTCATACGGCGTTCTGCGCATTCCAGGCTTCAGCGGCGTGCGGCAGCGAGCCGTCGCCAACCTAAACTCCTTCCTTGCGCGCGACAGCGTTGTCAAGGGCGGCGTACCCAAGCCAAAGGATCTGTTCGACTGCTGGAAGTACTACTCTGCAGCACGGAGTTCATTAGCCACCCAATGGAGCAACGTGCCGCGGGAGGTCTGGGATTTTCTGTGGATGATTTTGTCCCACGAAGGGGAAGGCGTAGAAAACCCAAACCGGATGCATCACATCTACGTTCTGGCGAAGGACATGCAAGCTGCGGGGGTGGTGCTGAGAGACTCTCAACAGCTTCTTGCGATCGAGGCCATGTTCCTTGAAGGCTGGCAGGAGGAGGCGATCGAAGCCTGGAAGAAAGCCGTGGTTACCATTGGCTCCAAACCAGAAACATTCAAAGGGTACTACGAGTTGGGAGTACGCATGTGCAGTCTCCACGGAGATACCGACCGTGCGATGAGGGCTGCGGATACTCTCCTCAGGTCCTCGGAATCACCCAATCCTCGCATAATGATACCCATCGTCCGGGCTTTGGCAGCAAAGGAGGAAAGTGCCGAGGAAGCATGGGAAGTGTACAGGGATATGCGAGCGCTTCTCGGAGACACCATGCAGATCGAGGACTACGATGAAGTTATCGCAGCCTTCTTGGCGGTAAATCACGTTGAACATGCCCTGCAGGCCTTTGTCGACATGATGTTCTCCGGCCCTATGGATATTCGCGGCAAGACAAGACTACCGACTATCGTTGGCAACCATTTCTTCCTTGGCAAGTGGCTGAAGAGGTTAATAGGAGCAGGAGATCTCGACGGAGCGTACAAGGTGGTTACATTCTTACAGAATAAGGGAGTCGCTGCGTCGCCCATTCAGCTCAACGGCCTGATCGGCGCTTGGCTCAGGACAGAAACTGCTGATAACGTGGAGAAGGCTGACCAGTTGGCTTGGGCCATGATCAAAGCCCGTCTGGACTTTGTCGACCTGCGTCGGCGAGCTGCCGCGATGGATCGGCCAATTCGTCTCGTACCCCGTGACGGAGAACCGACACCGGATGAGTACGTTTGCACTACAAGAGCCACGGTCGAGACCTTCTCTCTTCTTGCCGAGAACTACAGCGCTCGTGGCCTACACGACGACCTTGCAGAACTCTGGACAGCGTTCGAGATGGCGGAGCTTGGACCGAACAGTTTCATGATTAACCAAATCATCAAATCGTATACCGAGAGCAAGGGGCCACAGGCGGCAATCGACTTCTACGAGCAAATGACCAAGATACGGCACGTGCGTCCCGATGCGCACACTTTCATCGCGCTCTACAACACGCTCTCGGTGAACCGGGTGGTAAAGCGAGATAACCAGCTGGCGGCAGACGACGCCGTCATTGGCAGGCAGTTCTTCCAGGACATGGTCAGGATGGACTGGAAGTTCGACTCGGTCGACGAGTACACCTACCTCCCCCGTTCCGTTCTCTTCTCCATGCTCAAGGCCAAGGATCATGCCGGCATGATTATCGCCGCCCGAACCATGAAGGAGCTTTTCAACTACTCGCCACCCGAGCAGCTTCTCATCGAGCTGGCGGCAGGAACCGCTACGCTCCGGGTGCAAAGCAAGCGTAACGTGGAACGCATCATGGAGGCCAGCAGGCTCATCGAAAGCTTGATCCGGAAACACTCGCAAGTTTTTGCCGACCTTGGAGGAGACCCTGCCAAGATGACGACACAGGAGAAGGACAACCAGCTTTGTGCGGTATTCGAGGAGCTGGTCTTGATCAAGGCGCATGCCGCGAACGCGGAGAGGAGTGCCGTGAACAAGATCCTTGCCCAAGCTGCTGAGGAGATGAGCGTGTTTGATATTGTGTTTACGAGGGATCCGGCGGTGATTCAGAGGCACAAGAAGCTGATGAAGAATAAGGATGTTCAAGATGATGTCGACTGAGAACAGTCTCATGTACAACAGAAATGTAACAATGTAACATAAAGTACAATACAATATACCCCCCCCCCCGAAAGCGCTCATCGCTTCATTGGATACTCACAGTACAACCATTATATGATAACAACTTGTCAGTGCGTATAATATTACCCTGTCTGATTTCTTTGCAAGACGGGATAGAGCCGTGTATGCAACCTGTTTGTTTTAATCATGGTCCTCCTCGGTCAACCCAGGACACCCATCCATCTCCGCATCCTCATACTTAGCCTTACACCAAAAGCAATAATGATGCTTGTCGCGCATGTACAGCACCAAGCGCCGTAGCCGCTCGTCAGGGCTAAGAGCGTTGAACTCATCCAGTTCCGGATCCTCTTCGTCGAGGTCCTCTGCCATCACGTACGTGTTCCATGGCTTATGAACGGCGCCAATATCCTTACCAAGAGCATGTTTATCGTCCATATCCAGCTCATCGTCCACATATGTAGGCAATCGCGTAGAGGAAAGCATACTGCTCTGCTCCAGGTCATACGGCATCCTGCGCTCGCGCTCGGCCTCCTCGCGGGAGCGGACGAGACCGCGGTAGACTACCGGGATGGCCCGTAAGGGCCGGGACGAACTGGCACCAGTCTTCTTCTTCCTCCTCTTCTTTTCGCGAGAGTCACTGCCATTTTCGCTCCCATCCTCCCTATCATCATCATCCCGCTCCTCAATTTTCTGGATTCCCCCCTCTTCACCACCCACCTCATCCCCATAATCCTCATCCATCCCCTCCGCCACCTTCTGCGCCGCGTGTACCTGCCTCTCCAGCCTGGCTTCCTCCCTCTCCCTCCTCACCCGTTCACGGTACCCTTCCTCATCCACCTTCGCCTTCTTGGCCATCTCCCCGGCCGCCTCCGCCGCCTCCCGCATTTTGCGCTTCCGCTCGCTCTCCAGCCCAATGCCTTCGCGCCCATCTTTGATGCTGATCTTGATAGGCTCCGTTCGCGCTTCCGAGTCAGTTGACTTGGCGCCGAGCGCTGTACCGGGGACGAAACCCATTTTGGCCATCATTGCTAAACCTTTGCTTTTTGCTGTGACTCCAATCACTGGTGCTGCAGCTGCAGGCGCCGGTGAAGCTGATGCTGATGCTGATGATGAAGAGGGAGCTGCTTTTGGTGAAGGAGCGACAAGTTTGTCAAATAGAGAGGTTGACAAAGCGGCTTCCCGACGGGCTTCCTCTTCGGCTGCTAACTCGGCTTTGGATTTGACGCGGCCGCGGATTTCTCCTTCGCGTTGGAGACGGAGGCGACGCTGGAGGGAGGTTTCGATTGGTTTCCCACTTTTGCTTTTGCTGCTGGAGGCTGTGGTAAAGGTGGGTTCGTCGGTGAAGGTCATTTTCATGTAGTCGTCTTCCGAGTCGGAGTCCGCTGCCGCTGCCGCTGCCGCGCCGTTGGTGGAGGGGTCTTTGGTTGTTGATGACATTTTGGGTGGTTGGCGAAGTGGGTGTGTATATTCCAGAGGCTTTAAGATTTGTGCTTGTACAAGGTGGGTGACTTTTGGTTGTGAGTTTTGACGGAAAGATGAGGTTGGTCTGGAATGTTGACGTCTTTGGTGAGTGTGATATGTTGGGTGCAAGTTTGGGTGAATGGCAGCTACAAAAAATTGGTGGTAAATAATTGCCAATGCCGTCCCGCATTGAGCACGCTCGAACCATCCGATCTTGAACTTTATCTCCCTCAATTCCAAGTATGCACCACGGCATATATCGAACACACCATGGTTTTTACTCATTCGCATTTCGTTTACCATTCAAGACCACGAAATGACTGAACTTGTCTTAGCTTGATACTTAACACATAATTGGCCGCTGTTTCTCCCAGTTTGACAATTGGCGACTCCGCACAGGCAGGCCAGACGCAAAACAACAACGCCCTTTTTCTCCGTGGTTTTCCTTTGGTTTTTTTTGTTCCTATATATCTCGAGTTCACCATTATGCAAATGAGCATGCCGATACTGGCTATTCATCTTATGATCATTCTAAAGCTTCCGAGTGCTGGTGGCCGCCATAGACACGCAGATCGCCTCGTGGTTCGCTCGTTCCGATACAGTATATAAACTTCCCGATACCCCGCCCGTTCCCTTTCTTTTATAAACATCACCATCTCTCGAACATGTTATACCAAGCAGCGCATTCTTATGACTCGAAAACGATAGAGCGAGATGCTTGAGTAAGATGACCGGATCTCAAGAGGAAAATGTCGATGAACGAGCTCCGTTGCTTAGTACCATTCAGCCAAGTCACAACAGAACAAGTGAGCCAACCTCCAGGGTCTCCGCAAAAGCAGCATGGTTTTCTCGTTCGAGAAAGAAATCCATCGCTCTAATTTTATCGACAACGTTCGCTTCTTTCATCACTATTGGTGTCTTGCTCTCCGTCATTGTTTTCCGAGAGGGAAAGGTAAGCATACCTGACCCCCCGAATCATAAGCCACTTCACCACTTGTTAATTCCCAAAGTCGACTAACAACTCATTTTTAAATGAGAACAATAAACTTCACCTACCAAGCGTCAACCTCACCTACACGAGTTACGAGGGCATCCATCTCTCTAATGGCGTCAACGCTTTCCTAGGGATGCGTTACGCTGCCCCTCCGCTTGGAGACCTACGTTGGCGAGCACCAGTAGAGCCAAAGAGGACCGATACCGTCGAGAAGGCTAACCAGTTCGGCCCAATCTGTCTCAGAGCTGGTGCTGGCGCGCCTTTCCCCGGTCAGGATGAGGATTGTCTTTATGTGAACGTGTGGGCTCCAGCGAATGCTACGGAAAAGTCGAAGTTGCCTGTTTGGGTGTTTATTGGGGGAGGCGGTAAGTCGTTGGAATTAAGATGCTTGGATCTAGGGAGGAGGGAAGAGATACATGTTGCTGACTTTTTCTCTAAGGTTACAATGCCCTCACCAACGCTAATTGGAACGGAAGCGAGGTTGTTGAGAAGTCTCGCCACAACATCGTCATGCTAGACTTCAACTATCGTGTTGGGATGTGGGGGTTTCTCGCCAGCCAAAAGGTGAAAAATGACGGTGACTTGAATGTCGGCTTGCTCGACCAGCGAATGCTGCTTACTTGGGTGAAGAAGCATATCTCTGCGGTATGTTATGACGTGGATTTCCTCCCGTACGACTTATCACCCGCAGTCTAGACTGACCTCACACATCGACAGTTCGGCGGAGACCCCGACCATGTAGTCATCCACGGTGCATCAGCAGGAGCAGGCTCAGTGGCGATGCATTTGTTGGCATATGGAGGTCGTAACGATAATCTCTTCGTAGGTGCCATGTCCGAGTCGCTCTTCTTCCCGGCACAGCCATATGTAAACGAGCTCGAATATCAGTTCGACCGTTTAACACAGCAGGTTGGCTGTTTGAGTGTCGAACCAGAAGAGCAGCTCGCTTGTTTACGGAACCAGGACGTCATCTCCCTGCAAGCAGCTAACCACGCCCAACATTTCCCTGGCCACGAAGGGCCGCTCTTACCCATATTCTACTGGACTCCGTGCGTGGACGGTGACTTCTTGCAGGACCTCCCGTACCGGCTTATGCGAAGGGGTCAGTTCCTGAATGTGCCGATTCTTTTCGGCACCAATACGGATGGTATGTGCTCCCATGTTATCTATCCAATAGTCCAAAACTCTGCTCTGTCTTCGAGTTTGAGTACAATCTCACTAATACCACCCTCCCAAAACAGAAGGCTCAGTATTCGCCCACAACTCCCTCACCCCCTCCGACTTCACCAACTTCTTCACAACCAACTACCCCCGCCTCACCCGCTCCGACGTCGCCAGCATCATCTCCCTCTACCCACAGCTCCCTCCCCTTCCAAACCGCAACCCCTGGTATCCAACCACCAGCCTCGCCTACGGCGAAGCCACTTTCATCTGTCCCTCCAATAACTTCCTCGACGCTTTTGTTTCATCATCCTTCTCCTCTTTCAACCTGTCCAACCAAGGAAAGGCCAAGTCAAAAAAAGCCTTTGCCTACCGCTTCAACGTCCATGACCACGCCCTCCAGACCGCGGGTCTCGGCGTCCCTCACCTCTTTGACGCGGCAGCCATTTTTGGGCCAGATAACATCAGCGGGTTTGGGGCCGGAGAGGAGAGTTCTTACAAGACGTATAACAAGCCTGTGGTGAGCATGTTTATGGCGTACTGGATTAGCTTTGTGAGGACGTTGGATCCGAATATGTTTAGCGAAAAGGGAAGTCCGCAGTGGGAGGGGTGGGATTCTCATGTGCATGGGGATGACGACAAAAGTAGGAAACGGCTGTTGGTAGAACTGGGGAATACGAGGATGGGGAAAGTAGGGGATGGGGAGAGTGATAGATGTCGGTTTTGGGAGGCGCTGGGGGACCGGTTGGAGCAACTTGGACGAGGCTCGTGAGGTATTCTTGTGACTTTATTGGCAAATTCCCGAATGGGTTGAAATTCGATATCTTCGGAAGGTCTTAATACAACTAGTTTGGATATAATCATAAGTGCCATATGTGGTCATTTCCGAGTGAAGAGCAACTGAAATAAACACAGGATGAAGAGCTAATCAAAGATTGACAAGTGGATGAGGAAAATATGAAGAGAGGAAAGGAACAGCGAGGAGAACGGGGAAAAGGAGGAAAAGGAAAAAATAACAACTGAAAGGGGCAAATCGGGCAAGAAAAAAAGAGGGGCAAATAAATCAACAAGAGGACGGAATCCCTCGTTTTTGGCAAAATGTGCAAAAGGAAAACGAAATGCGCCAGCCGCGAATCGAACGCGGGCCATCGATGGCAACGATGGATTTTACCACTAAACCACTGGCGCTTTTTGTTGTTGTAATTAAAATAAAAGCCAAGAAGTTGTATTCAAGAATCACACGCGAAAGAAACAGGATCTTTTGCAATGCTATACTTGGATATCTTTTCCCATTTACAAACCCCGTTCGTCTTAGTTCATGCTCAGTTGATCTCTATTTTCCTTCACAGCGCCCAAAAAAACGCCAATGCGTCCATTCTATGTTCTCCATGTTCTTCATATACTCCACGAATGTGGGTCAAGAACGACTATCGCCGCAATGGGAACCAAGCTCTGTGATCTATTTCGATCAAACCCCGAAAATGGTATTGCCTTCCTAGCAGCCGGAACTGTTCGTGACATTAACTGGCCACACGTCTCCTCAATCCACGTCCATCGAGTCCTATTCGGGAGGTGGAGGCGGTGGTGGGCGATGTTCGTTCAGCCTGACAGCAGCAAAACGCTTAGCAAGTGGTTCATCCGTCGAGTTGTGGTTCCTTTGCATCAATGGGTGGTGGCTGAGGTGGGATCTGTCAACCGAGGGGGAAATAGCATCCTCAGTTCTGGGGCGCTTGGGAAGTCTCTCACCAGTGGATTCCAAAATCATGTGCAGAGTCCTCCACCCCTCTGTGGCCCGAAGTTGGAAGGCATCGGCAAGGTCATGTTGTGTTGCTACGCGGCAGAGGAGTGCCTCTTCATCCTACAAGAATGGATCAGTATCTTGTCTGCAAACAAGCAGAAATGTGGTGAACTAACCTTGGATAGCACGCTCATTTGGTGGATGAAGCAGAGCAAGTGGAAGTTGCTAACGTCGAACTGGTCGGACTTTTGGTTCACCTTAAGAATCTTTGCTACTGCCGAGGCTTCCTGGGCTTCCCCAACAAATTCGCGGTTGGCGATAGGGAAGCCGTCGTTCGTAAACACCGGCTTCGGACTTTCCGGGAAACCGTGAGTCAAGGTGACGAACAAATACTCGACCGGGAATGCGGGCTTCGCATTCTCCTGGACGTTCGCTCCGTACTCGTTGATCTTGCGATAGAACACTTCGGGGATGTATCGTGTCCTGCTGACCGACCCATCGTCCTCCTCCTCTTCGCGCACCAACATTTGACCAGGGTCCGTGGAAGGTTCAATGATGTCAGCCCTGACCATCTCAACCGCATCATTCGACATTTGATATGCTGAAATTGAGATTTCACCCTCCTCGTTGCCAGAGATGACACAGGTCACAAAGTTGGAGCCGAACCGGCCTGTATCGCTCCACTTGGTAGCCTTCGGATGCTGTGCCTGGAACCTCGCCGCAAAACAGATCTCCTGAGCTGCGAGGAAGTAGGAATCGGTGTGTCTCTTGCAAATGGCGCTTCCGTCACCCTTGCCAGAATCGAGGAGATCCGTCCAGATTACGCCCACGGGTTCCAAACCGCACAGCCTCGCGACCTCGTTAACATCCTTCTCGTTTTCCCAGACATTGAGAGTAACACCATCGATTTCATCAACCTGCGGCGGCTCATAGATGGCTTCCACGACAGCCTTAACACCGAGCGGAACAACGTCGTACTCAAGATATTTGCCGTAGAGGATACCAAGCCGTTGGCATCCGGTCATACGCCAGGGGTTGAGGAACTTGTCGATAATCTGGGGCGTCGCAAACTCGACGTGGTCCACCATTCTGAATGCCTGGGGCTGGAGAGTGATGGCGCTGGGCTGGCATTTTGTGCAGATACCTTCAGGCCACTGAGGATGACCGGATGGGCAGTCTCGCTTGACTCTGTAGTAGGGTTCGACAAGAGGAGGAATAAACGAAGCACCAAGCTCGGGTCTGTTTGTTGCGCCGTTGATTTTGCGAAGGTATGCGTGTACTGACATATACTTGATCTTCTTCTCTTCGAGGTACTTGGCGTTAAATGGATCGAGGGGCATGCAGTAATCACACATGCCCTTGGGTCCATGGCGACACATCTTGTGATCGCGCCCCCTTGGGATCTTGCCGCCGCGCTTGTCTAGCCGATCATCCAAAGGTGACTGCCTCACCGTCTCCCACGGGTTCTTGATATGTTCATTCGGAGACGGCAGCACAGGCGGGTCGATGGGCAGGTCTTCTGCAGGTAGGATCGGTTTGCCGTTGAGGCGGTTTGTAGATGATAAAACGCTGGATTTGGCGGCTTCGCCGCCGTTGCCTGGACCGTCGGCCGCGGCATCGTTGTGCTTGTATGTGACGAAGATAAGATCGCCATGGCTGTTTTCGAGGTCGCTAGTCAGTGGTCTGACACACACATGGCAAGATTAACGGGAGAGATTCAAGGGGAAAGCTTACTTGAGTCCAACCTGGCCGACCTTGAACTTTGCTACCTCGCTGAGATTCTTGGCGTCGCTGCCGGTCGGATGGTTTGAAAGTGTAACTGTTTTCGGGTCAACGGTCGGGGGAAGTTTGGGAAGAAGTTGACGCCCAAGATCCGCAAAGGTGTCATCTTTCTCGACCGTCAGGCGGAACATGCCATCGGGGCCGCGTAACCTCAACAACATGGTGGGCGGGCTGGGTTGGGAAAAAGGTGACGTCGGGGCGGGTATAGGGTCCGAGGGATGCGATCTAGTTTGTTGTTGTTGTTGTTGTTGTTGTTCGGCTTAAGATTCCAGAATATGGATTTAAATGTGTCGCAGGCGAGATGTGGAACTGTATGGATATGACTATTTGCGCAAGACCTTTATACAATGTTACGCCAGGTTCTCAGACTCGGGGTGAAGACGTAACTGGTGACGGGAACTGGGTGCCGTGGTGATCGGGAAATGCAAGTGCTGGTGGATTGTTTAGCAGCGGGAAAACGGGATCGAATGGCGGGAGCTCCAACGCAACGCTGCACAGATAGCTTCAGGCGTTCGTCATACGTTGTGCCTGGGCGGCGGGAGTGCTGGGGCGTGCTGGGAAGTGCTGAGCAATCGAGGCATGGGTTTCCAGAAGAGCCAAGAACTCCCGGTCCCACTGCACGTCGAAGAGAGAGAGGGAGATGGAAATATGCCGGCCGGCAAGCCCTCCCCCCACATGAGTGACGGAAGCGGGAAAGGGGCTGCCGCGGCAGGCACTGGAGGCATGGGCCCCTGCCATTCAGATGAAGCCAGCGCGCGCCAAGGCCAGAAGTTCCATTGTCAAGCTCCCCTGCCGCGGTGCACCGCTGCAGTTGTCAAGGTGTTCTTTCCAGGCACGGGCACGGCACTTTTGATAAGGGAAGCTCGATTACATTGCCGTGACCAACACTCATTCATACAACCGCAAAGGCAACTCATCCACCATCAACCCTGCACGACGACAGTCTCCACGCCGTCGCCTCCTGGTTTCACTCTAGTCGCTCGATTCCTTCTAGAGTAGAGAATACAGACTTCATTTCTCGTCAGTCAATTGACACACACTCCATCCCGAAACATGTTCAGCCTCGACTGGCTTCCCGACTGGCGGGGGCTTGTGCTCCCCTTCGCCTACCTGATTGTCCTAACGGGCACCTTTATGACTTTTTCCACCATCTACCGCAAGAGGAAATTTCGTATGTAACTCCCTTTCCCGTAAAGTCGTATGCTTCCCTGGCCGGAAATCTAACGTTGTTGATTCTTCCAGAACAAAGCGCAAACCTCGCACCATGGTTCGGTCCTCACCTCCAGCGCAACGTCTACCTGTCACTCCTCCACATGGAGCCCGAGAACGGATCAGAGAAGGCACCTAAAGTTCCCGAAAGCGTGCTGCGGGCGGCTCTCCTGCGCCGCGCCGTCGAAGACATCCACCGCATTATCCAGATTCGCGCCGCCAAGGCCGCCTGCAGCTCTCTTTTGCAGCGTGGAAGCATTGGCGACGACCTGTGGCAAAGGTTCCAGCGCGCCGAGAAGGAGATGGAGGAAGAGCTTCGTGATGTTGTTATGGAGGTATGTGCTTCTTTGCAGAGGGTTACAATGTGGATATTGGAATCAGAAATGCCATGCTAACACCAAACTCTTTCAGGCCAACGCACTCGCTCCCAACTGGGGACAGAGCATCTTTCAAACCGCCAACGAGATTGCTGCCAACACCGTGCTACGCGAGCGCCTCGACGAGATCCAGGCTCAAGTGGACCAGGAGAAGGAGTGGTGGGAGAAGCGCAGGGCGACCGTCAGGAGCGAGTTCATGAAGGAACTGGAAGGAGAGGAGACCGGTACTGGCACCCCTCTTGACTCCAGCTCGGTCGCCTCATCGCCGTCGAAGAAGAAGGGCAAGAACTAGAAGTCACGTCCTAGCGATCGGTGTATGAGAGCGACGTGAGCATCTCTCAGAGTGATCCGGAGGTAGCTGTACAATATGGTTTGTGAGGTACGGGAGGGCAGGGCAGCGTGGGGTTTGTTAGGCAAGCAATTGCATTCTTCCATGGCGTTTATGGGGTTGGGACCTGCAGCAAAATATTCGAGGTTACACTTTTTTGCTTCTTCAGGTCGTTTGCGGGTCTTGGTCGAGATACACTACAGCCCACAGCGTCCTCGGGTTTGGGATGATTACGTAGAATTCAATACGTATGTTGATCAATACAGGGATCGAAGCGGCCAGGTCCCAACTTGGATGGTTTGAATGTGGTGTATTGCGCTGTTCTGCGGTCTAGGTATGTATCGATATCACCAAGCACCAGTGCCTGTTTGGTAGCTGACATTCCTAGAAGTAGCCATCTAGACTTTCCCAAGCGAATCATTCGGAAACAATCTTGCCCGTCTTAATATTCCTATCCCTAGCCATTGCAAACACCCACTGTCAACCTAAAAATACCAGCCCATCTTCCTCCTGATCTCATCCAACTCATCCTCCGCTCTTCTGATCCTCCTCTCCGTTTCCGCAATATCCTCGTCCGTCGTCCCTGTTGTCGACCTCAACAACTCCGAAATGTATGCCGATATACCCGGTCCTTCGTTTCCCATGGCCATAGTAGGCGAGCTCATGACCTTCGAGAGCGCCTCTTGCTGATCTTTTTGTTGTCCTTTTCCTTGCCGTTCCCACTGCCCACCCGTATCCAAATCCGTGTCAATCTCCATAGCATCCTCATCATCCTCATCCTCATCCTCATCATCGTCAACGTCAACGTGACCACTCTCCCTCTCTTTCAGCCCCCTACCCATCTCGCCGATGTTCAAATCCAATCCCATGATACTCAACGAAGCCGCCGAAGGCAACGGACTCTCGCACCCCCTCAACCCAATGAACCGTCCAATCCGCCTCCTCTTCTCCTCGACCCCCATGCCCGCGGGCCACGACACCGGGCAAGGGTAGTGCGCCGTCCACTGACATGGCGTGCGCTGGTGGTAGAAGCTCGCGAGGCGGTCGAGCTGGTCGTCGGTTAAAAGCCAGAAGTTCAGGAGAGTCTGGGGAAACTCGGGGTGGACGGTGCCGGAGGTTAGTTGGACTAAGGGGGCGAGGGGGAGGGCGAGTTGTTGGAGTTTGCGGGCGAAGATTGGGGAGAGGTGGGAGTGGCGGGTTGTCAGGGTTGGGTTTGGCTGTGGAAGATGGGAAGAAGAGGGTTGTTGTTGTGAGGTCTGTACAGGCTGGGTTTGTGACGTTTGCGGCTGTGTTCCTGTCGAGTCGTGGGGAGGCGGTCGGTGGCGACGATGACCCTGGGGATTGGATTTTTGGCTTGGGCGTTGTTGGTTAGACATCGTTGGTTGTTGCTGTTGTATATGATCCTTCTTTCCTCGAGGGAGGAGTAAAACGGGCTTGATTACCACCGTTCCGTTCTTGTTGCGAGGCAAAATTATTATCGAAGATTGGTGGCTCGGTTGACTTGCCCCCCCAGATCGTGATTTCCGGTTCAGTGACTTTTGACTTTTGGTCGAGGGCCCAAGTCAAGAGGAGGAGCCCAAGGGGTTTAAATACTATGTATGACAAGTAAAACCTGAAGAGAGGATATGCGAGATGACAAGTAGCCGGTGAATGACCCTCTCTTGACTAACAGGTCTGCCCAACGTCGACGCTCGTTTGCGAGGAGGGGAGTGACTGCGATCCGACTGAAGGTTTGAGGAGAACAGAAGAGGGGCGGGGGTTTGTAATGAGTAAATAGGTAGGCAGGTAGGTAGGTATGTATCGAAGAGCATACAATAACTGCCGTAAAGTGGAGGCCTTTTTCTCTCTCGTCTCTTTCGTCGGTTCGGTTCGTGCACCCGTCGTTATCGCGGCAGAGGAGGATAAAGAATAGATAATCGCGAGCAGCAGACTGTAAGTATAATGGTTTCTTTTCTTTTTGGCTACTTGGTATGGTATGGTTCTCCCACAATGGACGTTTGTGAAGAGGAAGGTCTACGGGATAATTGATGTCCTGCTGTTTCTCGCTGTAGTGGAAAACCGACGACGACGGACCTTTGGACACAACGAACGAAAGGAAAAACGAACGAGAAGCAACTTGGCAGGATGTTGATGAAACTGCCCAGCCAAGGTAACCGCAGCCCTCTTGTAGATAATACGCACGAAAGCATGTCATTCATGCCTTTGGCGAGAAGGCAGCCGCTGGGGACTACCAGAAGCAGCAAAGGTAGGCGGCAACACTGAAAGCTGGGATGCCGCCCATCTTCTTTGTTTGCTTTTTTTTTTGTGAATCGATGGCCTTGGTCAAGTCGTTCAATTCACGCTAGCCGCCTGTCCTCCACTTTGTCTCTCATATCAGACTTGAATGAGGTATCGGTATTATCTAGAGGGCATATAAGAAAGGCGCCAATCTAAGACATTGTTCGGGCTTCTCGTCGAAAACAACGTGAATGAGATGAATGCCAGTGACGGTAACAATGCTTTCTATTTCCCCTTTCCCCACGCAGCCACGGAAATTGCCAAACATAGCTTCTCATTCCATGCACGGCCAAATATGAAACATTCGAGACAACAAAGAACGCGAACGAAAATTACCCAGACGCTCTCGGCTTCCACGCTTTTCTTCCATCCATCTAGCCGCTTTCCAGCCACACCTGCCTTTTTCCCGGTGGGAAATCACAATAACCACTTCACCTTAGCAACATGATCCGCCTTCTTCCTGCTCTGCTTGACAAAGCCCATTAACCTCAGTTCCGCCAGTCCGCGATAGAACCGCACCAGCGCCTCCCTCTCACCCAGTCCCACATCTGAATCCTCGCCCACCAGCGCATAATACGCCGACCAGAGATCCGCCACGTTAACCAACGATCCCGTCTCAAGGTACAGTTGATACAGAATACACGTCGTCGGCAGCGTAGCCGACAGCGTCCCTGTGGTTTTGCTGCAGCATTCACACCCGAGATATCCATGCGGCCTCGTCAAAGCCCGCTCAAAGGTGGTCCCCGGCCGCGGAACAAAGACGTCCCGGTAAGGAGCCTCGGCGTCGTACGCCCATGCTTGGTGCAGAAACAGGCTGTCGATGGGCTCGCTGTAGATGTGGTGGGTGAGTAAATCGACGAGGGAGTCGATGGTCTTGCCAAAGGCCTTGTCTTCTTCCGTTAGCTTGGCCGTGTCCTGGCTGAGCTGGACCTTTTGGGCGACGACGGTTGTGCGTAGGATTTTGCTCTGGGCGGTGAATTTGCTCTTGAGGGATTGTTGGCCCTTCTCTCGGGCTTGCTCAGCTAGGGCCTCGATCTCGTCGCGGATTTCGGTGAGGGAGCTGATGAGATCCTCGGCTTCGTCCTCCCAGCCGGGCAGGTCGAGGTCGGGATTACCGGTTTGGATGGCAGCCAGTAGGCGGTTAATAAGGGCGGGGACGTCGTCTGCTCCTAGTCTTTTTATGGCGTCGATGGTGGGAGTTAGATCAAGCCCGCCGGCGAGAGCAGATACGTAGAGGTCGGTGAAACGGCTGGGAACGAGGTCCATGCTTGTCAAGAGGTGTAGAGAACGCAATAGCTGCATCAGGTAGTCCTGCTTTTTCTGCCGCTGCTCAACCATTTGCTTGACGAGGTAGCCGTCATCTTCGACGAGTGACTGTGCATGGTTGAGCTGTCTCGCGTCCACAGCGGCCTCGACATGTGCCTTGAACGAGTCAAGCGTCCGTACAGCCTGGAGGTGCTCAGGTTGGAGGAGCTGACGAGTGAGAGATTTTTCATCCGCAAGCAGGACACTTAAAGGGTTTGCGTAAAAATGGCACATGTAGGCGTACTGAACACCACAATGTCAGCCATGGTAAAAGTTGCAAGGAAACTATCAACCAGACTGACCTTAATAGAGCTGATAAACACCCGGATACCAGCAACCTGATCCCGCTGGCGATCCAGCAGATTCCTCAATAACGCGGGCCCTAGTCGAAGCGTCGCCTGCGTCCCAGCAATGGCGCTCTTGAAGACATTATCAAGTACCAAGTCTGCCTGGACGACATCGAACTTGGCACCGAACAGTTGTCGGGCAGTAGATTTGAGGAGTCGCGCCTGAAACAACTCGACCGAGGTAGCGATGCCGAAGAGTACGGAGAACTGGATGCGCCCCTGCCATGAACTGTATCGTCCAAACCTAATTAGCTACGCTGCCCCTTCGAGAAAAGCAACCGAGCAAGAAGAGTGTCAGTTTAACTTACTGGAAAAGAGCAAGCAAATCAGTCAACAGCGAGCTCTCAAACGCCTCGCTATCCTCGAACGCCACAATAACTCGCTTCAATGGATCCTGCTGTGAGCTAAGAAAAGCGTGTAATCCCTCCAGGTCATAGTCGAGGTACTTCCTGCCATCCCGACCAAAGGTAACCTTGGCGTCTTCGTCCCCATCGCCGCCGCCGCCGCCGTCACTAGACACTTGCGCAGTGGCGTCTCTTATCACCTTTTTCAGCGCTGCCTTGAGGTTCGGCACCCCGGCCGCTCGTAAACGGACGAATCGGGCTTGTGTGGCTTTGCCGAGAGCTTCGGAGAGTTGCTCGAAGAGCAAGTCTTGGGAGGCAATGTTGGGGCCGGTGATGATGAAGCCGGCTGGGATTCTTGTTCCTCTTGTTCTGTTCTGTGTCAGTGCCAGATTCTCTTCAACTAAGTATGGGGTTGGAAAGGGGTCATGGCCACTTACGTATCACCCTCAGCATCGCGGATAAACGAGCTGACATCCTCTAATGTCGTCCGGTTTGCCTCTCTCAGGACATTCTTCACTCGTAAAAACTCAACGTTAGCAATCTTACCCAACAACACAGCACAGCGCAATTCAACTCCGTTTTACCCATCAAACCTCCTTCCCGAGAAATGAAACTCCTCGATAAAACAACTCATCCCCATCACAACCCCCAACAGGACCCAAAGAATCACACAAAAAAGACAAGAGAAATAAAACCCACCTTAATCCGTCCATCAAGAACCGGCCATGCCGTATCAAACACCTGCCTCCTCAACGCCGCAGCTTCCACACTCTCCTTCCCGCCAAACAGTGGAGGAAAGGCAGCAGCAGCAGCAGTGGTCGTCTGCGCCCTCTCCATCTCCGCCTCACCCTCTCGTACCACTTCCGCGGCTGCGGCAGCAGATGAAGAAGAAGCGCGTTTGCTGGTAAATTTCCGCCTCTTCACTGGCCGTGCTTTCTCTTGCTGTGGAGAGCCACCGTGACCTGCCGGGGCGAAGATGTAGACTGCCTGTTTTTGATGAGTGTGAGTAAGTGCTGGCAAGAGGGGTGTTAAGTAAGGAGACATTAAACCTACTCGGTTATCATCGTCCTCGAAGAGAGCTGGGTTGTCGTCGTGTGATTCTGCCATTGTTGTGAATGGCGACAGAGTTCAGTTGGTTCACTGAAATCTACCTGGAATTGTGTGTGAAATGTGAACGTGATTGTACCTATTCAAAGTGTACAATGCGGAAGATGGACAGAGCTACTATTCCCGTGCAGTTTTCGAGCAGGTAGAGGCAGGCAGGGTACCTATACTGGAAGCTACTCGATGGGTAGCTTCTGGTATAGTTACGATCATGAAGGAACCAAAAATAATGGAAGGAAGTTCAGGGATGTTTGTTCATGTAAAATGGCGTTGTCAACATCTGCCACGAACTGGGTGAAGGAACGCGTCTCAAACAATCCCCGTCAACCGTTCTGGAGGGAAGCTGCGAGGGCCATGATCCCAGGGCAGGCCAGGGCGGTCGTTCTTACTGCTGGAGGAGCGCTAAACGTACAAGCCACAGCACCTCATGCGCCACTAACAATCATGCTCTATAGGTATCAATAACAACCCCTGTGGCTTCCCCCGCGAGCCCAGCAATTCGCCGTCCGTGACAGAACTCGTTTGGGTTGTTTACATCATGATCAAAACATTGAGCAACGGGAGTAATGTTTCTAATTAAGATATTCCATGTCGTTGTCAAATCACGTCTGTTACCATTCAGCAAAAGCGTTGAAGATGGCTCTCGTTAAGTATACTCACTGATTCAATTGGTAATACTACTGTATTTCATTAAGCAAGTAATCTTAACTATACCCTCACAAATCTCGTCATCAAAACCAGCCGAGCCCTCGCGAACCGGGACAACCGCACTCCATCCCTGTCTCGAAAGATTTGACCAAATGGCTATTTAGCATCAGATCGATCTTTGCCTTGTTCTCGTGCCTTCTTCATTAAGGAGCGGGCCGTAGCCAAATATAGAAACATGGAATCAAAGAAGCCAAGGAGCAAAGCTCAAACAAAGTACCAAAGTAGTAACTGTATGGTCTCGAGACGCCTTCCTCTTTCCTCATTTTCTCCGTCCCCCGTAAGTGACCAAGAAAGACAGACCCCGACAGAGATTTGTTGAAGAAAGTCCAAATGAATCGTAATCGTTGAAGTGCCTGTCTGTGCCCTGCTCATCATCTTTTGTTCCAACACATCTCGCATAATAACCTAGGTTTTCTTTCCCCTTTAGTGATACCGTTCGTTGAGAACCATCATCGTCATCATCGTCGTCTTTCTTCGCGTTTCCAGACATTTGTAAACAACCAGACACATGAATGCAAAAAAAAAGAGGCATGAAGGAGAAAAACCCCAAAGGAGAATAATAAGGCATGCCTGTATTTTCGTAACAACGAACCAAGCCCCCAACGAAGAACAAACCTAAACAAGAACACCCCCAGATAGTGATTTGATGATGACGAATGATTTCGGCACGGATGTTGCGAGAGAGACCAAAGAACAGAAATGAGATAGACACCAGACAGACGTACGGAATCAAAAGGGAAAAAGAAACGCGCAAAAACCCCCACCAACTAGTTAAACAGAAACATCATCTTCTTTCTTTCTTTCGCTGACTTTCTCTCTCTCTCTCTCTCTCTTTTTCTCACTTCCACATGACCATGACCTGAATGCTTATCAGCACTCCCATCGACACCTAATTCCAAAAAAGAGAACATCATTGCGCCCACTTTTCCACCTTCTCTTGAGTATTTCCGTATTTCCTACTAGAGCCTTCCTACTCGATAGCATATTCAAAGCGGCCGACTATAGACAGTTCCGCAACAGAGTCCTTATCGCTATTTCGGACACAGACAAAAAACTCGGAGCTTGAATGTTTCCTCGTCTTTGCGGATCGTAAAAGTCGGAATTGTCGGGGACCGGGGCGCACTCGAGAGACATTTTGATACAGCGACCGCACCGGCCGCCGTCTAAGGGATGCCGTTCACACTTTGCCCTTTTCTCTCGGCACCAGCGGCATGGTATCGGCCTCCCAAAGGCATTCAGTTGTACAGGCTGTCCGAAAACACCGACCACTAGCCCTCCTCAGGCAGATGCTTCAACCGCCTCAGAAGACTTTGCCTGTATTACCTCCCTCATTAGCTCATGTCTCGGTGTCAGATGACTCGGACATTTTTGGGGACAGATGCAACATACCTCTTCGGTCTCTGGCTTCTCGGTCTTCTCGTCCGCATCCTTCTTCTCATCCGCATCCTTCTTCTCATCCTTCTGCTCGACCTTTGCTTCGGCCTCCTCCATCTTGGAGTCGCCATCCTTGTCCTTGGGGGCCTCCTCAGCCTTGTCAGACGTGGAAGGCTCTTCGCTCTTGCCCTTGGCGCCGTTGGTCTTGCTGGTTTCCTCCTTGACCTCCTTCTCGGCCTCCTTCGCCTTTCCATTGACGCCATTAGTAGTGGCTTCCTTGTCGGCTGCGGGAGCGGCGGCGGCGGAGGCAGCTTCACCGGCTAGAAGCTTGTTCCACTTGTCCAAAAGTGTTTGCGAGCGGGGCTTGAACTTGAACTCCTCCTCCTTGGGAATGTTTTCGAGCTTAAGGATGGCCTTGAGCACCTTGTTAATCTTGGTGGCCCGGATGATGCTGACTTCAAGATCTGGGAACGCTTCCAGCTTGGTTAGGAACTCAGACATGACCTTCATCTCCTCGGGCTTGGGCTCCTGATCCCTGGTGAGCAGGCCCTTTTGAAGCTTGTGGCGGAGGAACAACACCTCACGCTGTTCAATCGTGACATGTCAGCAATCTGCACCCTTTCCAAAACCAAATATCCCATGCGTCAACGTACCTCCTTGCGGGTATGCTTCTCCTCAGGCGTGAGTTCTTGCTCCTTGGGAGTAGCAGCTTCCTTCTCACCCTTCTTCTCCTCCGTCTCCTTGGTCTTCTTGGCCGGCTTAGCCTTCGCGGTCTTCGCTTCCGCTGCGGGCTTAGCAGTCTTGGGGGTGGCGGCGGCACCGTTCGCGGTCTTCGCGGTCGAATTGGTCGTCAACTTTATCTTGGGCTTCTTGACCGACTCTGACCGCTGAGGAGTTTCCTGTTCCAGTTTTCCAATAGTTAGCACATGTCAGCCACCTCTTGCACAAACGCAGCTGTGGCTCACCTCTACGGGCTCCTCCGCCTTTCTCTTCTTGGCCTTCTTCTTGTCGGTCTGGGGCTGCTCGTCGCTCGCATCGGCCATCTCGACGTCCTCATCCTCGCTGACAGCGGCCTTGGACTTCTTGCCCTTGGGAGTGGCAGCAGCCTTGGCGGCCCTGGCCTTCTCCTGCTCAATCAGCTCCTCCTGGAAGCGCTGCAGAACCTCCTTGTAGAAAGATAGGGGATGGGTCTCGGCAGCCAAGTGGTACGCTGCAGCAAGGTCCTTGCGCATCTTGTCCATCTTCATATCCTTGATGGCCTCGGGATCAAGCTCGATGAGCTCTGTGTTAACCACCCAGCCGCTATAATTCGAAGCAAAATCGCTTTGGTTAGCTGGGAATCCAAAGTAGAAGCTAGGTAGACCGGATGAAGAAGGTCGCGCGGCGACTGCCAGTCCAAAACTTACAATTCGTTGGTATGAAGATACATGACGGGATACGTGCGATCGTGTGCTCTCTTGCCGCCGTCGGCAAAGTCTTCGCGGTAGGTACCATCGGGACGCATGGCGGAGACGGGTCGCGACTTGATGAGCGACTGGGGAAGCATGTCCTCATCGCAGATGATAACGGGCCATTGAGGGAAGCCCTTCAGCTTGACATAGTAGTGATCGCCGGGCTGCGCGTCGAGGTGAAGCAGCTTCGCCTTGGAAGCCTTCTTGTTGAGCTTGGAGCCACCGCCGACGGACTTGCGACGGCTGTTCGAAGACTTGTTGCTCTTGGACGTGGCGGCCGCGGAAGCAGCAGGGCTGGCATCGTCGGTCTGCTGGGTTTGCTCTGCCGACTCGGGAGCAGGAGTCTGGGCGGCGCTGGCATCGGCCATTTCGACGTCGGATTTTTCTGTTTGGTCTTGTTCGGGCTTGTCGGTGGCCTTGTCGTCGGACTTATCGGCAGGCTTGTCCTCGGTGTCTAATGGATAGGCGAAGGTGATGATTAGTTAAGATGTTTCCGAAGGGATGATCGCGGATGGGCGGTTGGGTGGATGGATGGATGACGACGGACGGTGAATGGATGCCTGGGTGACCGGGCGGATGGGTGAATGGGTGAAGAGTGGTGGATTCTTAGATACCTTGGGCAGCCTTGTCCGACTCTTGTTCGGCCGGCGCTTCACTAGTAGGCGCAGGCGCCGCAGTCTCAGTAGCACTGGCCGCCTTCTCCTCGGCAGCGTTGGTAGCGGCAGCAGCTTCCTCCTTCTTTGTCTCGCCGGCTTGGGTGGTCGCAGGGGCAGGCACGGCCTCCTTCTCAGCGGCGGGTGTTGGCGACGCGGCCGCAGTAGCCGGCGCGTTGGTCGTGGAGTCGTCAGACATGGTAGAGGAGGTAGGTATGTGATAGGGCGGCGGGTGATGGTAGAATAATCCGGGTGCAGCGGGTGGCGACGTGATGTCAGAGAGAGCTAGTATAGACGGGGCCGTGGGTGATGGTGATGGATGCCGCGATGGTTCAAAGTCTGATTCTTTCCCTAGAAGAAATAAAAGACAAGGAAAGGGACACGACGCGTGGTTGCGCGTGGGGAATTGGATTATGGATGGCGGAGTCGAGGCTACCGAAAGCTTGTGGTTCGGCTTGTTGGTGGCTATCTACGTCAACGCGCGCGTGACTTTTTGTTGATGATGCGATAAGCTTCCCAAGGTAGCGCTGTTGCTGTTGCTGTTGAGTTGCAGGTTGATGGATGACGATGAATAGGTATGGATGGGCAACGGCAACCGTGGACAGTAATGATAAATGGAGGGACGGGGCGGGTCACAATGCGCAGAAGCTTGGACAATGGAGAGAGGATGGTCGAAGGGAAGCTTCGCAGTTAGTGACAAGTCCTTGGTTCTCTTTTGTCTTCGCGAAAGAGAGAAATTATTTGAAGGTGACCCGGGACCTGGTCCGAGCGTCGCCTGCCTTCTATGGAACTCTAGTGATGTCTGTCTTGCGGCTTGCCCGCGGGAGGAGCAAGGAGCCGAACGGCCGGAGCTGGACGCTGTATGGAGGGATTGGCAATGCCATCGGTTCTGCCTGGCCGACCGAATGTCACTTTGCCTTCCTTCGCTCCATCACCACCGTCACCGTCACCCACTCACAGCATGTATAGAGATATACGTGGAAGAGAGCTATACATCATCACATCATAGTAGCAGGCAGGTAGGGGTTAGAAGTATACAAGAAGAACCCATGTTCCCGCCCGCCACCTCCTCATGCATCAGACCAGATATTCGCCGAGATCCCAAGACTCGACGCCAACACAACCACCATCCACCGCGACCTGCCTGAGTGATCCCTATAGATGTTGCCCATCCGAGTTGACCCAGTCAACCATGAATCCACAGTTGAACTGTTGTCCCCAGATCGTCATCCTTCATTCCCCTTTCCATCCAAGCACAACCCGGAACCCCCATCCCAGCCCAGCCCCAAACATTCCCAGACAGGCCTCTCCCCGACACCCTCACGCAGCAGCGGTCGTGAAACCCCGCACCACTCCGGACTTGGGCCCTGAAGCTGACGCCCTGAGCACCACTCGGCCTGCCAAAACCGCCCAGCACATGTATCCGCGAATCGATGTCGTGACGACCTGGGTTGCTAGAATAAGTAGCATAAGATAATACATTCTTGTTGAACTATTGCGTCTGTCCCATTCCATCCACATCCACTTACACCACACCGCCTCAATTAGCAGAGAGAGGGGTTCACCAAACACTTGCCTTGCATTTGCCATACATAACACACGTAATCAGTCTCGCCCCCATCACTCGTCATCCTCCTCCTCCTCCTCGCTCTCGTCCACATCCATTCCCTCCTCCACCATGACCGAGAACGCAGGATCTTGATCAACACCCACATAGCTGTCGCTCATCAACATCAGCTTCAAGTCGTGGCGACCAGGCGTAGGCACCGTGAATTCCAGCCTGACGTTGAGTTTCTTGCCAATGGTGACGCGCTTGATTGCCAACAGAGTCTTGGAGCTCTCCTCGCCAACCACCAACCACCAGTTCTCCGTCTTCTTGCCGGGGTAGAACGGAGCGTGCACCGTAGGATCGAACTCCTCATCCTCGTCGACCTCGCGCTCGATGTTGATCTTGAGGTAGGCAGGCTCGTTCGCCCGGATGTTGTCCTCGTCCTCAAGCGCGAACTCCAACGAGACGTCGGGGTACTTGTTGTTGGTGAACTCGGCAGCCTGGGCCAGCTGGGCCTGGGAGAGACCGAGCTCCCTGACCAGAGAGGCGTAGTCGGGGTTCTCCTCGGGGTTCATCTTCTCCATAAAGTCGAAGATGTCCCGGATGTCGTACTTGTTGGCCGTCTTGATCACCTCCGTCGTGAAGTTGGGAATCTGCTTGAGCGGGCTGTCCCGATCCCACATCGCTTGCACCACCATCTGAGACATCTCCATGGCGTTCATGGCGTTGAGATGGCCATCCGACGACAGAATGTCAACAGTAGCGCTCAACAAGCTGAGCACCTTGGTGAGGATGATCTCCTGATCCTTTGCAAGATCGATGGGGAGGTTCATCCTGGAGAAGTGGGCCTGCAAGAGAACGAAGGCCTTGAAGTGAGGGGAATCGAAGACAGGCTCGGCCATCTTGACGGGAACGCTTTCGTAGATGCGACGCAGAATGACCTCTTCGTGTCTTCTGATCTGGATCGCTTCGAACTCGGTGGCCGACGTCACGATCTCGAGGATACCCTTCAGCTTTGTCTTTGCAGTCAACGAAAGAAGGAATGTCTGCATCGTAATGTACGAGATGTTGTAGTAAGCAGCAATCATAGCAGCGTTCTGAGGGGCAACAGTGCCGTCATCCTCGTCAAAGTCGACAATCTTGGATTCGGCCAGGTCCTTGAGGGTAGCCTCAACCATGTCGGAGAGATACTGACTGAGACCGTCGTGCGTGGGATCTGTCAAGCTGTAGTAGCTTGGGTTGGCGAGCAGGCGGCGGTAGAAGTAGGTAAAGGTGGCCCAGTTGATAGCATCTTCACCTGACTCGATCATCTTGGTGCTGATTTCCGTCACAAAGGCATCGTGAAGGAAGTTGTGCAGATGAGACTCGACAGGGAGGGCTTCGTTGAGGAACTTCTTGTAATACTCCCGCTTGACCGCAGGAACCATCAAGACACCGCAACCGCGCCCGGCCTTGTTTTGCAGGAGAGCCTTGCCAAACATTTGCAAGACCTCGCTTAGAGGGTAATCAACATAGCGATGCTCCCTGCCCTCAAAATACTGGGTGCCCATGACAATTACCAAATGAGCCGAGCAATCAAGCTCCCAGCACACATCACGAGAGGCGATCAGCACCTGGATGGCCCCATTGTTGTATAGATGCTTGACGATGCGCTTGTCATTGAGGCTCAGGGCTTCGTGGTAGTAGCCAACACCGTGCTTGAGTGCCTCCGCCAATGCCGCCTCCTGGACGCGGTCGAGGAGCTTCTGGATCTGCTCAACCTCGACATGAAGGAAACGATCCTCGTCGTCATCAGCCAAGCAGGCGGTGAGGATGTCTCGTGCCGTAGCTCTTGTTTGCTTCCGGCTGGGTACGAAGATGAGAGCGGGCTGATCGGGAGAAAGCTGAGTTACGGCCAGGTAAGTAGGCTTCGCCATCGCCAGCATGAGGGACGGGAAATGGGGAATCGTGTATGACTGGATGTGCAATTCCAAAGGAATGGGTCGCACATGCGGGCTGAAGTTGTAAATATCATGCTTCTTCGCGTCGATCCACTCGCCGACATCACGAGCATTGGCAAGAGACACACTGAGACCGACAATCCTCAACGGCAATTCGGTTTGCGTCCTGATGTAGTGCATCCGCGAGACGATGATCTCGTAGACGTAGCCCATCTGACCACCAAGCAAGTGCAGCTCGTCAGCGATAAAGAGTTCTACCGTCTGAACATTCTTTCTCCTCTTCCACTGCCGAGACAAAACGTCCCACTGAAGCGGTGTGGCCATGATCAGGTCGCCCTGCTCCAAGAGCCTAAGGTCAGTGGTCGTCTCTCCCGTGAGCTTCACAATGTCCTTGCCACCCCGAAGGTTACCAAATCGCTTCTGCCAATCCGCGAACCGCAAGTCCACGAGCTCCTGGAAGGGTGCAATGTAGACGGCACGGCCCTGTTCCTTCTTTGCCCAGTGGCGCAGCAGAGCAAACTCGGCGCAAACAGTCTTGCCACTGCCCGTTGGTGAGCAGATGAGGACGTTGTTGTCGGTCTCGTACAGGGACTTGAAGGTCTGCGTCTGCACCTTGTTGAATTGTTGCCAATCGGGATACAGCGCAGCATAGTCCTTGGCCTTCAAAGCATTGACCAGGAGTGGCTGCAGGTCAAGCAGTTCGGTGTGAGGGGGAAATCTCTCTGGGAGAATGAGCTTCCTGAATGACACAGGCAGCCGAGTCTCGGAATGCATCCATCTGTCGGAGATCACAGAGATGAAATAATTGGGGGGCATGGGCTCAGTAATGGGCACGGTGAACTCAACAATGTGTTCGTTGGACTCGGACTCCGCATAGTCCTTGCGCAGGATAAACTGATCGTGGAAAAGGATGTCTTCACCATCGCAGTCTTCGACGACAACCCAAAAGCTTTCGGAAAGGCCATGGATATCGACATCCCATTCGAAGTTGGGTGTGATCGCAAGCTCAATGCGCAGCATCGACCTAGTCATGGGCTGCACTTGGGCCTGGACCTCGACCCGGGGGAATTTGGCCACCAGGCTGCAAACAGTCTTGCCTGCCTTAGGAAGTCCGAGAAGCTCGCCCATCCGAGGAGGGTCCAGGTCGAAGTAGCTGGTAAACGGCACGTCGATCCTTTCAGCCTTCCTCACGATCTCAATAGGGCAGTTAGGGAACTGTCTTAGCGGCGACATTGTTGGCCACATCCTCTTCTCGGCCATCTTGCACAGGTTCAGGGCCAGCTTAGCAACTGATGCCCATCCCTTCTTGATAGTAATCTCGAAGATAGCCCGAAGAATACGACCGGCGGATTGTGTGACGTAAACCATGTCGGCCATAAGAGCGAGACCGTCCAGCTTCAGACGAGAGATGTACGCTTGTAGCAATACGTTGATCTTTGCGGTAGGTTCTTCGATGCTCTCCTTGACTGGGATGGGTACCTTTGCAAGGAGTTTGGCCAATTCCAGCTTCTCTTCTTGACGAACGGGAATGTACTTGAACTCGGCGCTCTGGGCGAAAACACGGAACAGTTCGACATCGGTGATGGAGGGTTGAATCAGCTTGTTGTAGGTGTCCATCGAACCATAGGTAATGTAGTAGTGCGAAGCGATGCGGCCGAGTTCAGTGGACTGAAGCTTTCCAGTCTTCTCGTCGTACTTGATGAGATTTGACTTCTTCAGCACTGTAGCAGCGGAATGTATCAGGTCAACACGTTTCTGCTCCAAGGCTTCATCATCCTCGTACTCCGCTCCAACTTGATACAGACCAGGAGAACGGAGCATACGGACAAAGAGATAGGTATAGCCTAGCCATTCTACACCTTCGTCACGGCTCCTGACGTTGCCCAGCACGATTTCGGCATTGAGGTTATCAACCAGCTTGCTAGCGAATTGACTCTCAATAGGCAACTGCTGGTTAAGGAGCGAGAGGTAGTACTGCATCTCTCCCTGGGTGGTAATGATAATGCCTTCGCCATAGGTGTCGAACTGAGGGCGACCGGCTCGACCAAGCATCTGCAGCACATCCTGAGGGCTGAGCTCAACCCAACTACCCTTTTCGGGGGAGTATACTTGTGTGCCTTTGATGATGACGGTATGGGCTGGAAGGTTGACACCCCAAGCAAGGGTGGCTGTGCACACAAGGACCTGGATATGACCACTAGCAAACAAATCTTCGACATCGGTACGATCAGCACGGCTCATACCAGCATGATGGATACCGAAGCCATAGGGCAAGATATCCTTCAGATCGGTGTTGTTGACAGAGTTGGAGGCTTCGCTCAAGACCTCCCTAGTTCCGGCGTCGTGCTTCAATATCTGATTGATGGTGTCCATTTCAAGCGCCTTGTCCCGGATGTACTTGGCGGTTTTCGCTGTCTCCTTTCTGGAATGGACGAAGATGAGCATCTGGTTGCGATTCTGACCCACGTGTTCCAAGACCTTCTGATAAGTGATGTCATTCATGGTCTTGAGCTGCTTGATGGCCTTTCTTTCCGTAACGCCGATGAATTCCTGGCGGAGAGGGCAAGGACGGAAGGTTCCGTCGAAATGGAACAGACCAGTGTTGGTGTCAACGCGGAGGAAGCTCGCTACGTCGCGGTAGTTGGGCAGGGTGGCAGACAAGCCCACTATGCGAACCGGCTCACCAGTCTGCTCTGTCTTACGGATGGTTCTGCTGACGATGCTTTCAAGCACAGGACCACGGTCATCGTGGAGAAGATGGATTTCGTCGATAATAATCAGGCGGACGAGGTTGGTGTAGGAAAGGTCGGTAGCCTTTCTCGTGATGACATCCCATTTTTCAGGGGTCGTAACGATGATCTGCGTTTCCGAGATCTGCTGCTTGGTGAGTTGGCGGTCACCAGTGAGCTCGGCCACCCTGATGCCGAATGGTTCGAGACGCTTCCCAAAGTTGCCGACCTGTTCTTGGACCAAGGCTTTCAAGGGCGCGATATAGACGATCTTGAAGGCGTCCAGATCGATCTCGCCAGCTTCGTTTCTGTTCTTGCCGATCTCACGGAGGATGGTAAGCATGGCCACGTTGGTCTTGCCAGAACCCGTAGGAGCGCAGACAAGCATGTTCCCATCGTCACCAAAGGCAGTAGGATAGCACGCTGACTGGATCTTGTTCAACGACTTGGCCGTGCTGAAAGGAATCTGGGCCCACTCAGGCATTTCCGAAATCGGGACATGAGCGTCGCTGGGATCGTTGCGCTTCTTTGGTGGGGGCACATGGATTTCTTCATAGCCCTTGAAGGTGCGCTTTGTCGAACCCTCGGGAAGTCGCACTTTGGGATTGGTCATAAGGTGGTTGCCCTGGTCGAATATGAGGTTCTCCAGGTTTATCAACTTGCGCGGCTGCAGGCCTCCGACCAGCTGTCCCTCAGGACGCTCAGGCTTTTGGCCTTCCTTATCAGCAAAGGCTCCTGAGTCGATATCCATCTTGATGTCCATCTTGATCTTCTTCTGGCCGTCGTCGGTCTTGCCTTCCAGCTCGTCAAGAATCCAGCGCAAACCCTCCGAAGCCATCTCCCGCTTGATGGTATTCTTCTCCTCCTCGTTCTCAGCTCTGGCCAGCCGAGTAAGCCATACAACCTTCTCCCGGTTGGCAATGAGTTTTTGCACAAGCTCGTGGTGTTCGTAATCGAAGAGTTCCATCAAGTCGTTTTCAATGTCGCGAAGCTGCTTTTCTTCACCACCTGGCTCGTCGGGCTCTCCGGACAGAGTCTTGAGCGCGGACATTGTTTTGTCGTGCTGAATATGTGCGTCGGGATATAGCCGACCAATCTGACGTTGTAACCAGAAGGCATCGATATCTCTAGCTGGGATCGAGTTGTCGTCGGATTTGCTCTTCTTTCCTTCCGGTGCTGAGTCGATAACCATGGCCTCACCGCTTAGAATATCTTCCACGGCCTCCTCCTGACCTCCCTCACCATCGACCACTTCGTTGCTGTCAGGACGCTCTTCATCCTCTGCAAAATCCTCCTCGTCGGAAGACTCCTCCCGAACAACATCAACCATGCCATCGTCATCCTCGTCGTTCTCGAAGTTGACCGCAACACCCTGGCGTCCGTCGATCTCGTCATCTCCTTCTTGCCTGGCATCGCCCGCATCCTCGTCTTCGTCTTGGGCGTCATAATCCGTGATCTTCTTGCCGAGATTTATGAGCTCGTTGAACTGCTTGGGTCCCATCGAGACGCCAAGAATATCATCAACCTCCTTCTTCTTGTCGAAATCTTTCAGATCATCGTCCTTGAGATACTCGAGTACCGCATCAGCCGCACTGCGGACGACCTCATGGGGCACGTCGCCCAAGTGCTCGGCCACGATGGTGAGGATAAGGTTGAAGGCATCGCGGGTCGGCTGCGTTCGAGGGCGGTAACGAAGACCTTCGATGAGCGCATCGGCGCCAGTGAGAATACCTCCAGCTCTTGAAGTGGACTCGAGTTTGCCCTTCTTCTTCTCTCGTTGAAGGATATCAGCACCTTCTCTTAGACTGCCCCGCTCGACATCGGGCATGGCGCCCGCCTTCTTGGGCTTTGGTGCTGAGTCGCGGGCAACTCTGGAGCCCATATCCTTGATGGACAGACGCCCGGCTAGGGACTCGGGGTCTCCTGTGGCCTCATCGGTTCGCCTCGTGACGAAACGACGGTCCGCCTGGAGGACCAGGTTGGACATGGCCGAATATTTGTATTGCGATACATCGCGGTGGTGGTCCGTCATCTTGTCGGTTTGGCGGAGGAAAATCTATAAAAATGTTCCGGGTGTATATCGAGGTCGAAATGGAAGTCGTGACGGATAAAAAAGAGATTCAATCTATGATATCTTCGACTCTGTCGTTGGGGTAAAAACGTGCTTGTTCTGGCGTGCACGCTGTGGCGATAAATTAGCCCGATCCCGCCCCAAACCAAGCGTTGGTTTTGCTGGCTGATAAATAGGGTTTCGCCAGGCGCATCGATGGACGGAATAAGAATCGGGGTTCGGCGGAAACAGAGATGGTGGGTTTCCGACAGAAATGCTGTCGCGGTTGTCGCGAAAGGAAAGTTGGAGTTTGGCGTCGGGAAAGGTTGAGAGGCGTGCGAGGCGTGCTTGCCAGCAGCAGGCAGGAACTTGGCTTGGTAGGTGCGGCAGAGGTGTGGCTCCAGTCATGACGGCTGGATATTTTTATGCAACGCTGTATCGTCTCTCATTGGCTGTGCGCACAGTATGTAAACACCCTGAAGCTGGAGCTTGACATTGCTGTCAGAGTGCTGTTAGTGCATAAGTGGAGACACCGCAGAGGATATAAAGGTGCACTAACAGCATGGAGGTCGGTAGGCACAATCATCAACACAACCTCAACCCGGTACCGAGCGACTTGAGATGGCAGGAGCGGTTTGATCCTCCTATGGTCTTGAACTCCAATCTACAGCCTCTTTTACTCCAATACAAGGGGTGGAATGCGTTTACTTGTGCGCCAGTTGAACAGTCATCTCAATGCCAGATGCGGAAACACCTCAGCCCACCCACACTCTTTTATGCCCGTACTCCTGACATCACGCCAAGCTCGTCGATGATCACAGTCGTTTACATACTGAATCGAGGGTTGTGTGATGACTTCCTATGAAGTGGAAGCTAACAAATTCGACCTGAGACAAGGCTGAGACCATTTACAAGATGGATTCCACTCAAGAGACGCTGGAAGCTGTCCAGAAGGTCTTACAGCCATACGTCCGGCCTCGCGATGAAGTCGCCCATATCAGACGGATGTTGACACTTCACCTCAGTCCGGCCTTGAAAGACGGAGCATCGCTAACAGAGCCCTTGTCTCTCGTCGATTCAAGTGAACCACCCTCGTATCCACAAGAGATTAGAGGTCCATATAGGGAATATCTCGAAGCATTGTGCGCGAACATCAAAGTCCGTAAAGAATACCAGGCACTCTCACAAAAACACAGTCATCCTGAGGTTCCCACCCTTGAAAGCACAGAAACTCAACCTAGTTATCTCCTCAACCACCTTACCAGCCTCAAAATCCAAAAGAAGCAACAAAAACTTCTGGTAGTTGAGAAGAACCTTGACTGCTTGAGACAGAAGCCGGCAGCATCACCGGACTTCCTAGACCACCAAAGACTCTTCAGAGATTGCAGACCTCTTACCGAGGTTCCAGCTGAGGTCGTCAACTCGCTAGCACTGGAACAAACATCTGAGGACATCACTACGTCAAACAGTGTCCAGCTCAAGGGCCTCATAGACACTCTGGAGCATCGAACTTTCCGAACAAAACTATCACTCAAGCAGGAAGAAGATCTGCTCGAGAAGGCAAAAGTTCCCTTTTCCGCCATCCACCCGAAACATCAGTCCACAAGCAAAGCTCCAAGCATTGAATGCTAGTCGTTCCGAGCTGATCAACTGGATCGAGACCGAACTAGGGAAAGCATCAGCAGGAGATGACCGAGATGGAGGAGGATCTCCTGCCGGAAAAGATGTCCTTCAAGCCAAACGGGACCGAGATCTCGCAGAGAGAACCAACCTTCTCAGCCAGCAACTCGCCAGCATCAAAGACAAATACACCAAGTACCTCGCCGAACGCAAAGCCCTCCTAGAGCTCATCACCACTCAACTCCACTCCCTGCCGCCATCCTTCAACTTCCCAGCGATTACTACTTCCTCCTTCCCTCCTAGGACGATATCCCCTGAACGATCCTCCTCAACACCAGCAGCAGGAACAGCAACAGACACGCCGCCAACTCCAGTCCCTATAATCGACCACCTCCTCACTCCAACCCTCACCTCCCTCCTACGCCTCTCGCACGAACACAAAGGTCTCCTGGCCCACAAATCCCACATCGCCACCTTACTCTCCAAACAACTGAAGGAAAACGCCCAAGTGCTGGATCACTTGGCGGAAGAAAGCCAGTTGCTGCCTGCTCAGGCCATGGCAGCAGCTGCACAGAAGAAAGATCACAATGCTTCCAGCATGATGGCGGATTTGGTTAGGCCATGGGTATCAGCCGCCGACGCAGCCAAGTTCTCAACGTTCGAAGTGGTGGCGGAGAAAATCGAGGAAGGGCAGATGGCGCTGGAGGGCTCGATTCGCATGCTGGGGGAGGCTGATCGGTTATTGGGTCATGAGCCTAAGGGGCAACAGCAACAGCAGCATGAGTTGGTTGAAGCAGGTGCTAGTGGAGGGGAGGAAGAGGATGATGAGGTGGGCGACGAATCGGATATATGGCTGGTCGAGGGACAGAAGTCTTTGGAAAGGATAAAAACAAGTGGAGTTGAGAAGAGACATGATGAGGGCGGTAGGAGAGGAGAGAGGAGCACTGGCCAGCTCAAAGGGGGTAGTAAGAGTATATGGGATATGTTGGACGTGGATATTGGCTTGGAGAAGGGTGGGTAGTCGGAGACATGAAAATCATGTGGTGCTGCTGCAGATATTACGGAAGACACTTGTGGGCGAAGTGAGAATAGTAGTGGTGAAGGCCTGTGTCAAGCATTCGACAAAAAAGTCTAGGACTAAAAAACACCGAAACATGACCTAGTGAAATGTAAATGACCTGCCATTTTCTGTTGCCCAAACCGGAACTCCGAACCCAGTGATGTCGCCTATCTTTGAATTATCTGCTTTATCATACCCTTCTTAACCCCTTTAAATCTAGCCGTTACCTGCCAGCCAGGATGCCCGATATCCGTAGCGAGAGGTCCAGTATAGATAAGTGTTCGTCTGCACCGTCCACCAACCTCTTATCCACCTCCGAGAACACCATGACGATCTTATTCTTCTGTACGTCTGGAATCATCTCGTCGTAGACCACCGCTTGGTAGAGCTGCGTCATGGTCTGTCCAGCACTCCACCCATCCGCCACCATCTCCTCGACCACCTTGGCGACCGCCCGGTACGTATCCGCCCCAGCACGGGGCCGCATCGCCTTGAGTAGCCTCTGGATGGTATCGTCAGGGATGACACCGGCAATATCCTCCACGACCTTGACGGTGACCAGCTTGGCGTCCACCTCCATCTCATCGCCCCCTTCTCCCTCTTTTTGTTCCCCGTCTTTAGCTGTAGCTGCAACGGCACCGACTAACCTCGCCGCACTCTGCAAGTACGTGATCGCCTTTCTCAAATCGCCCTCGCTGCACTTGATCAGCGCATCTACGGCACCCTCTTCTAACCCGACTCCCTCGAGCTGCGCAATCTCCTCCAGCCTCTTCTTGGCGTTCCCCTGGTCGAGACTCTTGAACCGGAACTTGCTGCAACGACTCGCCAACGGATCAATGATGCGGGTGACGTAGTTGCAAATGAGGCAGAACCGCGTGATCTTCGAGTATGTCTCCATGGTGCGGCGCAGCGCGCTCTGGGCGTCTTGCGTCATGCTGTCGGCCTCGTCGAGGATGATAATCTTGAAGGGCGGGCATGGGTAGCGCGCCTTGTAGGCCGCCGAGGGGTTGGTGAGCTGCATACGGGCAAAGTCTTTGACTTTTTCGCGGACAATGGAGATGCCGCGCTCGTCGGAGGCGTTGAGCTCAAGAACGCGGGACTTGATGAGTTCGGGGCCATAGAGCTCCTTGGCGAGGGCGAGGATGGTCGAGGTCTTGCCCGTTCCTGGAGGGCCGTAGAAGAGCATGTGTGGGAGCTGTAGGGTTTTTGAAACACATGTCAGTGGCTGAAAATTCCGCCATTGTGACAAGAGATGGAAATTAGCAGGTTGGACAAACGTTGGTAGCTTGTAATGTCCTTTGGAGAACGGTAATAGTGTGGTCTTGGGCTGTGACATCGCTAAGGGTCTTTGGGCGGCTGTGACGTCGTCATTAGCTACATTAACCACAGGTGTTGAGTTTGATAGCTCTCGCATACTATTTCTCTACCCAAGGTTGTGCCCTAGGAGTTTCCTTTGTCTGTTTCTCTGGGTTGGAAGTGCCATTCGCAGCAGCCGCCTTCCTGGCCTTGAGGTCGAAAAAGCTAGCCATGATAGATCTTGGCCAGTAGAGTTGTGAAAGTTATCCCACTGTACGTCTAGAATTATACGAAGATGTCGGATTATTGTCTTTCTGTCGGCAGTCGAGATATCGTGACAAGGTATTGCTGAAGGGAGCTCGTGGTGGTGATAGTAGGAACTCCAAGCAGCACTTTACGCGATCACTGGAAGAGAAACCGCGTTCGGGCGCGTCACATTATATGGGTCCTTCACAATTAAAGTGGAGTCCTTAAGACTCCCACCCCCGGCCGTCCGCTAGAGCTCCGAATGTTGGGGTTGCGTCGGTGCCTGGAGCTTCTCCACGTCAGCGGGGCGGGACCGGGGACGGAGACGGGACGGGGGAGTGAGGGATCCACCCGGGCCCTGCACTGCAGTCTGTTTGACCCCTCATCCAAGGACCCTTCGGACTTTGGTTGTTTCTGTATTCGCGTGTAATCAAAAGTTTACCGCACACGGAACCTCAAGAGAGGTAAATACAATCCAGCCCCGGTTTGTTTGTTGGTTTGGTACAAGAAGCCAAAGCTTAACTGATATAGGAAAGTGTTCGGCTTTCTATCGGGTACCTGTATTGTATGCGCCGCCGTAGGGTCAGATTTTCTATCCTATTGGGTGCTTCCAATCGGCACCAAATATCTACAAACGAAAGTTACAGGGTTTCCATTCTCCTTTTTTCAGGTACTAAATTTTGTGTTTGTAGAGGATCAGTCACATCAGGCATTCCCGACAGCTTGGAGGACTCAAACTCTTAACGGGGAACGATAGGAGTTGGTGGTGGACTCTGGTAAAAATACGTATAAGGGCTTCCTGTTACAGGCCGGGACGATGCCTTACTGCACGATACCGTGCAATTCAATACTGGGGCCGTTTGTTAATCTGGCTCTCCGATCATGGGCCGAACAGGCAAGTTTTGGAGCTCTGATGGGGCTTTCAGAGACGGGAGGAACTGCCCTCCGTTTGAAGCGTCATGGAAACAATGGCAAGCGCTTTAGGACTCTAGATATGCCCTTCTCCGTCTCCTTCAAAGCTTTAAGACTGGAAGTTATCAGCCTACAAAGACGCTCTCATCTTTTTGGTTGCCCGCTGGCAAGTGAAACTGCCCTGCCCATGATGCCTCCTGAGAAAAGCAAGTGCAAGTTTGAGCAGCAATGGAAAAGCTGTAATTACACATGACCGTCGCACGTCTAGGTGCCTTACAATTTTACGTCGTGCATTACTGCACCACCCGCTTCCCGTCGTTGACAAGTTCCTTCTTTTCGTTCGAACTCGTCCCTGCCCCGCACTCAACCTTCTTGCCTGAACTGGTGTTGTCTCGCTCGCTGCTTCTCAGTTCAACCACCGATTGCTACCTGAATTGGTAGGAACAGAGAAAACAAACCATCACGCATCGTCGCTCCAACAAGACATTCGGATAACAAAGACTTGGCCTTGCACCTAATAGGCAGCTACCCGGCCATTTAATCTCAATTTCGCATAATACCATCATCGACCACTTCGCACGACGTGAACTACCTGTCCGCCAGTGTTTTCTTCACGTCCAATCGCGGTCCCCATCAACCACCTACCATACTGTTTACTACCACTCAGCTTGCCCGTGGGTTCAAGGGTTCGCGATTTCGAGTGGCCCATCCCACTCTCCATCTTTTACCACCTTGCCACCTCGATGATAGCTAAGACTTGGTGAGCTCCAAGTCAAACAGCAACCATGGACCAGTCTGTATTTCGCATCACCAAGGTAACATTAGTCGACGTATCCCACCACTCCTAGTCGCGACACCAGGGATCAGGTTCACCATAGGAGAGCTTCCATACTGGTGTATGCTAACTTGACTGTTGTCAACGATAGGAGCTTAGCGACCTCCAGAAAGACTCGGATTTGTGTAAGAGCCTGCAAAATGTCTCCGGCTCCGTCAGTCAGTAGCTAACATCATGTTGTGGTAGCTCTTGCGGTCGCCTGCCGCGATGTCGATGTTCGCAATGTTAAAGCCCTAATCATCGGGCCGCACGAGACACCCTACGAGTTCGGCTTCTTCGAGGTACTGGTGATCACATATGCCTTGGAGGGATTCAAGTCTCGCTGACTGCCCGATAGTTTGCTTTCGTCTTCAACAAAGAGTACCCTCGCAAATCTCCCCAGGTTCAAGCTACAACTACGAACGAGGGCCGCACCCGCTTCAACCCAAACATCTACGCCAATGGCAAGGTCTGCCTGTAAGTCAATCATCTTCTGACTTGGCCGAAGCCTTTGGACACTAACCAGACATTAGTTCGATATTGGGGTAAAATCACTGTCCCTCTGACAGCCATCCGTTTGATCTGGTTTTGGGACTAACATGGCACAGAACATGGCGCGGGGAGCGTGGAGAACAGTGGTCTGCTGCCCAAGGCCTCGAGTCCATTCTACTGTCTATTCAAAGCCTGATGTCCATGAACCCCTACGAAAACGAGCCGGGCTTTGAAGATGCAAAGGAGGCTCACGACAAGAAGAACCAGAAGAATTACGTACAAAAGGTAACTAGAGTTTTTCGCGCTGTTGAAGTGTAAGCTAATATGCGCCCAGATCCGCCACGAGACAATCCGCATCTCGGTCGTTCATCGACTGGAAGAATACCTAGGCATCAACCCCGACGGCACAGTTACGCCAGATAATGCCACCGGGGAGATCGTTTCAGCGGCCTCAACCGAGAGTGATATGGACACGTTGGACGAGGAATCTTGTGTCCCATTCGAGCCTTTCAAGGACCTTTGCAAGCGACGGTTTCTCTGGTATTACGACTCCTACATGGCCGCCGTCGAGAAGGGAAAGTTGGAGGTGAAGGACAACGAGTCGTTCGCCAGAATGCCCTTTGAAAGTCACGGCAACGGCATGGAGGGTAAATTCAACTACACGGAGCTGGAGAAGAGACTCAAGGCTATCAAAGCAGCCCTCGACGTCGAGACAGAGAGTTGGGCCGCAGAAGGATTACAGGCTAAGGCTCAGGAAACCACTGTCGCCGTTAATCTGCAGAGGCAATTCGAGCAGGTCGTGGAGCATTTCAAGCGCAGGGATCTGGCGCACAGCATCGAACTCGTGGGTGGCAATCCCTTTGTCTGGCTTGTGACCTACTTCGGGAAGCCTATGACAAACCTGGACGGTGGCCTGTTCAGAATCAAGCTTTGCTTCAGCCCACGATTTCCCGAGGAGCAACCTCGGGCGAGGTTCGAAACCAAGATCTTCCATCATCGCATTGCCGCGGACGGTACACCCTGCTACTATGCGCCACCGAGCCGCCGTGAGGATGTTAGGACGCACCTCGAAGCCATCATCGATGCTCTCGAGGAGGAGAGCCCCCCTTATGACCCACGCACTTTGGTCAACCCCGAGGCATTCAAGTTGTTCTGGGGCTCCGTGGATGACCGCAGGATGTACAATCGGCGTCTTCGCCGGTCTGTTCAACAGTCAATGGAGTAAGACCCCTCTTTGGTGGTTAGACCAAACAGCATGTCAGGCACTAACACTGTTACCAGAGATTTCTAGGACAACAGTTGACGGCAGCGTTAAGAGGATCCGAGGGGTGTTTGAATTTATCCGCACATACTTTGCATGGCTGGCATGGTTTCTGGTTTCTCTCTCAAAGAACTTTCTGTGGCGTTGGTAAACCAATAAGGGTGTGGAAATATCCGGGGTTCAAAGGAACGGACAAGGTGTCTAGCAGAGAGGGTCAATTTCACGCATGATTAATCCCGGATGCAAACAGGTATTCGATGTGCGGTAGGGCAAATACGAGGAACAAGCCTACCAAATAATGTTAGTTCGGTAGAGAAGTGAAGCGTGAGATAGCGAACATGGGTTAGATACGAGAGTTGTGTAAGAATGGAAGTTCGAATAATTTGCAAATTGTGCAGACCGAATATGAGCAAGATACGACGGACAATTGTGACAAAATCTACGTAAATGAATTGACAGCTTGTCCCGGCGGGAAGTATCTAACAGAAGCATCCATATCTTAATCGCTCGCTGAAGTTCAATATCTTAAGAATCCCATACACCATGATACCCTAACGCCGTGCTATACCATTCCAACCGTCAAATTCCTTCAAAGTCTTTCACGACCCAAAATTTACCGCTTGGACCCTTTCCTACCTGTCCCCCTATCAATTTTGTCTCTTCCAGGTGTATACGGCGCTGCAATGCCAACCAACCTCTGCGGTTGCTGATGTCGTGGTAACTGTGGTCCTTGTCCTTGTCCTTGTCCCTGCGTATCCCCTGGTGTCTGTTGCTGGCCTGATGATGTATTGGCATATCCTTCTATCCCGGTTACCGTCGTCGGTGGCGTGGTGGTCCTATCCGCTGCTGTGCCTGTAGAACTACTACCCATGGTAGTATCTCCCATAGTATAACCAGTTCCACTTCCACTTGTACTTCCACTGCCGATATTCCCTCCTCCTCCTCCTCCTCCTCCTCCTGGTTTCGTTGTTGCGGTTGCGGTCCCTCGGAATTCATACACCCCTCCGGGACTAACAACCGCAGGTACCCCCAGCGTAGGCGCCATCAGCTGCTCCTGGTGCAGCTTATCAAGCGACTCGCCCACGACGGCGTACTGAGCCCAGTTGATAGGCGGGCAGCGCACGACGGTTTGCGGCTTGGGGAGGGTGCGCCATGTTTTGGAGAGGTCCTGTGGTTGTTGTTTTGCTGTTTTCTTGCTGACGCGTTCTTTCTTCCTTGCTGCTGTTGCCATCTTTCGTCGGTTGCTGTTGTTGTTGTTGCTGTTGATATTGTTGTTATTAGAGGTAGGTGTAGATGAAGTGTTCCCAGCGCCGGTGCCGGACATGGAAATATCACCGTCTTGGTCGTGCCGTGGTTCTGAGCTTGATGAGGTTTCTTCTTCATCACCTTCATCACTGTTGTCATCACTGCCTTCCGATTTCATATCCTCATCTGCATCCTCGTCTTCATTCGCATCCTCATCATTGTCACCATCGTCGTCATCATCACTACTCCCATCGCCATTAGCTCCAGGTCCGTTAAGCAATGGGTCACCATCCATCCCAATTCTCCCCGCCGACAAGTCAGCAACGAAGGCCCCCGGATCCGAAAGCGCAGCAACCTTGGCCCGGTTCAGCGCCTGTATGTCGACCGTGGCTCGCTGGCGCTGCAGCTGCAAGATGGTGATGGCACTCTTAAGTGCTAACACGTCCGGGTTGTCGTCGAAGGCTATGGGCTGCGGTGGCGGCGGCTGGATGCCAATTTGGTCTGGTTGTGAATGAGTGAAAGTGGGTCGGCCTTGTGCAAAGATGGGAATGTTTGTGTTGTTGTTATTATTATCATGATTGTTATTGCTTGACAAGGGTGGCGTTGGTGAATGTGATGATGCTGATGCTAATGCTGATGATGAGAAGGCCGTATGGTGTTGTTGACGATGTTGATGCTGTTGGTTCGGACCATCTCCGTGACCGGGACTGGACAACCGTGCCGATTCCTGAGTCGGGGTAATGGGGCTAACGGGAGGGCGGGTCGGCGAGGGCGCATCATTTTGTGGGGCCTCCGCATCAGGGGCCCCTCCGATAACCCCGGAAGTCCTGCCGCTTGAGCCGATCGAGCCGGTGGTGGCCCCGGCGTCCGACGGGACGCGGCCTGTGGTTATTGTGAGACCCGGCATGAAACCTATTGGATGGGTGCACGATTTGCGCCCCGGAGAAAGATATGTTTGTTTGGCTGTGAATCCGCCCCTTTTCTTTGTCGTATAGGATAGGGGAAAAGGGGCCGGCCTCGAGCGGAACCGCAATGGTCAATCAGTCTGCTGCGGCTAGATAAGTAGCCTGGCTGCCTGGAGATTTCAGTCCTTGTACCTAAAACACCAAAGAGAAAGTCGCTGGATGTCGTGTAAGTTGTTCTGTCAGGTCCTTTGCTGTAAATTACGGAGCGACTGGTTCAAGTTGGATCATCCCATCATCATTGCAGTAACGGAGGCAGCTGTACCCTTGTCGACGGGCGTGATGATGTTCAGGCTACAGTGGCCAATCCCTGCGTAGAGAGGAGTGAAGTCGGGAGGTTGATGGAGAAGATGCCAAAACCGCCATCTGATTATGTAATCCACACACTCCAGAAAGGAGCCCGTTGTTTTTGCCCCGCTATGACTCTGTCTTGGCGGGACGGGAATGTCTTGGACGTCGTTGTTTGGTTGCCGATGGACATTCTCCAGTTTATAGATTATTCAACAATCACAAAGATGGCCACTATCTACAACACAGCCTACATCGTCTGATCCAGTCGAAACTCGGCAGACAGCGTCGCAGAATGCAATGCTCGAGTGGCCATTCCCTTTTCCGAGACGGGCCGCATGAGACATTTTGACCGTTGGTATCCATCTGTAAATGCAATGGAAGCTTCGTGGACTGCAGCCAGTATGTCTTCTCTTTCCCATCGTCTTTTTCCTTTCTTTGCTTTTTCTCCCTCTTTTTTCAGGAAGCTTGACCTCATCCTGCCAGCTGACACCCCCCCAGTCTCCGACTGCATACGGACAGTCGTAAGCCTCCTTCAATTCTGGCACCCTACCCTCACTTACCTGTGAGCCCGTCTCTCTCGACTCGAAAGGTCATCGACCTCCACGCAATTAAGGATCATGTTTGGGGCCTCCATCCAACATCAACCACTTGGCCAGCGCCACAAACGGTAAAGAGGTTGGGCGAGTTACTGGTTTTAAAAAATCAATGTTCCAGAGCCTTGTGTGATCCTGTTCCGGAGGAATGGGCAGACTTCCCGTCCAAGTGCTGCACCAACGACGCCAACTTGGACTGCGTTACGAATCGGGGCTTTTGTCTGGCTTGAGGAGAGGCCAGTAAGAAGGCGCCTCGGCTGCATCCAGGTCGGCTTGCATTCATGTTATCATTTCCAAGCGGGATGGTGGTCTTAGGGCTTTTCTTAAAAGTCAAACGTCGTAAGTCGCTTGTGTTCTGGTCGCTTTTCATAATAGTACCCTCAGTATTGAAAGCGCTGGGTAAGGCGTTGTTTCACGATTAACAATAGGAGAAACTACCTGCTGATCACCGATACAACCCACATGGCTTCCATGTTCAAAATACACGGAACACAACCCTTTCGGGCAGCCCCCGATCCCGCGGCCCTCAAGCCGAGTACGGTTACTGGCTGTCAGAAGTCGACGAGATAGTCAGTCTCATATCAATTCGCACATGCAACCGCTCTCACCACCATGCAGCGGCTTGCTTTTGACTCGCTAAAGCGCATGCTGTCTTGCGCCATTCAAACGTGGAGCTTAAGTCTGTATAATTCGTACACACTGCGTAGCACTGCGTTTTAACGTAGTGTACTCGGTAACAGGGCACTTTGGCCAGACCCGCTTCAGCCTTCTAGCCATCGGGATTTCTTCTAGACCATCGGTTGTTTCTGCGGACACGATCTGATAAGCATGATTCTTTTTCTTCCAGCACGTTCATTTCTGCTTCTATTCGTGTCTATAGTCCGGACTTTGTCGTCATATCTTTGGTGGTAGTCGCCAATAGTGTCTTCGCAGATATCGTATCTTTCATCTGCCTTGACGGCCGCATTTATTTTCCGACTTGAAAATCTCGGCGTAATATTTTCAGAACTACATCAACACTGAACACTCCAACTCACCAAGATCGTGAACCACCGTTCCCACAGAACTTTGACTTGCCTTGCATCAAATCAGGTCTGTTGATACCGCATGAGATCATACCCCAGTCGATGTTTCTTCACTGACCCACACGACAGGATCTTCACACTTTCGCAAAAACGTCCTCCGAGGGTTAGTCACTCGAATTTTCAGTCCATCCGAGTAGCCAAAAGGCAATATAGCGACGAGATAGTACGATGCCCTCGTGTTAATGATGGACTTCATCCTATCCTTCCCGATCTCGGATACAGGCCGATTTCTTCACGCAATTCCCTGATGCCGCCCTGACGACTCAGCTTTTTCCAGATACGGGCAGCCAATGTTTCTGATATAGGCTTCTCCGGTGTCTGTCTTGTGGAACCAAACCTACTGTTGCTGCGGTCTCGGTTTTAAACTGAGCTTGCCAGATTGTCCTTGCAAGTGGGTGGCCGGGCGTGGCCTAAATCCTTTTTGTGGGCTGAACGGCCGGTCGATTGGACATATTTTTACACCACCAGGAGGAAAACTTCCGTACCTTGAGAGGCACTTAGACAGGAACGCTTGTCAGTGAAGCCGGCCATACAAACCATCGACTGGGTGCACCTTGGCACTTGAGACAGTGTCAGATACTCCAACGAAAAAAGTTCCAAAGATGTCCAAACCCGGTAGTGGCAGCTTCCCAAGACGGGACGACGACGACAACAACATCCGCTCCATCCAGAAAACAGCCACAAGCCGCAGCGGCAGTACCTCCGTCTCCTCCATGTCGAAAACCACTACCCGCAACACCACCGTTACCACAAAACCCACCAAATCCGGAGGAGGAGGAGGCAAAACCAGCGGCAAGTTCTTCGGTGGACTCCTCCACAAAGTAGCCGACTGGGCCTCGACCAGCGAACCTTCCATGCAAGCCCTTAACCAATACAAGCAAGAAGCCTTCCAACGTGCCGGCGTTTCACCCAACGACACCGATCCTCACACGAAACTTCACGCGCCCATCGGCGAGATCCCCGAGGACGCGATAAGGCCGACCACGGGGCCGACGCCGGAGGAGGTGCTTATGCGGAAGAAAGCAGAGAGGAAGAGGAGACAGATGGAGGAAGAGCAACGGAGGGGGAGTATAGCTGGAAGTGGGAGTACAGGTGGCGGTGGGAGAGGATCTATTAGGTCGGGTTCAATATCGTCGTCGACTATGTCTGGTGGTCTGGGGTTCGGGGCTGGGACTGGGACCGGGACTGGGACTGCTTCGTCGACGGTTGGGTCGGGGTCAAGTAGGAAGGGATCGGTTTCAGGAGGGAATAGTGCTGTTCCGTGGGACACGAGTGGGTGGTGAATGGGTGTATCGATGGCTGTGGCATATTCGGGGATAAGGTGTGACGGGCTATGACCATGCATAGGTATGTTCGGTTATGGGAAAGGTATGGATTTCGTTTTCACTATAACTACATTAGTTGACATCGGTAATTTGCAAGAGAGGCGTCGAGATCGTCATGGTTGTCTGGATACCCTTGGAAAATAAAATGCTATGCAGAACATCGACCAGGTCTGGGTCGATCATGCAACCACCTCAAGTCGGTGATTTACTCCCGGGGCCCCGAGTAGTGTACCGAGCCTCCATCGCCCGCTGTGCGACCAACTGCATCGTCACATCCTCAAGAAACCTACCTTGAGAGTGATCGATAAGCCTCAAATATCCTTCTGTAAGCGCTTGCGTCTATACTACAGTAAGTAGTATAGGTATATCAGAAACCTTTCATGAACCGCCACTGCGTACGTATTAGTAACACGGTCCTACCATACCTTCCATGAAAAAAAATGCCCGATCGAATATCGATCCCAGCAACATGGCTCTGCCCCAGCGTTTCTCACCACGCGACGAGACAACCCCATGACCCCGATCTGAACAATCAGGTGCTTAGATGAATTTTGGAACAATGCGCAAGATTGTAGGCAACCGACTTTCGTTTTAGTTCTGCGGAAAGTTGGTTCGAGACGCACAGAAGCACCCTCTAAGACCATGGGTGATTGACCAATCGGGTATGAGCGTGGAGTTGGGATCATGACGTAGTTGGTTTTTTGTCCACTCCTGCTTTCCATCCCTTGTCGTTCCTTTCACTTTGGAGAACTGGAAAGACTTAATGGAATCGAGACCTACCCCAGTCCATCTTTGATGATATTGCAACTCTCCAGCTCTTGGATCCTGCAATCACTGCCAGAAATAAGCTTGTAACTTGTTCGGCATTAGACTCGGACATTGCATCTACCTATCTACTCCAACCCGCTCACCATCATGCAAATGCTTGGTTGCTGATCCATTTACTTACATCCTCACTTTCCTTACACTGCATACCTATCAATGTGTGTGGTAGGTTGTAGTAGTTTGTAAGACGCTACATCTACACTTCTGAGACGGACCTGCAATTTTTCATCCGAATATCAATACTTGAGAGGTCAATACCACCTTCTACACACCCCGATCAAAACGTAACTTGGATTGATACCAACGAACGCTACCTTGCCTGCGGGTTGCTACCTCACCACGATGAGCACCAAGAACTGGCCTCATAACGGCCACGGCGCCGAGCCCCGGGACCGGGATGACTTCGCCGGCCGCTCCTCCGTCGACCACCACCACGAACCCGACGAGCACACCCGCCTCCTCCCCAACCGGGTAGACAGCACCGGCATCCCCTACCTCTCGCCCGACGACCCCGCCGTCTCGCCCTACAACCTCTGGACCGTCCGTCTCGTTCGCGCCGTCACCGTTGTGCTTACCTGCCTGACCTTCATCTGGTGGGTGCTGATGCTGGTGTCGGTCTTCGTGACGCCTCCCGGTTTGCACGCGCGGGGGTCGCCCTTTTTTGCGTTTAGCTATACTACGGTTGCTCTGATCACGCTGATTACGAGCTTGCTGTTCTTTGCGGTGCCGAGTAAACCCGCGCGGGTGGTCAGCATTGTTACGGCGGTGTTGTTGCTGGTGGATGTGGTCATCATGTTGGCGGTGGAGAAGACAAGACATGAGGAGTTGTGGGTGGGCGTGGCGAGCGTGATTTGGGCGACGCTGATGGCGGTTTGGGCGGTGGCTGCTGATCGGACTGTGCAGGTAAGTCTGTTTTCTTTTGGGGGGTCCTCTCTTTCCCCCTTTTAGAATCTCTCAGAAAGAGAAAGCCCTTGGGTTCGTTGATAGACTGACACTCGACCGACATCACAGTGGGGAAAGACTGAGGAAGAAGAACGGCTCACCGGCCGCCCGGAGACAAGGCGTACACTGTTCGAATGGGTACAGGTGCTTTTGTCCAGCATCATGTTGACGCTTGTGTCGATCGTGGTATTGCTCACCACTTGCACCCTCACGCTTCGTGCTCTGGACGCGAGGGTGGCGCCACCGGGCGAACGGTACTGGGTTGACGAGGACAAGTACCAGATCCATCTGTTCTGTTCCGGTCCCAAGTTGGATGCTCATGGAAACAGGACGACCACCGTGCTCTTCGAGGGCGGCGAGGATGCAGTTGAGCATGGGCTCTGGCAGTTTGCTGAGAACGCGGTCAAGAACGGTTCCATTGCCAGATATTGCTTTGCTGACCGGCCGGGTATCGCCTGGGTATGTTAACCGAAGTGTCTTTCTCCTTTCTTCGACTCACGGACTGACCAATTTGACTTGATAGAGTGACGCGGCCCCTTCACCACTCTCTGTGAGCATGGCATCTGATGTTTTGAGCGAAGCGTTGTCTCGCGCAGGGGAGGATGGACCGTATGTTATCCCCCATAGACCCTCTTTCTTGCTTTATTACTGACAACATTCTTTGCAGTTGGGTACTCGCCAGCGCCGGCATCGGTTCCTTGTATTCCCGAGTCTTCAGCTCGCGACACGGCCAAGAAGTGCGCGGCCTTCTGATGATCGATCCCTTGCACGAAGACCTTCTTTACCGGGTCGGAGCCCCCGGTCGCGGCTTCCGTCTCTGGTTGCAAGGCGTCCTCTCCCCATGCGGCCTGGACCGCATCCCCGCCGCCATCCTCCGAGGCCGAAGCGCCAGGGACCGGATTTACGGCGGGTCTGCCTATCAGTCCGGAGGAGTAATCTTTGCAAAGCTGCAGGAAAGTCTGGTTGCCAACTCGCTCACCCGGCGTGATGTGGTGTCAAGCAGAACCATCCAGTACAAGACCACACCCGTGGTGGTGGTGACGTCTGGTGTGCAGATGCGGAAGGACAGCGAATGGGAGAGCAAGGTATGTCATGATGCCCCAATAACCCGAGGCATTTTCCCAACGAGCATTGCTGACGTCAACGTTTACCATGCACAGCAACGAGATCTAACCCATCTTACATCGAATCTGGAGGATTGGGACATTGTTGACCAGGCACCTCACCAAGTCTGGCGGACTTTAGAGGGACGTGAGATGATTGAGAAGAGACTGAGGAAGTTGGTTCGCTTGTAGGGCGATGCCGGCCAGTGCTGATATTTCTTTGTTATTTTGTTGTCGCTATAATGGCACCGCATTTGTTTCATTTTCGGTTGAGGTTGGCTTGGTTCGGTAGCTGGGTTGGCGATAGGGGAAACTCTTAGGTTGCTTTTATTTCAGGGTCGTTCCTAACGTCTTGGCCGGACTCTTAGCACCATCGTCGAGCCTATTTAGTGGAGATTATATGAACAGCGCAAGCGTACTGGGCGGACCTGTACAAGATAATAAACACAGTCCATCTCTGTTTTCTTTCTTCTTTCGAAAAACCACCTCTACTCCCAGCTTCCATCAGGGATACTATAGGGACACACAGCGAATAACACGGCCAATAGGTAGTGAGCCATGAGTTCTGATAATTTCACGAGCCAAACATGCGCAGGTTTATTGCCAAGACTCTGACGAAGAGGGGTTCCATGTGGTGTGGAAGGGGGACAGAAACATCAAGGGGCCTCTCATATTGTCCAATATTCTTTGTCCACTCTCGGGTCCTCACGCCATGAGGATGGTCTCCACTCGTTAACTGAATGTCTCCCCCATGGAGGAGTGTTCGATGCTCTCAGCCGCTGTCCATGATCTTCCTCTGCTGCTCCTTGACAATTACAAAAATATCAAGCATGCATATGCGGAGAAGAGGGCTGGTAGTACAACAGGCAGGGACCTCTAGATAAGTCGAGCTTTGTCTGGAAGAGGTCCTGGCCCCTTCCGATATATTGAGAGAAGTGGGCTTGTGGGGGACGACTATGTCTAGTATACACATACAGTATGTGTGTATGGATGCCATTCCCCGTGTGTGCGCAAATGCTGTGTTCAAGCGCCTCGAACTAACCTTCGTCCCATATGATGTGGAGGCTGTTGTGTACAAAGCTTCCACATCCCTTCCGTCCTCGTTCCTGACGAGGGTCCCAAACATATCCAAGTGACGGGGCACACGTGTTATTTGGATGCAAGCCGCGGCCGGGCCCCTTCCGTTCGTAGGTAGCCCAGCAGCAACCAGCTTCCTTGTGTCGGGCTGTTCCGTGCAGAAGTCCTTGCTCTTTTCCCGTCTCTGAACTGCTGTGCCTGACACTTCCCCTCGACGTACATACCGTGAGACATGAGAAGGATCTCCGCTGCTTCTTTTTTTCTGCAGGCGCCCTGGCAGTGATCTTTTTTTACTTTGATTTAACGTTGCCGGGTAGCCCAGGCCTCATGCCAGTAGGAGAATGCTAGGGAAATGCTAGCCCAGTCCCATCCATACCTTATTGTTAGAAGCAGGTCTGGAAATTGCACTCCGTCGTCGTGGCGGGGCCCGTAGATCGCTGTTGTCCGCTGTTGTTGCTGCTGCTTCCATTCCATGTTCAGTTATTGCTGTTAGGGTCCAGTTGTTTTATCCCACCCGACCCAGGTACGTACCAGACAAAAAGTGCAGGGACAGATTACCTGCACCTTACTTGGGCGGTGGCCCTGGAAGCCCAAACTTACAAGCCCAGCAAACACCCAGGGACACCTGCCTACCCGACGCACCGGGCCGCTGGCATTGAGGTGACTGGTCCCGTCTTTGGACACCCGACCGCACTTCCACCGCTGCGGACAATGACCGCCCAAGCACAGGCGACACCACGCCCGACCGCAAGCCCAGGTTCCCTTCTCCAGTGCTACCAATCGACCCGTCCTGCCCCCGGCCACCTCCACGCCCTTGTGGCCGCCGCCTCTCCAAACCCCGACAATAGCGCCCCGACATCTTGATACACCTCTTGTACACCCACGCAGCAGAGAGGCACTCAGTCGGGTCCCGTCGTCTCGAGCGTCAGCCATCGTAATCCCGTCCCACGTCCACCGTCGTTACGTCCACTACCTTACTTGTCCACCGACACCGACCGTCACCGTCCACCGTCCACCGCTTATACCACGGCCGCCGACTGATTGGCGCCGACTGCAGCGCGCACGCCGTGATCGTGATTCCAAGTTCGACCAGCTCGACCCATTCATCATCATCCCGTGGCATTCGACGTCCTTTCCCCGACCGACTGAGACGATTGCCCGATCCTTGCCCTGCCTGGCCTGACCGAACAATCTGGCCAGCCCCCGAGTTCCCAAGCAACACAACCAACGACCGCGAAACGCATTCCAAGCCCCTGTCCGCTACACCGGCCCGGATCATCACACTATCCCTCCTGCCGCTTGACACACGATTGAGTCCACGTCAACAACCATCTACGCCCGTCTTCCCATTGAGGCGGCCAACTCCAAAGTCCTTTGTTCGTCCGTCGCAACTAACCCCCTAACTGTCGAGCTCGCCCGAGCGCGCTGGGCAGTTACGCGCACGACTACAGACCCGACTGGCGAACCATCGCCTTGTCGCCGTTGCGGTGTCGTTTTACGGCATCTGGCAATAGGAGGAGCAGCTTGCGGTATCCCTTTCGTCTCGACCAAGTGGGCTCGAGCCCCCGCTTGATGTTGACGTACGCGCCTTTGTCCGCCAATCTACATCCATAATTCGCCGCGATCGTGATCGCAGCCCACCTATCTTTGGAAATACATCGGAACATCAAGAGCCTGGGTTTTTCTGAACTCCGTCAAGGAATCAAGGGTCAAAGAACAACATCGAAATGGCAAGCTCAGACTACGGCGGCGGCCCCGTGGGCGACCGCGAATTCACCCATGGACATCCACAGGGGCACCCCCAAGGCGAAGCTGCGCAACGGAGAGAGGACGAGCATCTGGATATTACGCAAACGATATCACAAAACGGCGCCCCTACAAATGCCCACTTGGCTCGTATTCCAGGATCGCCTGCGCTGAGCGCCACCGATGCTACAGACCTCGAATCGAGACGCAGTGGAGACAAGAACAGGTCAAAGCCAAAGGGGTCGAGGACAGCTAGCGGACAAGTGCGAGTGTGCAAGAAATGTGGCGAACCCTTGACGGGCCAGTTTGTTCGCGCGCTCGATGGGACATTTCATTTGGATTGCTTCAAGTGTCGCGTGAGTCCCTGAATTAGCCGCCCGGTGTGGACTTTCTAGCTAACCATCCGATTGCAGGACTGCGGCCAAATTGTTGCCTCCAAGTTCTTCCCCGCAGACGACAATAACGGCGAGGGTCAGTATCCCCTTTGCGAGACGGATTACTTTCGCAGGTTAGGACTGCTGTGTTACCAGTGTGGCGGAGCTCTCCGGGGGTCTTACATCACAGCACTCGATCGCAAATACCACGTCGACCACTTTACCTGCTCGCTATGCCCGACTGTCTTCGGCGCTCAGGATAGCTACTACGAGCACGATGGACATGTCTACTGCCACTACCATTATTCGACGCAGTACGCCCAACGTTGTAGTGGCTGCCAGACTGCCATTCTCAAGCAGTTTGTCGAGATATTCCGAAACGGCCAAAATCAACACTGGCATCCCGAGTGCTACATGATACACAAGTTCTGGAATGTCAGGTTAAATCCCCCACAAAAGGCTCTTGGGCCGGTGCCGGATGACCCTGCTGGTCGTGAACTTGTCCGGGACGAAGAGGAACGCATGGAAGAGAAGGTCTACCGTATTTGGAGCGTGCTTTCGACTTTCGAAGAGTCGTCGGCAGCTTGTATATCGGATATGCTTCTCCATGTGAGCAATGGGGCGTATGTCGACGGTGTCATGGTAGCTAAAAAGTTCATATGGCACGTTGACATACTGTTCCATTCAGCGGATAGGCTTGATGCTACCATGGCAAGGCTGGATATGACAGGTGAGAAATATTCCACGGTGCATGAGCACATCCCCGGAAACTGATGATGTTGGCTGATGAATAATAGGCCTAATGTATGGAAGAGAAGCCAAGCTTCTGTGCAAGAAAATCGTGGCATTCTTTTCGCTACTTTCCAAGACACAGGATAAGGGCACCCGAAAGCTTGGCGTTACCCAAGAATTGTTAACACTCGTCACCGGCCTAGCTCATTACCTAAAGCTCCTTATTCGAATCTGCCTACAAGGAGCGTTGCGGATCGAGAAGGAGCGCGACACCGCCGAGGGCCTTTACGGTTTTCTCGACGAGCTCAATGATCTTGAGGCGCTGAAGACCGAGGATAATTCAACGACGACGCTTCAGCTGACCTCCGGCATGGCTCGCCTATCGGCTTCCGACTCGGACTCGTGTACCCTCTGCAAAAAGCCGATTGAGGACGAGTGCGCAAAGAGCGGCGAGAAGAGGTGGCATATCACGTGTGTCAACTGCTCACGTTGCCAGAGAGAACTCGGCCGGAGTCTACAGGATGCCCGGCTGAACCTTTATGATTCCAAGATATTTTGCAACAACTGCGAAACATACAGCTCGGATAAGGCGCCGCCGTTCGAGCGTGTGTCCAAGCTGCAGCAGTATATGTTCCTGCTGCAGGTAGCACTGGCCAGATTATTGGAAATCCTGCGAATGCACGGTGCCCTTCCGTCTGCGGCCGAATCAAGGGGCCATAATGGGAATGATGCCGGTGAAGGCCGCCCATCACTGGATGGTAGACAGAGAGGCTTTCCCGGGGGTGATCAGTCACAACATCATCGAGAATCGTCCTATGAGAGCGCTCTTAATGATGTCAAGAGGCTGAAGAGCACCCGCTTGGATAAGCACCTTTCGTCAAGCTTTAGGAAAGCCCGGACGTCCCGAATCATGGATGGACCCGAGAGTAGCAGTGCACAGCCCGGGTCCGGGCCTGGTTCGGGCATCAATGGCGGACCGGCCAATGGCAGAAGAATGCGGATCGAGGAGGATATGGGAACCGGTGGCGAGGACCACGATATGATGTTGCCTAACCAGGACGCCCTGACCCTTGCGGATATCCCTCGGATCGTCGCTGCTGAGCAGGCAAGAGAACAACGGGCAGGTCCGCCTAGTAGGCAGGAGCTACTGCGTTCTCCCGCCACCGAGCCTTCATTTGGCGGTGCGTCCTCGGGCAGTGGACACAAGCGAAGCTATTCCGACAGCAAGGGTGGGGACCCGCGCGCTGCTGGCGAACCATCGCCTCAGCGTGTTGGTAGGAGATACTTCTCCGAACTCTCGGCTTTGGAGTACTTCATCGTTCGACATCTTGCCGTTGTTACCATGGCCCCGATGGTGGAGGGTGAGTTTACCCTGGTAGAACTGATCGGACTGATCGAGACGAGGAAAACGCCCAATTTCTGGAAGAACATCGGCAAAGCTTTCCAAAAAGACGGACGGAAGAAGAAGGGTGTGTTCGGCGTACCACTGGAAGCTATTATCGAACGGGATGGAGCCGAGTCCACAGACGGCGTGGGGCCCGGGACATTGAGAATCCCGGCAGTCGTTGACGATATCCTATCTCTCATGAGGCAAATGGATCTTTCGGTTGAAGGTGTCTTCCGGAAGAACGGCAATATCAAGAAGCTGGGCGAGCTTGTTGAGAAGATCGACAAGGAAGGGAACGTGGACCTCAGCGGTAACAACGTCGTCCAGGTGGCCGCCCTGCTAAAACGATACCTCCGAGAATTGCCTGATCCGCTCATGACCCAGAAGCTCTATCGACTCTGGCTGGCAGCCGCGAAGATCGCAGACGAGGACAAGAAGAGGCAGTGTCTCCACCTGATATGCTGTCTCATGCCCAAGTGTCACCGCGACTCGATGGAGATACTGTTCTGCTTCCTTAAGTGGGCCGGATCGTTCCACCAGGTCGACGAGGAATCAGGTTCCAAGATGGACATCAAGAATCTGGCGACTGTCATAGCGCCCAACGTTCTGTTTGATAGAACCACGACGTCCACGTTGGGTAGCGACCCGATGTATGCGATTGAAGCAGTCGAAGTTCTAATAGCCAACATTGAAGAGATGTGCTTGGTGAGTTTTTGTTTTCTCAATGGTCCGGTTCATGCAGCATTTGCTAACACGCGTCCTTTTTACAGGTCCCTGATGAACTCGTACAATACATCAGCGACCCTGCTTTCCTAGACGGAGAGCTCACCACAAAGGAAATTCTCAAGCGATACTCTGAGCGAAACACGGGCGGTTTCGGCTCGCGACAGTACGCCGATGTCGTCGAGATCGTCGGCCGGCACGAGAACCCCAGTCGCCCACCACCACGCAGGGTTGAGTCCGACCCGACGTCGTGGCAGCAGGAGACCAGCGTCCGGACGGTAACCGAGAACGCGGCATACCTCGGCCCTGGTCCCGCTGATCGTGGTGGCAACAACAACGGAGGAGGAATGGCGGATCGGATGGGAGGCCCCGGAGGAGCCATATCACCACAAAAGCGTGGAGGACCCGGGCCGATGGGACCACATCCACTCTCACAGTCACATGGAGATGGTGGTCCCGGTGGGTTCAGCAATCATCCTCCAGGGCCGCCTGGTGGACCACAACAGCCTATCCCGTACGGTCCCGCACCTGAACACGCGGCGCCCGCCGGTGGTGGTGGTGGCCCTGGTGGTCCAGGAGGGCCAGGTGGAAACGCGATAGGAGGCGGAGGGGATGGGGTCGCAGGCGGCGGCGACTATAATCGTAATGGGCCGGTGAATGGACAGCAGCAGCAACAACAGGGAGGAGGAGGGCCGAGGAAGGAATGGCGGAATTCTGGCTGGGGCAGGCCAAACAACGGGGTGACTACTGGCACTGCATGAGCAATGCATGAGCTCATACCTCACCTGTCATTGTTTTGGTTGTTTTTTGGGAGAAAGAGGAGGAGAGGGCTTTAGTAAAATTCCGGTAGCTGGAGGAGGAGGGAAGTGGTGATGGATGTTCCTTTTTGGTTTTTGTGTGTGTCGGGTATCGTTGTTTGATATCAATCTCAGAGGGTCTTGATTCTCTTTCTTGGTTGGCTGGTGACGTCCAAAGACGGAGGAGGAAGAGGAGGTTTCTTTTTTTTTTTTTCTTTATCAAGGGGTTTTACTACTACTTTTTATCTACTTAACTATGGAGAGAGCGACTTTTTTCTGTTTGGCTTCTCGGGTTTTTCTTAAAACTTTTATTCATGATCCTTCTCATCCCTAACCAGACTTGGTCTTTTCGTCGCCCAATTTTCTACTCGGTGTGAAACGACATCATTTCTGGTTGGAGTCTTATTTGAAACACAAATACGTTTGTGGGGAGGAGATACCTAAGTGTAAACGGAAAATTCGTAGTAGGAGCCAGATATCGTACATACGCAATGGCGTGCGAAATATCAAATCTGGACTTGCTCACAGGCACCAGTATCAAGCCTTCTGGCTTGAAGATTCACGAAAGGTATGTACGCAGTTCCCTCATATGCCGGGTTCACCACGTCTGGATCATTTCCCAGCATGCTACCCAGAAAATATTGGCCATATATATATACTTGAATGTCATTCAACTATTGTCATTAGAAATTATATACGCCGACGCAGATAGCACGCTGCGTTCAAAAGGCAAGGCCTGACACTATCAGCCTCAACAGGCGCTTGTCCAACCTTTCATACACAGTTTTCATGTCTTCCATCAAGATTTGCCTGCAAAGTTCACCCTCACCACCCTTGAACCCTCTCCACACGCCTCTCTCTATTGCAACTTCTCCCCCTTCTGCTGGTCCAACGTCCACTTAACCGACCGCCTCACCGCCTCATCCAGCGGCACCAGCGGCTTATACCCCAACCTCTTCTTCGCCTTGGAAATATCGTAGTACCGCGTCATACAGCTATAGATGATTCTTTGCCTGTTGAACGTCGGCGGCTTACGGATGATCCCGAAGAACACCTCGCTCAAAAAGCCCAGCACGATACCGACGTCCCTCGGCAAAACCCACACGTGCTCAGTGCCGTGCGGGCTACCGGCAGCGTTCCACACGGCCCGGCAAAAGTCCCAAAAGTACACGGGCGAGTCGTTGGTGATGATGAAGGCCTCGCCGTCGACGCGCTCGTGGTCGAGGGGCGCGATCTTCAGCTTGGAAGTCTGCAAAAGGGCGACGGCGGCCAGCAGGTGGCCGTGCGCCACGTTCTCGACGTAGGTGAAGTCGAAGAGGTTGTCGTTGTCGCCGACCTGAACCGAGGTCTTGCCGTTCTGGTAGAGCTTGATGAGGTGGTACAGCGTCATGGTGTCGCCTTCGCCCATGATGCCCGAGGGACGGATGGAGCAGGTGAGCAGGTTGGGGGCGGCGGCGGAGCGGTTGGCTTGGAGGACGAGCTCTTCAGCGGCGGCCTAGAGAAATGCGGGAGGTTAGTCTCGGGAGAGGTTTCTGGTAGCTGGAAAAAAAAAAAAGCACCTTTGTCTCGGAGTAATACTCGCTCTGCTGAGCTCCGCGGATTACGGGCCAGCGCTCGTCGGCGTTAATGAGATCGGACTTGTTGTCGCTCATCACACTGGCGGAACTGGTGTAGACGAGGGCGGTAACGCCCGTCTGCTGGCACGCCTTGATGATGGCGGCAGTGCCGTTGACGTTGACCTTCTTGAAAAGCGCATGGGAGACGCTGTCGTTGGACTGGGCGGGAGGCGACGCGGTGTGGACGACGACCTGAGGCTTGACCTGGTTGAAGATCTCTTCGAGTCTGGCGGCGTCGGTGATGTCGGCTTCGAAGTATTGAACACCATCCGACTCGGGGCGCCGGTTGCGCGTGCAGCGAAGGTCGATGACGCAAACGGAGCAGATGTAGTCGCGGAGGAGCACGCGGACAACGTGGTGGCCGAGGAAGCCACAGCCGCCAATCACCAGGACGGAGCCAAGCTCCGGTTTCTTTTCTGAGGCCATCGTGGGAGGTGTGTGGGTGTATCAAGAAAGGCAAAGCAATGAATAAAACTTTGGGAAGGAAGAAGAGATGGACTGAAAAAAGTCAATTGGAAGAGTCTCTACCTAGTTCTAGAGCAGGGGAACGTTGGGCACTCCGGATGTAGTGTTGTCCTTGAAGATGGGGGGACAAGGATGCTAGTGTCAACAACTGGGAGCTTGAATGGCAACCTATCAGGGGTGCCATAGTGTCTTGGCCAGCCAGCGAGGTACCAACACGGCGACATCTATGAGAAAACACCATGACCCCTTTTCGGAGGCTGGATTTTAGGCGGAACCAAAGGGCAAAATAAACGACCCTTGTTGTCCATCAGGGTGGTCGACGGGATGCGGCACGCGGTGGATCTGAGTGGACAGTTAGCAAATGGGACCTTGCCGAAAGGTGGAGCCCTACCCCGCCTGTCATCCAATGCGACGCGTGAGACACCCGATTTCTCCAATTACTTTGTCGCGCCGCAAGTCAACAATGCTCCTTTGTCCTCCCACACTCTTTTTATTTCCATTTCATCACAACCTGAACCACTTCAGTGCCAGGCAACAACCCCCCATCCTCGGCGCACCACTCCTCATAAGCTCATGAGACGGCGCAATCCAAATCCACCTCTCAACTTGTCCACAGTCCAACCCATTCCATGGCACCCGACAACCACAGCCTAAACTGGTGCCCTGATGCGGTGCGATGAGTAAAAAACCCGCGACCGAGATACTAGTCCATATCACAGCTCCTAGCAGGTCAATAGATGACGTGAAATACAGAGCGCTCGCCAATGCATATCACGACTTTGAGCCCACCACTCGAACATCAGTGTTCAGCAAGACGATCTCACCAAATGTCGTCCCTGACCAGGCCGTCGTACGGCTTCAGCCCGTTGGAAATAGGTCCCTAGGGCCTTCGACCCAGCTACACCAAATCATTCGGTCGTCTGGAGTAGCAGGATCCGTCGAAACCCCAGTGCTATCATGGCGCGACGCCGCGAACAATTTTGGATCGCCCAGATTGCGGATGAGGCGTGATCAGCCTAGCCAAATTTCACAGCCCAGCCAACACTCACAGCCTACTCAAAATTCGCAGCTTTCATGGCAACCGCCGCCAAGTGTTGTCCAAGATTCACTGCCAGACAACAATGTGACTTTGTCTCAGTTTTGCACTCCGACAAGGCTGTTGGAGGACTATTTGCATCCAAGCGATTCCAGTCAATCTCTAGTCGCGTCGCCAGTCGTTGAAAGGGCACCGAGGGTACAAGAGTCAACAGCTGCGCGGGTCCAGAGTCAGTATGAAGGTGACTCTACATTCCCTACCATCAGTCCTGTCTCGCAGCGCCGGCAGATGGGCGGTCACCAGTCTCGCGTAGCACCTCCACCACCGGATTCTTCTCTCCAAAGGAACAGCCAGGGACCTCCTGCGGACAACATCCAAAGGACCTCCAGTCCGCCGGTCAGGGCTGCCGAGGAGCCTCACGTTTCAGCGCCATCCGAAAGGAATTTATCATGTCAACAAGTCGGCAGGCCCATATCAACGACACGAGGTCCCCCCATACGTCAAGCACCAGCCGATCCTCGAGCAAAGATTATACCTCTCTCCCCAGTCGTAAACGCCAACAGAAAACGCCGCCGACCCTCTCGAGACAGCGAGTTGATGATAGCATCATCACAGCCTGCTGCCCAAGAGCGAGTTCTACCGGCTGATACTATAATTACCAAAGGACCGTCCAAGCCATCTTTATCTTCCCCCCGTAGTGATTCCGAGCCACCGCCCAAGAAGCGACGCCTTACATCTCCCGAGCCAGCATCAGCGCCAACGCCATCGTCACGAGCTGCAGCTGCACCCGCCTCATTGACATCTTTGCACGCCCCCTCGTCCTCTGCAACCCCAATCTCAGGCTCAAGCACCGGCAAGCACCTTGCCCGATCAACCAGCGACATCGGTCCCCGACAAGACGCCGTCAAGTCCCACCAACTCGCCGAACGAAGCGCCCGCCTCTCCTCCGTCCTCGAGCTCTACTCGCCATGTCCCCCGACTTCCGATCTCGCATTTGATCTCTCGAAAGTCGAAGGAGAAGAAATACGAGTAGACAACACCTCCCTAATAACCCCCGTGCTCGCTAAGCTCGCCGCGGACCTAAACCTCCCCAAGCGCTTCCAGCCCTCTCTCCAGACTCGCGACTTGCGCCCCTACGAGCGGGGCTACTGGCTGGTGGACTGCATGTCGTGGGACCGTGAGCTCAAGGAGTCGTGCTGGTCTTTTCTGGCCGACTACCTGGGCGGCGGGGCGGCGGGGTGGGGAATCTGGTGCACGCGGGACGAAGGGTTCACTCGTTTGCGCATGTATTGCTGGGGCGCGGTGGTGGGGCATATGCACCTTGTCTTGTACATTATGAGCAAGCGCGAGGTGCTGTATACGGGGATGGAATGGGTAGATGCGGACGGGGAGGTGGTTATTCGGATGGAGCCTAGGCCAAGCCTGTGAAAGGCTACGGGGGTGGGCATGCTGAGCGCGAGGTCGAGCTCTTTTTCGGGGGTTGTTTTGGCAGGTTTAAATGGGCGTTGTATCTGATCCTGGTCTTAAGTGAGCTTGAGTCGGGTGTTGCGGGTTCGAGAAAGTTGAGGGAGTTTTTGGATCCTGTAGTTAGCTGCAGTAGTGATATTGGAAAGAACCGAACTTGACATTGGCACATAAATGCTTTTTGCATATACGTGAACTCGAGTCCCTGCCGTGTAGTGAGCTTCTGACATAGTCTCTAGTTGGTCCTATGGATACCTAGGCTCCATTACCCTTATTTATCCATAAAGTACCTATTCTGGCATTGCTTCCCTTCCCAAACAACCCTTATAAGTACATTTCTGTGGACGGCTCAAACAATAAAACCAACTGCGACGGAGCCTCTGCACCGGACGCCCTGCTAATTGTGTGATGGATGAAAGCTCATAGAGGTCTCTCCAAGCCCATACAAGTTCACATGAACCGAACCGGAAACGGGGCGTCGGAGGGCGCGATAATCACGCCTAAGCAGCATATTGAGCAGCAGTAGCCTTGGTCTCACTGTAGTATCTCTGCTGGTCGACTGCGCAGTTATCGATGTAAGGCTGGGTGATTCAAACATTTGTTAGCACGACGGTCCAGTCTGGCAAGAAGGCCGTTGCGAACGGCGGACAAGAGCCCTGTCACAGTGTACGACAGGTAAAAAGGAGGGATGCAACGACTTACCTGTTTCGCCGCAGCATCCATAGACCTCCACTCCTCGCCCAAAGCCTTCATTACTTCCGTTGGCGTGCCGCCGGACTGGAAGACGCCCTCCTTGTTCTTTGTCATGACAAACCACGAGAAGGGAGTCCTTGGGCGCTTGGGAGCGCGATCATCGGGGATAAGGTGGACGGCCTTAATGGCACCGAGGCGCTTCAAGCGTTGACGGGCATGGTTGGCGGCAGTGATCTCCATGGGCGTCTTGGTGCGCACCCACGCTTCCCGCGCGGCCACGGCGTCGTCGTGATGCTTGACGGCTCTGGCTTCAAGGACCTGTGTTTATGAAATGGACCGCAGTTAGCAAAGATAAAACAGGAAAGAGCGTGGTATAAAAACTCGGGAACTAGCAGAAGGGGGCGGCAGAGGAGAAACAAAACGGCATGGAGCTACAGAGGGGCAAGCTTTACCTCCTTCTCAGCGGCCGACAACGCATTGTAACCGACAGCGGCCTTTCTCATATACTCATTCCGAGCCGCGCGATCATCGTCTGGCTTACTGATGGTGCTCAGGTGATCCCTGAGGTACAGGGCCCAAGCGCTACTGAAATGAACTTTAGGCTCCTCCTTCAAGAACGCCCGCTGCTTCAACAGCTTGATTGTGAGCTTCTGCTTCTGCTCCTCCGTCAGCACTGGCTTCTTCCTGACCGGACCGGGCTTCTTCTTGGGCGCAGCCTCCTTCTTGGCGGCAGGCTTCTTGGTCTTCTTCGCGGCGGCACCCGTAGCGGCCTTCTTGGCGGCGGGCTTCTTGGTGGCGGGCTTCTTGGACTTTGCGGCGGCGGCGGTGGAACGAGTCGACTTCTTGGTCTTGGTGGCCGTAGCAGCAGTGTCGTCCGATTCGGCGGCGGATTGCCTGGAGAAGGCTGAGCTGTAACCGCGCTGCTGGAAGACAACGGCGCCGCGGCGAAGGAAGCTGGGAGCAGCGGAGGTGGCAGTGGCAGTACGAACGACCAGCGTGGTACCAGCGCGCAGCTGACGAGCTGTCGCGAGCGCGATTTGCGAGAACATGTTGGGCTGTAGCAGCGACGGTGAGGTCGGAGTGAGAAGTGGTGGAAGGGGGGGAAGCTGTCGCGGTGCGGCCCAAGCAGGAATTTGTCTTGTTGCAGGGCCAATTGCACAACGAAGTGGATGACGGGAGTGAAGCGAGAATGACAGACGAGAGAGTCCGGCTGGCAAGTGGAAGGCCCCGTTTCAAGCGGGAATGGAAGCTGCCCTGGGGTGGGACGCGAAGATCAATTTTAAGCAGGAATGGAGCCCACACGGCAGATGGAGGGGGAGGGCTCGTGCCCAGGCACTTGTATCAACACTTGCAGGTGTGCCTGTTTGGAGCGGTACGTAAGGAGGCAGGTACCGTGGACGTTGTTTCAGTTCCTCACCCGGGATGTGATTCGATATCGTGGGAATTCTTGAAAGAAATTCTCAGATCACGAAGAATTGGAGTGTTTTTGGTCGATTGGAACGGTGTATCTCCGTTCGTTCACTCAATATGTGTATCTCTCTACCTCTAGGTACTTGAAGGTTATGCCATCGTCAAGGTGGACATACGATAAGACAGCAGAGTTACAGGTAATATACGTCACATACCCTGACCAAGCTCCACATGTTTGACCTCAACGGCACCAGTCCCCTGCCTCAGCTTGAGCGTCGTCCTCCAGCTTCAAGTAATCGGCGGGGGTGAAGCTTCCGCGAGAGCTAGGTGTAGCAGCACCCGAGATTCAGTTCACCATATACGACACACGTACATACACAAAGACAGAGTCGAGCAGTAGACGTGGATGTACCTAGCAGTAAGTAGGCTCGATATCTTCGCCGGGCCTCTCTATACATGTTGATAGTCACCTCTACCCGACTGTTTTGAGTTGCGTATAGGTCGTGTACTTGCACAGGTTTGTAAATCAAAACTGGAAGCTGTCAAGACTCAAGAAGAGCAAGGACTAAAAAATGGATCATGGAAGTGCACGGTTCCTCTGTAGTGTGCCTATGGAGTCAAAGCCTTGGCGTTTGGGCAAATGGAACCACAAGCAATGGAAGTCCTGGCTGGGCCTGCTGGGCTCGCGCTGGGGTGGCCACTCAGTAGGGGTAGGTTCCCGGCTCCCGCAAAGTTTCATCATCCAACTGGAACTTCCGCCTCGACGGAACCCAACGCTTCTTTCATCTTCGTTCCCTTCTCCACAGCCCGTCTCACGTCTTTTCAGTTTCTGACCAAAGGTCACCGCACCACCACACAACGCCTTTCCGACCTTGGAACTGACGCCCATCGATACTACCGACCGAATCATACACGACGGAGGGTAGCCGAATGCGCAAAGACCCTTTGATACACTAACTGTGCATACCACGCGACTCGAAGTACATCTCACCATCAGTGACATTGCTGAGCCAACGTTACTACCAGCAGTATGGCTCGGCTCAGGGACTCGCGCTCACCATCTCCTGCAGGAAGTCTCTCTGCGAGAAAACGAAAAGATGACGACCGCCGTGACCGCGACCGTCGCGATGGCCCTGTCGACCACCGCCGCCGTTCTCGCAGCCCCATAGACGTAAGTCATCCGTTTCCCCGACCCGCATTGCCCGGCTGCCCTCAAGAACCCCAATGGCTGACACGTTTGATATCCATGCAGCGCCGATATCGCGACCGTGGACGAGATGGAAGGGACCGCGACTCTTATCGCCGTAGGGATCGATCTATAGACCGCCGAGACGACGACTATTATCGCGGCTCACGTCGGGATGGCGACCGCCGTCGATCACGCGATAGGGGCCCGGACAGACTCCGTTCTCCAGACCGGCGTAGAAATCGGAGTAGGGACCCGGACAGGGAGTACCGCCCCCGGCGAGACGACTCTCGGGATCGGGTTCGAGCTCGTCGCGAAGGCACTGCTGAATCTTCCTCACACCGTCGTGATGACGTTCGAGTACGCGACCAGCCCAAGACAGGCAGCGCAGCAGTCCAAGAAACCGAGGTGAGTTGCGGAAACCTCTCCGAATAAGTGACACCTTGTCCGAACTCTTACTGACACAGCCGCATTCTGTAGCCAGCTAAGTCCACACCAACCCAACCGCAAACAGAGGCGGAGAAAAAGGCTGAACGACTACGCAAGCTTCAAGCGATGAAGCAAAAGCATGCGCTTAAGGAGGCAAAGGAGGCAGACGTAACCGCTGGGCTCACTAGGAAACTCTTCTTAGAGATGGATCAGAGGGCTAGTGGCGCCGTAGTCGGCAGCGGTGCTAACAGCCCTGCGCCTGCCAGTCCGGCAGCCGCCGAGTCCCCGGCAACCCCTGCTCCCTATGTCGGCAAGTTTGATCCTAAAGCCATTGCCCGGAATGCTAAGCCAGCGCGTGCCAGTTCCCCGGTGAGGTTAGGCGACGTAAAGCTGGGTGATGTGAAAGTAGGTGTTCCGGCGGTGGTGGCGAGTACAGCCGCCCCTGGCAAAGTTGCTGCATCAGGGAAAGCAGGCTTACTGCAAACTGGAAGGCCCATCAGCACATTCGGCTTCAACAAAGCTGCCGATGCTCTCAAAGCGACGGCCAAGCGGAAAATCGACATGGGCGATGAAGAGATCATCAAGCGCAAGCTTGTCAAACTCCCTGATCTGGCCCTCGAGAATGCTGACGATACCCCATATGCGGACGACGATGTGACCGAAGAGGCGGAGAAGGATTTCGACGTACTTCTTGCCGGCACCGAGGAAGACCGCGCTGAGGCTCAAAGGCTGCTACGCGAGCGGCGTGAAGAGCAGATACAGAAAGAGAGCATGGCAATGGAAATTGACAGTGTCCCTCCCAAAGTGGAGGCTACAGCCGAGCCTGTGGCGCAAGATTCGACAGCGATGGATGTAGACGACGAAGTTGACCCCCTCGATGCCTTTATGGCTGGACTTGAGCAGACAGCCTCTAGCGAGGAGGTGCAAACCAAGATCGATACGCTGGCGGAGAAGAAGGGCAACACCCCGCCCGAGGCCTACTTCAGTGATGACGACTACGGCTACGAGGCAGATGGGACCGACCCTACTTCCATTCTCGCTATGGCTTCCAAGAAGAAGAAGAAGGATATCCCCACGATCGACTACAGCAAGCTCGACCTAAATCCTATCCGGAAGAACTTTTGGGTTGAGCCGTATGAGCTAAGTCAAATGAGCGAAGAAGAACTGGCCGAGTTGCGATTGGAGCTTGATGGCATCAAAGTGTCCGGGAAGAACATCCCCAAGCCCGTTCAGAAGTGGTCTCAGTGCGGCCTCACCCGCCCCATTCTCGACACTATCGAGAGCCTTGGGTATGAAAAGCCTACGCCAATTCAAATGCAAGCCCTGCCTGTAATTATGTCAGGGCGTGACGTGATCGGTGTTGCAAAGACGGGATCTGGTAAGACAATGGCTTTCGCCCTGCCGTTGCTCCGCCATGTCAAGGATCAAGACCCTGTTACCGGCGATGATGGTGCTATTGCGCTTATCATGACCCCGACCAGAGAGCTCTGTACGCAAATCTACTCGGACTTGCAACCGTTTGCAAAGGCTCTTAAGCTTCGCGTTGTCGCTGCGTATGGTGGAAACGCCATTAAGGATCAGATTGCTGAGTTGAAGCGCGGTGCTGAGATCATCGTAGCCACACCAGGTCGTCTCATCGACCTTCTTGCGGCCAACGGAGGACGTGTAACAAACCTCAAGCGCGCTACTTATCTAGTCCTTGATGAGGCTGATCGAATGTTCGACATGGGTTTTGAACCCCAGGTCATGAAAATCTTCAACAACGTCCGCCCGGATCGCCAGACTATTCTCTTTTCTGCCACCATGCCCAGGATTATCGACTCGCTAACCAAGAAGGTGCTGCGTGACCCTGTCGAGATCACCGTGGGTGGACGCAGTGTCGTAGCACCTGAGATCACACAGATCGTTGAGGTCATGGACGAGGGTAAGAAGTTCAACCGTCTGCTGGAACTCCTGGGAGAGCTCTATGCGGATGACGACGATGTCCGTTCTTTGATCTTCGTGGAGAGACAAGAAAAGGCTGACGATCTCTTACGCGAACTCTTACGGCGTGGCTACGGTTGCATGTCTATCCATGGAGGTAAAGACCAAGAGGACCGAAACTCGACCATTTCTGATTTCAAAAAGGGTGTGTGTCCCATCCTCATTGCAACCTCGATTGCAGCCCGTGGCCTGGATGTCAAGCAGCTAAAGCTCGTCATCAATTACGATGCTCCTAATCACTTGGAAGACTACGTTCACCGCGCCGGTCGTACTGGACGCGCCGGTAACACGGGCACGGCAGTCACCTTTATCACCGAAGAACAGGAGAATTGCGCATCTGGCATTGCCAAAGCGTTGGAGCAGAGCGGCCAACCCGTTCCAGACCGTCTGAATGAAATGCGCAAGGCATGGAAGGAGAAGGTCAAGGCTGGCAAAGCGAAGGATGCTAGTGGGTTTGGCGGCAAGGGTCTTGAGAAGCTCGATAAAGACCGTGAGGCCGCTCGCATGCGTGAACGCAAGACCCACAAGGCGGAAGGCGAAGAGGACGATGTTAAGGAAGACGCCCCTGCAGAAGATGGCGAGAAGAAGGACAAAACCAAGGTTGCCATCCAGTCCGCCGTATCTGCCATTGTCTCGCGCGATGCCTCCAAGGCCGAGACGGAGGACAAGACCAAGATTGCCATCCCCGTGGGTGCCGTTAAGGCCGGACATCACGCAAGCAGCGGAAAGAGCGGAGGAGCTCTCGACAAGGCTGCGTCCGCCATCAGCGAGATCAACGCTCGTCTTGCCCGGGCCGGTCAGCTCCGGCCTGGTCAGCCCATTGACAACAAGGGTCCCGACGCGGGTGCGTTCCACGCCACTCTCGAAATCAACGACTTCCCTCAGAAGGCTCGTTGGGCCGTCACCAACCGCACGAACGTTGCCAAGATCCTCGAAGCCACGGGAACCTCGATCACCACGAAGGGCAATTATTACCCGCCTGGAAAGGAGCCAGCTACTGGGCAAGAGCCGAAGCTGTACATTCTTATTGAAGGTGATACCGAGGTCGTCGTTGGCAACGCGCTGTCAGAGCTTACTCGTCTGCTTAGGGAGGGCACGATGGCGGCAGCTGACGCTGAGAGCCGTGCTCCCGCCAGCGGTAGATATACGGTTACGTGATAATCTGGAAGAACGGTGGACGTTGGAAGTGTATAGATCAACTTTTCAAACTGGGACAAGTATTACGATGTGCATTTGTCCCAATGATGGTTTGTTTGGACATGATGGTACATGGCTACTTTGATACTTACACATGATGCGAAGAGGTGATAGTTGCCCACATACATAGTATATACCTAGTACCACCACTCAGTTTATCATAGATGCGAAATAAATTGATGCCTCTCGTATTCAACGCTCAACCTTCCTCAATAACCAACCCTTCTGGCCAAACGAACAAAATGCTCTGCAGCCCATGCCTACAGAAACACGAAAAAGCTCTTGATAATGAAATATATACTAACGAAATAGAAAAGGAACAAGATATACGAAACCGCGAGAGAACCACTTCGCCAAAACATCACACCCCGCCCCCTCGTCAAGCGTCCGGAACGACCCACCATGAGGTAGGTAGGTATGTTTGTCAATCATCAAATCAGCCCAAAGCACCACGCACCCATTGCCTGCCAACTTTCAAAGCCCCAAATAATCATCGAGCAAGCAGACAAACAACAGACAGACAGACTTCCTACCTAGTTGTAATTCCTCGCCTCCAAAGCCTGGTCAGCAGCCCTCCTCGCCCTCTCCTGGTCACTCTCCTCTTTAAGCAGCGCGTCGCGCGTCATGGCCTTTTGTGCTCGCAGCTTTTTGGAGAGGTCGGCTCCTGACCCTTGATCTTTTTGGAATCGAGCCTGTTTGTGTTGTTGTGTCAGTGTGTCAGTGTGTCAAGTCAATGGAGTTGGTGAGTGAATGAGTGCAGTGGTGGGTGAGTGGGTTTGTAGCTTCCATCCCGCGATATCAACGAAAAGAAGAAGGGATCACGGAACGATATGGGATGGGATGGGATGGGATGTGATGTGTTGGGAGTTGGTGAGTTGGTGGGTTGGTGAGTTGGGGGAAGGTGAGTTGGGGGAAGGTGAGTTGGGGGAAGGTGCGAACGAACCATGGCTGCTTGAGCGGCTTTGCTCTTTGGGTCCTCGGCTCCGGCTCCTCCTCCTTTTGTTCTGATCCTCCGAGAGTCCTGCCGCCGGTCGCCGTCCTCGTGGTTGTTGCCGCTGGTGGTACCGGAGCGGATGTTTTGGGCGCGTTGACGGTTCCGTAACCACCACCACCACCACCACCACCGGCCATTGATGATGCTGGTGCCGGACGTGCTGCCGCCGCCGGTGTACTGCCGCTGCCACCTAGAACGCGGCCTTCGCCTCGGAAGTTACCGGAGCTCTTGCTGAAGCAATTCCCCATTTTTGATTGTTTTGGTTTCTGGTTCCTGTTGACGATTGGTATTACTTTGAAGTCGGGAATGTAAATAGGTCAGGTGCTCGAGTTGTACTCGCGGTTCGGAATCGCCCGGGAAATGAGGTTGAAACTCCTGATTATAAGCTATAGGTAATTGATTTTTCGCAGTGTAATGAAGAGTCCAAGTATATATATGGGTCACGGTATTTGTTTGGGGATCGTGGTTGAAGGTGAGATCACGAAGTGTGGATGAGTGAGGTTGGAAACGGTCGAGGTCGGTGGGTCTTCGGTAGCGGTCTTGGTGGTCTTGGTGGTCTTAGACCCCTAGAATAGTATCCCGAGCGTCACACGGCCCTGAGCCAAGAATGGGATGGAATTAGCGGGCTAGTCAGTACTGGAGCAACACGACAGACTGTACTTTGTGTGGGCAAGCGACGGTGGCTTTCGGTCGGTGGTGATGTTATAGAGATGTCTGGATTCCAGATTTGGGAAGCTGTTCAAGGTCCAGCGGTTTGGTCAAATAACAGGCGAACCCTTAACAACAGTCGCTATCGAAGCCGTATCGGTTTGATGGAGGACGTGAGCGATGATGCTAGGGGAAGAAGTAATGGCGAGGCTCACATGTTTGGTTGAGATGAAAAGAAGAAGGTAGACCCTCGATCATCTTACCACGTGGTAAGAGAATGGAAAAGAATGCCGGGACGGACCGTGAAGCGTGGTCATGAATTTAGATGATGGCCCGGGGCCGGCGGAGCTTCGAGGGCCGGGTGGTGCCCGCTGCACGGCATACAGTTGACATCGATGCTGACCCAGAGTAGCCGGCTAAGAGCGTGTTCAGCAGCTCCTGAAGTTGGGCTTCTGAATCGATTTTGGTACTTCGGGGATGCGGCTACCCTGGCGTGGTTTTCCGAATTAGTCCTCCTTGGCATTGAATTCAGAAAGCATTGGCCACTTTTTCAGGATCCTGAAATTCTTCCAGCCAAATCCATTCATCAACCCTTTGCGATCCTGAAAAATTGCACGAACCATTTCAGAGCCAAGAAATTTTTGGACCAACCACAAAGCGTGCATCATCCCAAAGTGGGTATTTGGAGTTCAGGAAAGTTCAGAAGCCATTCAGGACTCGGAAAGGTACTTCGAACGAGTGACTTCGTTCAAAAATTAGCCCATCTCGAAAGGAAGTACCTGGCACGGACCACAACCGTTCAGAAACCAAGTTCAGGAGCGAGTGAACAACGCTCTAAGAATATTGCCACATGAAGATAGTAAATCGAGGGCCGCCGAGATTCAATTCGTTCCAAGTTTCCAAAGGCCTTCTGCGCACGAACGCTGGTTCCCCCACCTCATGTGGTGGGTCCCCGCTTGCAGGATCCCAGCCAGAAAGGTGCTGAGGTACTGTACGTTTTGCAGGACAGGCTGAGCCGCGGGAGGCATTCTGCAATCCGATATGGGATGATTTTATGAGCTTATAGGTACTGTATCCGTTCAGGTTCTCATTGGGCGGAGAGTTTATATATGCTCGGCACAGTATCTTGATACCGGACGAGCTACTGCATGCTGTGGTCCTGGGACTACCTATCAGTATCCCCATGTACTGTATCCATCTTCAAGACGACTGACGAGGTCTCTGGTGCTTGCCCTGTGAGCACCAGTTAGGAGCCGGTAGTGTAGTGTAGAAGCATATGGTCCTCTCCTTTGGTTGGTGCATCATCCGCGCAAGAGATGGATTGGAACAATGGAAACCGTTCGCCAATGCCCTGGAGCCGCGAGGACCTCCCGTCGCCGTCGGAACCTGCCGTGACAAGTGGAAGCAGCCAGTCAGCGAGGATGCAGGATGGTGAATGCAAAAGGCAAGGGCAGGGTGCGCACTTTGGAAGGAAGGTCGAGAAGGGAGCCCCACGTTGGTGACAGCATTTTTCTGGGCCGAACTCCGCTCCCAGCGCGAAAAAAAAATTGATGCAGCAAAAAAGCTGACCAGGACAGAGCAATTGAGCATCACAGGCTGCGCCTTCCACATTGTCCACCACTTCCATTCAGGTTTCGACTCCGTCCCCTCACTGCGGTACCTTGATGGTGCCCTTCGTTCAATTTGCGCCCGAGCTCAAGAATTGTCTGTCGCCTGCCCTGCGCACCAACCTGAACCCTAGGTCGTCGACCCCCAAAAAAATAACCCAGAGGACGTAAAGACGCACGCACCCTTCGCCGGTTGCCCCAGCCAGAAGCAGGGCCCAAAAACCCAAGGCCATCAAGGTTCTCACCCACCACGAGCAGCTTTCAATCCACTGTCACCTTCCATCCAGCCATTCCCACTCGATAGACCACCCCATCACCCGTCTGAGTCTCGACCCGCCAATATTCCAGACTTGCGAGCCCGGGCACTGCTTTCCGCTCAATTCTCTCCGGGCACTTGTCCACAAAAGCCCGTTCTTCTTCCGTCAGATCGCCGTGTCCGCCGCTCAAACTCGGGGCTGGCCAAGCTTTCGACCATCCGGACCCGAGCCGCTCTCTCGTTCTCTCACAGGCCTCTCAGCGTCTCCATACCCGAACCCCATATGGTAGCCGCTAGCCGCTAGCCAGTCTCGTCCTCGCTACTACCAACACGGTCGGATTATCTTGCCGTACAGTACTTGATTTTCCAACTGTCTTCAGTTTCACGCGCCCATCACGTCGCCTTGTTTTTTTTTCCCCTTCTAGGTGACGAGGGTAGAAAGACACCAAACCTTGGTGCGAGTGACCACCGGAGTGACAGTTTCTTCGACACTCTGATTCTGATGTCGATGACGTCTCCCGGGCTCCCCTAACTTTACCAAATCCCGAAGCACGCCGCTATGCGCCCTGACCATCACGATTCTCGGAGCGACATGGACGGCCACTTCGGCCACCGGCCCGCGAATCACAGCCAGAGTCAGAGTCAGAGTCAAAGCCAGAGCCAGAACAATAACCATGGCCATCACGGTTCTCTCGACCTTCGCTTTCAGTACTTGATGGACTCCTCCCGTCAACGACACACACCGCTCTCCTCCAATCCGACACCCCAGATATCTCCAACGGCCCACGATGGTTCTCGCATACCCACAAACAACACCGTCGGCTACGAATCCCACGATGATCTATGTGTTGATCACTGCGAGGTCCTTGGCCTCTATCAAGGTGGCTCTCAGTTCCCAAACCACCGTGGAGTTACGGCCAATTCACTCGGCCACTGGTCACGGAGATACATAAATGGCCAGGATGCTTTGCTTGATACTCCTCATGTCGACCTTTTCGCCCACAACATCACATCAAACGACTTCATGCCCATGCAGCAATTCGGTGCCTGGTCCCAATGGCAGGGCCATCAGAGTCAGCGATCAATGCAGGAGTGCGGAGATGATTGCCAGTCTAACGCCGAGGACAGTTGTTGCGACAGCGAGTGTGCCATGACTGGCAAGTGCACTAACGTTGCATGTGCCAACGGCGAGGACGTCTGCGTAGACCAAAGCTGCCCTGAACGTTCCATGGCTTTCCCCTCCGATCTTGTCGACGGCGCCGCCGCGCTCTTATCCATTAATCATGGATCTGACATGCTCGTCCAGAGCTTCAACTTTAGCAGCATGGGCGGCATGAACAGTATGGGTGGCATGGGCAGTATGGCGAATATGGGTAACATGAACCATATGAACAACATCGGCAGCATGGGTAACATGAACGGCATGGGTGGCATGAGCAACATGGGCAACATGAACAACATGAACAACATGAGTGGCATGAACAATCTCAACCACATGAACAGCCTCAATGGTCTCAATCAGAATAGTAAGCCGCCATTGCTGCCCGTTTTTTCTCTTCTTTGTCTGTGTTTTAACTCACAAGCGCTGATTTAGTGAATCAAGTCATGAACGGCATGAACCAAAGCCTTTCTCGAAACACACAGCAGACATCTCTGTTGTCTCCTAGCTGGCTTCCGAACCCGTTAGCTAATATCACGAGTCATCTGCTGTCAGCTCACGGAGACGGAGAGTCGTCGAACTGCACCCGGCCGTGTCTGTTAGACGATCCCCAGAACTATCCCAACTGTCATATTCCTGTGGCTTTTAACGCCGCCCAGTTTGGACAGTACAGCTCTGTGGCTAGCGATTTTCAGGCAAGCCAAGCCTTGCAGCAATGTGGGTTTGAGGCGAATGATCCTGCGGCGTATATCAGGCACTTCAACACACAACACAGGCAGTATTTTACGAATACCGAGCCAAACAAGAGCAACAACAGTAATGGCCAGCTCGCTCTGTCTAACTCGACCTCTGGCTCCGGAGGTGTGCGGAGTAGCGGAACGTTGGCAGCAGCCGAGGCATTATCCTCATCTCCGGCCACTCCTCTTGATACATCTGATTCGGGGGCATCCATGAACACGCCTTCTCCCCTCACACCGGTGTCGGAGGCAAAGACCCGGGCTCAGTCGCCCTCTCATACACGCAGCTCATCGGCAGATACGTCGGAAACCAGCTACAGTGACAAGATGGATGGGGATAATGACGAGCACAAGTGCCTATGGCGGGAGGATAATGGGAAACTTTGTGCCCAAACTTTCACAGAGGCAGGGGATCTCTTTGATCACGTCTCGAATGTACACATCAAGCATGCATCCAAGGGTATTTATGGGTTCCTCTGCGCCTGGGACGACTGTCCGCGGAGCCACCCTGGCGTGCACGGCTTTCCACAGAGGAGCAAGATCGAGAGGCATATGCAGACACATATTGGTCGTAAGTGGTTGTACGCTTTACTATTCGTGATCAACTCTAACGTGTACAGATAAACCGCATGTTTGCAAGATCTGCCACAAAGGGTTCTCGGCGAAGCAGGCTTTGACTCAGCACATGTACATCCACTCTGATCAAAAGCCGCTGGAATGCAACATCTGCTTCAAAACCTTTAGATATCCTAGTGCCCTCAGTAAGTTCTATCACAGGAGTAGTCTTTCTTGTATACCCGTAATTCTGACCAGCACTCTTTTAGCAATGCACATGCGCGTCCATTCAGGCGAGAAGCCGCTCCAATGCCCCATCTGCGGCAAGAAATTCAGCGAGTCTTCCAACTTATCCAAGCATAAGCGTACCCACGAGGTCAAGGGCCGTTTCAACTGCAATGTGCGCGGTTGCTGTCGCAACTTTCACCGCCAAGATCAACTACGCCGCCACATGAAGACGCACCAGAAGGATATCGTCGATGGCCGAGTGGTCGACATGTACGCTAACCAACTGCCACTGCCCGCTGACTTTGACTTCCCATCAAAGGAGGGATCAGTAGATCCTACAGTATTCAGAGACGAGTCTGTCGAGGTTGGTGACGAGGGGAGCCATTGAGAACACGACCAGGAGAATGGTATCACATTTTCTGCGGCTCCGGTGCTCCCGGCGTCCAGGCGTACCCAACCGAATCTTTTCTTTTCGTGGTGGATGAAGTCGGATGGAGGGTGACGGGTGCTAAACTCTTAGGCTCATTTGAGCAAGGCGCATTGGCGAACGGACAACAAAGCGGCGTGGGAAAATTCTGTTTCTTTTGCATTTCCTTTCTTTTCTCCTTCTTCTTTCTTCTTTTCGCTTTTTTGGCATTGCCCTACTCGAGGGCTTTTTTGACACTGGTCATTTAGGGGGCTATTATGAGGGTTTGTTTCGTTTTCAAGACAAGTTTAACCGGGCTCGTGGTAAAGCATACGACGAGCACCGAAGCAATGAGCGGAGGAGAGATGTGGTGTCCCTCGTACACCGCGGACTACAAGCTTGCGGAGGATCCGCTATGAAGAGATCTGCTTGCTTGCATCTTACGCAGAGAGTAAGGTGTAGTATCGCGGTGACGAAGCAAGAATGGGACAGAAGTGGATGATCGGGAGGATTTGAGAGAAAGATACCCCAAAACAATCAATCGTTTCTCCCGTGCTTGTCAAGGATCGTTTTGCTCATCAGTGGCAATCGTCTTCGAACTTATTTGCTGAATATTCATTGCAAAAAACTTACGCTATGTTGACCTTGTACTTTAGTCGGATACTGTTCTGTTATGTGATCAAACTCTCATTCATTGTATGGATCTTGACGGTCAGATAAGTATACCAACCAAATGACAACTTCAACATCATGTTTGATAGTACTGTGGTAGTCATTTAGCGCCGAGCTTCGATAGTTCGACTTCGTTCTAGTCAATCTGGACGTTCTAGACAGCCGTGATACCTTACGCATACTGCTCATGGGTCTTCGAGGTGACCACCTCACGCTCTTCCAAAATCGAAAAATATATTATATAAAACTGACCGATTCCAGTGGTATTATATCCTCTCCAGCACCAACAACACTCACTTCTCCTCACCGTCCAACGAGAAAGAAGAGCGACAACACTCACATTATACAATCTGTCCAGATATCCAGAGACCCTCAGATCCAACAAACGAAAGAAATCCTCAACTCAAGATGTGCGGCCAATTGAAAACCAAGTTCGAATGCCCCCAATGCGGCACCCAAATGTCTACCAGCAGCGAGAAGCTGACGTGCGCAACGGCAAGTTCCTATGGCGGCTGCGGCAGCACCAGCTCCAGCAACAGGGAGGTGACCAAGAAAGCCGACAATGTATGCTCGAGCTGCCGGTCGAAGAATGTTAGGGAGTTTATTGCGAATGCTCTTGGTCCAGTCTATGGAAAATCGAGTTAGGTTGGTTCGTTAGGGTGATGGGCAGACTGGAAAATATTAAAGAGAATTGAGTTTGGTAAGTTATCGGGACATCATGGAAAGGGTGGAAGGAATTGATGAGCATGGAGACATGGAAGTAAAAAGAAGGAAGGGAAGGAATTAAAGATATTGGGATTAAGAGGGAAGGTGTTGTACTGGTAAAGTAGGATACGATGGTACATCGAAGGTAGTAGGTACGACAGACACTAATGGAAAGAACAATCAATATAACTGGTCTACCTGCCCCATACATGCTAGGCACTTCTAAAGGAAATTATGGAAGAATGACGCAATGATAGCCACCTACCTGGGAACACCAGTAGTATCACCATTTGATTTGTGTTGGCTGTGTCTTCGAATCCTGAAACTTGATCACCAACCAAGCAGAAATACTCGAGTAGAATGCAAGGTACTCGCCCCTCTGTTACATTTTGAGTACGCTTTTCATTCCATTTCCCCTTGAACAACAACATGATCGGCTAGGTCGGCATTCTTCTGAGCCTCCTTACAAGTGAAGTTGAAACAATTCACACTCGCACTACAATGGTGTACTGTAATTGTGGCTTGGAAACCATCACAGCTGATGATCAGCAGGCTCATGATCAACCACACAGCCAGGCAGCCAGACTGAGCAGCTTCAGGGAGAGACCACTGCCGATTTATTCCCGGAATTGGCACTCGATTCTACGGCGCTGCGGCACGGCCCCGGTTTCCCGTGCGTTGCCTTGCCTCCCGTTCCGGTACCCGTAACCAAACAACTGACCATGCCAAGACTGGGGAATAAACAAGCATATAAGTGTCGCGGTCCACCCATCCATCTCGTCCGTAAAGTAAATCTGTAAGTGACACTTACTTACCCATCACCCAAACAAACAAATCGCCTTCCCAAATTCCATGAAGAACCTCCTCCATCAACACCAACAATGTCCATCGCAGGCTTCCCCTACCCCTTCGTCACCGGCGGTCCCGCCTACCGCTCCAAGGTGCTAGTTCCATCCGAAGAGATGGACGCTAGAAACTCACGAGAGCCGGATTCACACACCAACCTGATCGGTTCCGACTCCGGCTCCGGCTCCGGCTTCGGTGCCGCGGCTGCTCCGGTCATGGTGAAAGCCGCTGAACTAGGCGCTCCCTTCCTTCGTCTACGGGGCATATCATCCGCTCATCTCCCGCCCTCCGCCGGTCCTCAAGAAGAGTTGATCCCCTTTCTGGCTACCCTCTTGAGGGAGTCAGTCCCCTTTATCGATTCCGTGGCGCCCAAGTCGGCCAAGAGACCTCAACCTAGTACCGATCTTGGCACCGCAAAAAGCGAATGGAAACCACTGAAGACAAAGTCATCAAAGGTAGACAATGATGGCAGCACGACAGTATCTCTCTACGAACGCACCCTCTCTGCGCCTGAACTGCGCGCCATTGAGCGTTCAGCCGGCATGGCAACCAGCAACACCGACGACTCGGAGACGTGGGCTTGTCGGCGCAGCGTGCACCGCGACTCAAACGTTCCGAGGGATGGGTCAGCCAGCTGGGGAGAGTTCGTCACTTGCTTCAAGGACAAGCATGTTGAGTGCGAGGAGGCGTTTACACCGAGTATTGTGGGGACAAGGATGTTGCGGGACTACGATGTTTCTGGCTTACAAGTGGATGATGAGCACGGGGATAGGTATGGAAGCTTTAAGATGAAAGTGGTGGAGGCGAGACACAAGATTGGGGTTAAGCCGTTGCTCAAGGACCGGGCGTTTACGGTGTTGCAGGTTACTTGTTCGCTACTTCCTCCGGGACGTGGAAGTGCCGCCGGTGTGGGGAGCAAGTGTGAAGACAGCAGCGAGATTTTGGTCATGAATATCCCGGTGTCGGACGTTGAGAGCCTTGCCACTACTACCACTTCTTCGGTCGAAGGCAAGACCGGCAACAAGGAAGACCCGTTTCGAAAGGATGCTGTAAAGGGATCGTTTGTCAGTGTCGAGCGAATCAGGAAACTACCGACAACAGAGAATGACGGCCAAGCACAGATCGAGTGGATTATGGCCACGGCCTCTGACGCTCGAGGCTCGCTTCCTGGATGGGTACAGACCATGGCGGTACCGGGACAGATAGCCAAAGATGTGACGCTGTTCCTTGGATGGGTTGCAAAGGAGAGGGAAAACAAGGGGGGATTGGTGGCGTGAAGGGCGGCATTTCAAGTTCTTTCGGCTGTAGGTACAGGATTGTCAAGTGATGCATGTCAATGCATACGAGTTTGTTTGCAATAGATTTTCCAATGGGTATACCAGGCAAAGGACGGCTTACAACTTTTTATTGGTATCCTGTCAACGCTCAAGCTGCACTTGCTTGATCACAACAGTGCCTTGACCCTATCCACAGAACCATGTAGTTACTCTCTATCCGCCCAGCTCTGAATGATACCCCTCAGGGGTGGCATCGTAGTGCTTGAGCGTGACCTTGCCAGTGGCCTCGTCAAGATAAGTGTTGGCCTGGACGAACACCTTTCTGGGCTGCTTGTTCTTCAGGACGACATCGCGAACCTTGGTGCCCCAGTATTCCAAGCCGACGCCGGACATATCAGTGAAGAACTTGGTACCGACCTCAACATCAGCGGTCGACTTGTAGATGTGGATCTTTTGGAGCATGTCTCCCACAGCTGTCCCGAAAGTTAGCTAATACTGTCAGTTATCGCATTGCAATGGGAGCTAACATACCCTTTCTACCGGCGGTCAGAATCTTGGAGCGATCAAGCTTGATCTCCAGATCGGAGAGGTCCTCCTTCTTATAATCAAGCTTGCAGAAGTCATCCTCGGCCTCAAGGAAGGCCTTGAGAATGGCGAAGCGAGCCTGGCAATGAGGCTGTCCCCACTTCTGGCTCTTGGGATCCCAAAACTCGACCGAGCAGAGGCCAGCGCGTGCCATGCTGAGGTAGGACGCATACAGAACATCACCAGCCTCGCCATCCATATCAGTGGTTCCGTCACCGAAACCAAAGATCTTGAGAGCTTGAAACTCGCAGCTCAGGTGCATGGCAACGAGCTCAGCACGGCATTCTTCGTAAGCGCCAGCAAGACCACCGAACACGGAACCCCATGTCTGACCGGGCTTGTACCAGGTCGTCACGGGCTTACCAGTCAAGGGGCTAATGGGCGGGTTAGTATGGTCGAAGTTATACTCTCCAGGAGAGGTCTCCTGCAAAAGCTTGCCACAGCCATGGCCTTGTATTCTGTCAGTCATCCACTCTCAGCGGCAAAAGGACAGGTGGCACCATACCAGTAAGCTCGTGAAGGCCAACCTGGACCTCAAAGGCGGCGTCACGATACTTCTTGTAAATCTCGAGATCACTATCGGCGATGAAGGGAATCTTCTCATCAGGGGCCTTGGCGCTCAAGACATTACCTAGAACTTGGTTAGACGATGCGGGTGCCACAATTGAGGTGAGATCGTGAACGTACCCAAGCTGACGTTCTTGAAGCCTTCCTGTTGCCTGATATCGTCATAGTTGGGGCTACAAGCGTGTTAGTATCATTCTAGGGTTAGAAAACTCCTGTGTACACATACATGTTGATACCAGCAGGGATCCCAGATCCTGTTCCAATTGTTAGTGCTCCGTCGTTTCATGGCCATTCCTCTCGTCAAGTACTACTTACCGCAGAAGGTCAAAACTTCGAGAGAGGTGAAATCAGGAGAGAGGAACTTGTCCTTCTCGAACTCCTTCGACCACGGCAACAGGGGAATCAAGCTGGGCGCAGACCTAACCAGCTCTCCAAAAGCACGTGTCCTCTCCTGGTTAACAACGGCAGCGAAACCCTCCCACTCGCCACGAACACCGGCCGGGTCGCGGTAGGTCTCGATGAAGCCAATGTTGCACTCCACCATGGGACCTTGGTCGCGGATCCAGTATCTCTGGGAGTCCTTGAAGGCCTCAAGAGAACCCTCCTCAAAGGACTTGGCATAAGCGGTATGCATCTTTTGTTGAGTCTCATTCTCGGCGTTTTCAGCCGCCTTCTTGGTGTACTCGGTAATGGCCTTCATCTCGGCCGCATAGTCGCCATAGACCAAATTGATGGTCTTGCCCTCAAGAGGGCCCTCGGTAACCTTGTACTCGGTATCCTTGCCAATGTCACCACCCTCGCTGGGGATGGAAGTAACGGCGGAGGCAATCAAAAGCTCAAAGACACCGTCCTTGGTCTTACGCAACCTGGTGTTCTCAGGGAGCAAACCGGTCTTCTGCATCCACTTGGCAACAGCGTCAATCTCATCCTTGGTAATGCCAGGAGAGTCAGGGTAGTAAGTGGTGAGGTGACCCTCGTCAGTGAAGCCAAGGTGCAGAAGACCGGGCTTGTCGGTCGAGAAGATGGCACCGTTGGTAGCCTTGTAGTGCTTCTCGGCCTCGGGAGAAGTTGAAGCCAAGGAAGCAAAGACCTTCTCATCGCAGCGTGGGATGAACTTGGAGTCACCAAAGCTCTTGTAGTTTCCGCTGTTGCCGAGGAACTGGGCAGCATACTGGAGGAAGGCATTCAAGCCGGCTTCATCAACGCCGGCCTTCTCGGCCAGACCCTTCCAGTCACCTCCGGAAGCCTTGTGCAGAGCAATGATGAAGTCATAGATGGGCTCAGACTCGGGAGAGACCTGGCGCAGAACGATGCGGTTACCAGCAAAGGAAGCTCTAAATTCAAGTAGACTTGGGTTAGCAAGACAGGCGGGCGAAGATGATGTGGAGGGTGTAGGGGTCCAAGATCGTGGGAAGGGGGTTTTGTTAAGAGGACCACATCAACTTCCACGAGTCCACTTTAAAGTTCTATGCAGTGTGTAATTGAAGCATACATGCACTTACTTGCTGATAAAGTGGGCGTAGCGCTTCTGCTTGTCTGCCAGGGCGTCAAAGTGCTTCTCGACCTCGAGCCTGACGACCGAAGGCGGGGCATCGGCCAGGTACTGGGAGAGTTCTTGGGCGTTCATGGTGAGGGGACTGCGGAGACTGACACCGAGACTGAAGTTGCGATTCAGGTACAGCTGAGAGCTAGAGCTACCGTAGCTTGTAGCGGTGGTGTTGAGTCTATTCCTGGGAAAGGCAAATGCACGTCGGGCTGGCTGGGCCAAAATCGACGATAATCTCAGACTTTGAGATCTGAAGGGTTGAGAGAAACGCATCTGATTTGAGGCCAGCTAGCAAAATAAGACAAGATGACTGACTGTCCGATCTCTCCAGTGCAGTTACGCCGGCTTCTCCAGCAGCCCAGCGTTCGTTATGCACCTTCCGTCTACAAACAAGCCTCTCTTTCGTTATCGTTCGATAGGACGGCCGATAAACTTCCCCGCGCACTTGCCTGAACCGTTTCCAGCCGACTCTCCAACTGGCTGGTCGTCCCTTCCCCACGCTGTACGAATAGCCAGTTCACTTCCGTTTGAAGCGGGGTATGTAAAAAGCTGAAGCAGCGAGAATAGCAGGTTCCAGCCTCAGTCTTCTGTGATTGTAGGATTTCAATCTCCCCCGTCACTTCCTCACCAGCCACAAATGCTAACCAAAACTGGAACAACTTGGCGGATCAGACCGTGGCCGCCGCGGGGCTCCGGACGACGGAGGCAATCGAGCCAACGACCCATCCTGTTGTCAGGTTGAGGTTGGATCGAAGAGAGGATTTTATAGAGCTAGCAAATCCCCACAGCGTAGGTACGGTAGTCAACAGGGACTTCGTCCGAGCATCGAGACACCGATGACCCCCACGTAGGCTGTACAAGAGTTTAGCGTGCGAGTTCAGCACGGTAACATTCTGTGACTCCTGGTGAAAGTTTTTCCGGTCCTGGAGGGGCAGATGGGCAGATGTTTCGAAGCAAGTGGGAAACGTCAACGTCGATCACCGTTCTTGCATCACCCAAGAGGGTCTCGGAGGGGATCTGCTGCGCCTTTAAACGCAGTCTTGTCCTCTCGGCGGCGGGCGTGATGACACCAAAATCCCCACGTCAGGTACAAACTGTTACATACCTGCACTACAGCTTGCCTACTCACAACCTTAAGCGGAATTCCGGAACGGGACGGGTCGTTGGGCTTTGCTTGAAACTGCGGATGCCTTCAGTGCCATGCTTTTCGAGACGAAAACCAACAATTTCTTCGGGACAGGCTTCCGTCGAGCTTCACATCAGCTGCCGAGAGTGCCCAATCTTGACAAGGGTTAGGTGTATGTCTACGGCGCTGCAGAGGGGTGTACAGTATCACCATCCAAATCCCATCTCTGTCCAGCCACCAGCCGGTGAAAGGATGGACATTGACAACAGCTCCCACCAGGCCCCGAGCTCAATTTCTAAGCTCACGGCTTGAGTGGCGGGAACTGCGAAACCTTAAACTCATGGTCCTCGCACAGTTTGAGAGGCGTGAGTTACTGCAAGGGCAAACTGTCTTCGAGTGTCTGCGAGCCGCCGCGACGTCGGCGGTTGGGAGATCGTGATATAGCAGGCCGGTAAGCAGGAGACATCCAAAAGGGCAAGTTACGCGAAACTCGCTACGCGGCAAAATTAAGAACTTGCTTTTTGGTGTTGCTGAATTTGCTTTATTCGAACATCGGGATACGACTGTGCCCCTGGGGAGAATGTAATGGGCAAGGCATCCGTGATCAATCTCTGTAACGGGTAGGCTGTACGTCCATTACTGTCCGATGTCGCGAACGATGTAAAAGGTCCAAACCCGTACTGTTCAGTGAACCATACGACGGAGGTGAGTCTAGTTCTACTGCTTGGACAGTGACACTGACAACCCCACGTGCTCCTCTATCGTTGCATGCTCCTGCACTACAGCGCAGTGTAGCAAGCGGCTCCAGACCAGACCCGCGTGACCATTGAGCAACCGCACTTCCTTGAGACATGTCCAGATCTCGGGCACTAACTCCTGGGTCAAGATGCTACCATGGTGGGCGAGTGAGAATCCGAGCCCGGCTTCATTTTCAGCCAATCCTTCGCATCCCGCATGACTGTTTGGGAAGGACATTGCTTCCATCCTGGCATGTGTTTGTGCTACTTGTGCAGTGTGGTACTGTCGGCGGTTTTCTGAGGCTCACAAGCGCAAACAGTAACACCTCAGATCGCCAGCATTCCTCAACCACTGATCAGTGTCGTGATACAAGACCGACAGCTTAGCAGCGTGGTTGCTACCCAGTGATCACGGCAACTCAATCTAGCTATGTTACTACAGTGATCGGGAGAGATTTCGCTTTTGGGTTTCCAGCTCCGCAGCATGAGAGCAGCCAGTGACCAACGCCATGCGGAGGGCATATGGCTGTACCCAGGTTCGAAACCTTTCATCAAGACGACCGGGCCAAATTCTTGTCGACGAAGAGATAGCCGCGGTGGTGATACTGAGTTGTTGGTTCGATGCCATTCCCAACACTCGTGGCCCTTGTTTGCTCCTGTCGCGGAGACTAACATGGGCTTCCGGGACATCCTATTTTTCACTAGCTGTTCACTAGCAGCAGCCTGGATCTCGGGAAGCCGCTCGGAGTCGGGTGCGACTTTGGCTACACTGTATACGTGTAGGTAGTACACTGAAGCCCAAGTGGATCTTGATCCCGAGTAAACTTTGAAAGGAATCCGCTCTAGCAAAGTTAGCAGCGCTAAGATTTGGGGGGCACGTCGGATACTTTTCTGTCTCCTTTTGGTGACAGATCAGGACCCCTGCAGTACGTTGTTATACTTTTTAAAAGACCCTAAGGGGTAAAAACTGCACCTTGATGAAGACCCGTTTCCAGGGCACCCCTTCGGCCCCCTTCCAGTCTTGGAGAGAGTCCTGCGTGCTTGTAGCGGAGTCCAAAATGAGGAAAAGCCAGCCGAGTCCCACAGCAGTATTTTGGAGCCGTCATCAAACCCGAGCAGTTTGAGCAGGGATGCGGTAAATCATCGTCACATCACGAGGGCAAAGAGAAATAGGATCAGGGGATATATCTAGAATACGGATCGTTAATACTACACTTTGCCGACCACTGACCGCCTTTCACAGTTGCTGCGGATTGCTGTTTGATGGCATGTTGAAGTATGAATCCGATGGACCTCAATGGTTCGATTTTCCTTTCTTCTGGTGTTTGCGTTTGTTCGGTGAAGTCGGAGAGGCAACTCAGCAAAGGAAGCTCTGAACGAAGCCAGAGGTCGGTAAGAGCAAATGGAGAAACGATTGGCCCGCCTGCCGAGCAATGATGTAACCGGAGCTGCTGGGTTCGTTTGATGTTTCCAATTCCATGTTTGCACAAGGGACGGGGTTTCTGGGGATGTTCCCCGAACCTCGAAAGACAGCCACGATTGCCAGGATCAGAACCCTCAAAAGGAAAACCACATACTGTAAGTGAGGGATCCAGATTTACATCTTGACCAATGTGCCTCTAGAGACCTTTGATTGGCCGTTCCCACAGATTTTTCACTGAAAACCACGACAGTCAACGTTAATAGCTTGGACTTTCCAAGCACAACATGATTGTTTCTTAACAGGGCAAGTGTTTGGTGATTCTTGCCATTCGGCAACACAAGCAGGAGCTATGCAAGGATGCTCGATGTGTCTTCCGTAGCTGGCTTACATGAAGCATACTGCCTCCCTGTACCGGTAACTTACACTCAATACCCCAGGACTGTAAGTGGACAACGGTGTTCAACTTCTCAGCAAACTTGTACGCGCACCATCCGTCCATCACGATTTTGTCTTGGGGCTAGGAGGCTTGTTTTCCCTTTTTATCAACATTTTCAAATTCTGTATGGAGCTTTTGAAACAGTTCCCACTGGCCAATGTCATCGGTTCCTGTTTTGCGTGAACCCCCAACTTCATCGACCGAATCTCGCGAGTGTTACCCCCACGCTAGGGCAACTGCGTGGAGAAATTTTCCCAAGCGTACCCCAGTTCCATGTCCGTCCCGCAAGCACTGGCATCCACCGCCAGCAGCTGATCCGTCAACGCGGGTATGTCGTAGGTATGTACCTTCCATACACTCCCCCCGTTCTCTTTGGTCACCTGGTCCAATCGTGCTTTCCACTTTGAATTCCTTGCATTCTTGCAGATGTTGTTTCTTTTCGCCGCTGGCCCACCCTTTCGTAGTGGTTATTGCCCGTCGTCAAGGCTGCAATTTCTTCCAGATGAGGTTCTTGGTTTGACCATCGACGCATCATTCAATCCCCCAGTATCGAAACAACCAACAACCCAGCAACAAGCACGGCATGGCCACTGGATCGCACAAATTGCCTGTGACGTTACGGGACTCCAACGTTTCGACGGCAGATGATGATCACCTCCATCCTTCCGCCATGATCCATCCACTTGATCAGCTTCTTTAAACAGCTGGACCCCGTCACCGACCACACCCCGGCATGCCCGGGCCCGTCCCGCCGTGAGCATTTTAAACACCAAAACAACATCGAATACGGCAACCCCTTTCCGGGCACACTGCAAGCACATGGGCATCTGATCGTGACCAACGTGTTCTCAAAGCTCCCGGCTCCGCCATCCCGGCCCGTCCATGTCTTTTGGGTTCCGACTTCCGGTCGGGAGGGAGCCGCCGTAGGTACCTTTGCACAATGGGTTGCTGAGTTCGCCAACATTCCGTGCTTGGGGCTTGTCATCATGGATCACCCCGCTGATTGACGCTTGGCAGGTAGCTGTCTCTGATTCCAGGGCGGCGGGCAGGTTGCCTGATGCCCAGTTTTGCCAACGTGCCTCTCCTCCAGTGGTTGGCTGCCCTGGACTGCTAGCCGATGCCCCGGATTTCGTCCCCAAAATCCCACGATGTCCTTGTTCATAGAGGGATGAACTGACCGTAACCCCCGGGTCTGTCTCTTCTACACTTCTCAAGATGACAGAAACATAGAGATAGCCACTTGCAAACTCCTGTAGATACAAGGGAATTTCGCACCGTCGGGGTGACCGAGCATCAACTGTGCAAAGGGTCAATATCAAACGTTTCAATGACAGGCTTCGTCGCCGGCATCGGTATCCCAGCTTGCAAGATTGCTATGGGCCAGAATAGAAGCAGCGAAAAATGCTGCGCTGCTTCTAGAAGTCGGCCGTCTTGCATTCTTCCCCACAACACACCCACCAATTTCATCCCACGCTTCTCTCCAGCAGAGCCTGCGCCCGAATTCCAGACGAGCACGCGAGGTACATGCTGCTGAGACCTCAGCTACATTACAAGTACCATAGACTCACCCCCTCCCATGCTCTGGTGGAGTGTCGCCGCCATGCTTTGGCAGCAAGTTCACGCAGTCACTGATGGTGTCAGCTAGAGAACCAATAGGATGAATCTCTTAGTGAGCCTTTTCAAAGTGCCAAGGGGCCCTCGAGTTAGATGAGCAAGCAACAAGAGGAACATGTACTCCAAGTACTCGCATGTACCTTTCTCTTCCTAGCCTTGTACCTTGTTGAACTCCCACTTGCTGCCGCCGCCAGTTAGGTTTTTGGGGGTGGGATGAAGTCCTTTGTCCGCTTGCAGTCCCAGCCCAGAGGGCCACTCGCCCAGCGGAAGTTGAGGATTTGCGTTACAGTAGGTTCTTCTCATCATGTACAGTGTACCCCAGCCCAGCCCGTCACCTGGCCAGTTTTACAGCCAGGGTGGAATATGTTGGGGGATGATGGCTACAGGGTATGTATGACTTACACTCTTGTGTCTCGCTACACTCCGGTGTATATAAACTCACGCACCGGCATCTGTCCGTCCCCCTTCTGGCTGATGCTCTTTGTCTCTTGAAATCTCTTGATCTTCACTTCTTGCATTTGTCACTTATCACACATAGCATGGCATTATTCCACTTCAAGCTGTAACTCCAAAGACGTTGGCTTGCACCCTGAAGCATCGACATTGTATCGATACTACCATCGCCGGCAGTTACATACCCAACTCGACGCCCCATTTTGTCACATTCAACTATTACAAATAACAAGTCATTTACTCTCGGTCACCCCCAACAATACATATCCAAAATGCTTTCGTACAATACCCCTATGTCGGTTAACGGTCAGAACGCTGGACCGACCGGCGGCATGTCAGCGCGACTCCCAGTAAAGAATGTCGGAAACATCGCCTCTGTCAATGGAGTGTCATCCAATGATGCAGTGTCAGGAACGGGACGGCACAGTCCCAAGGAGCAGCATATCTGGCTGGTCACCGGACCTGCTGGATGCGGCAAGAGCACGGTGGCAAGGTATCTTGCGGAATCTCTACATTGGCCCTATATTGAGGGTGACGAGGTATGTAGTGATGCGCTTTCCTCTGTTGTGTTATTCCAACTAACAAAGTCAAAAAGTTTCATCCATCAGCCAACATCGAGAAGATGAGCGCCGGTATCCCCCTTACCGATGCGGACCGGTGGGATTGGCTCACGGCTCTCCGCGAGGCTTCAATCCGGGCTCTTGATCAGGGCAATGACGGCGTAGTTTTGACGTGCTCTGCGTTGAAGCGCAAGTACCGTGATGTCATCCGAGTGGCTCCCTACTTCACCCCGAATCTCCACCTTCACTTCATCTACCTCGATGCGTCTGAGGAGATCCTCCTTCAGCGAGTCCTTGCGCGCCAAAACCATTACATGGGTGCCAACATGGTTCACAGCCAGTTTGAGGCTCTTGAGCCACCAACGTCCGCCGAGACGGACGTGATCCCCATTGACGTGAGCCGTCCTGCCGAGGTGGTTATGGCAGATGCTCTAAACCAGGTTCTCCATACGATTGATGGAATCCAGATCCAGAAGGACCAATCGCAATGAAGGCTTCGATGACCTGCATTGGGGGTCCAAGGGATGGGAAAAGGAGATACAATGCACAACACCTGCATATGGCGCTAGGCCCTTGAGGTTCTTGAGCGGCCTGTTTGCCCCACCGTGGCACGGCATTATCTTGGGAGTTTGCTTTTTCACGTTGGAATCTTTTTGGGGGGGGTTTTTTTTATTCGGGAGTCATCTGTTTCATCGGGCGTATTTGCTTTGGATGGGATCAAAGGGATATGGAAGGGGAGATTCGCGCACTGGAAGCGGACCTGGATATTTTTACTAGCATTGTAGGGCACGGCAGTTCGCCAAAAGCTTTGGACTTTTTGGGTTGGCGTTCATGGGATGCTTTGCACGCAAGGAAGCCGGAGCAGTTGGATCATCGTTATCATGGAGGGATAGCAATATTTTGGGGGCGAGTGCGTTGCCTATGCATCTTAGGCAAGCGATGGCGAAGAGTATCGCAAAGATATGGCTTGGCTTAAGGAAGTAAACAAGCACAAAATGAATAAATATCAGTTCATGAACAGTGGATTTGCTGTCGAGCTCCCCGTATGTTCCTTTTACTGCTTCTCGTACATCGGATCGGTCCACACGCAAACCCATTACCTTGATCATCGCAGGTGTGTCACTTTCGCATGTGCAGATACATGCAACCAACAGACGATACACTCTTGCCAAAGGGACTGTTGGTGAGGATACAGTGTGTATACGTGATGCGCATATACAACATGACCTCACAGAGTTCATCGTTTTCTTGCATTTAGCGATGGATCTTTGTACTCTGCCTTCTTGTTCTCTACGAATTCAAACGACCTAGTTAACATCCTTTTGAACCATATTGCGTTCACTTGAACATTCCGAGAAAGCCAGGATACTGGCCCGCCTCATGGCTGACAACATGTGCTTCTGAGTCCGAGAACAGTTCATCATAGTCAATTTTTGGCGGGATGTGGTCTAAGCCTTGGATTGAATGCCATCCCTTATCCAAATTGGGCTGATTTGTAAGTTTAGCGGTGCAGTCAAGTGCATATATCTCATTGATGCTCGTTGGACTGGAACAGTAATACGACATGAGATGGAATACAGTATGATAATACAGAGTATGGTATATTACAAAAATCTTATCGGTAATCTTTGGTTTCCATACTCTAAATGTCTGTCGTTAGACGATACCATAAACATTCACACCAGAAGCCATTCCTGATTCTCATAAACAGTAGGGTATCCGTCTCAAAACACCATCCCTCTTGATGCCGAACCGCTAACCAAGTAAGCCACTCCAGTATTACTCAAAAGCAAAACATTATCGACTTCCAAGCTCTATACCAATCACTCGTATCCATAATCTTCACCTTACATCACCACCCCAGTCTACATGCCTTTACTGACCCTCACACCTTTTACCCATCTAATCATGGGTGATAAGCAGGCTTAGGATCAGCCACATACGGCGGCGGCGGCTCAACCCAACCGCCATCCCCATCCGGCACCGTCATATTGTCCATTGGAATTGCCTCGCCTCCCTGTCTCTGTGGACCAACCCCAGCATTATTGGAGCCGCCTCCTGTCCTGCTTCGTCCAGCAGTACTAGCACCAGCACCAGCACTAGCACGAGAAGCAGCCCGTTCCTCGGCCGTCAACATCTCCCGTAGCACCTGCTGGCGGTCCTTAAGCTCCTTTTGTCGTCTATAGCGAGGTAGAAAAACGCCGAAGAAGAGGATGATGAAGAGGAGGAGGACGAGGAAGACAGCTAGGGTTATTATGTTGGTTCTAGTGAGCGTTTTGCGTTTTGTGAGGGAGTGGAGGTCGTGGTTGAGGTTGAGGTTGAGGTTGCGAGAGACGGAGGTGAAGGTGAGGAGGTTTTTTGCCCTTCGCAACCTTGGGGCGAGTGCGATTGGTGGCATTTTTGTTTTCTTTTTTGCTCTTTGCACTACTATTTTCTTCTCTTCTGTTGGCTGATTTGATGGTTCGTTTGTGTTATCGTCCCCCTGACGACGTCATTCGTGTTTTTATCGCTCGTTCCTTCTCGGGGAAGTTGGCGATGATGGGATTGAGAAGATGTCGTTTGATTGAAGTGTTCCGGGGTCCCTTCGAGATCTGCATGTGTCGAGTGATACACCGTTGAAACAAGACGTGGGAGTAAGTAAGTTAATCGGTTGAAAGCGGTTGTTGTTGGTTTTGTTCTTCCCACGGTTAGCTTCTTGCTGCCTTTCGCACCCATCCGTAGTATCCGACTAACGTAAGACTACCATTGTCCGGGCTATGCTGTTGTTCTTGCCTCCTTTTCTGGCGTTTTCATTTTCCGAAGATGACGTTGCTGGCGAACAGCCGATCGCCAGCCAGTAAGTCAGGCAAAAAGAGGCTGAGGGAGAGTCTCCAGACTAGAGCATGTGATTGTTGGTAAGCACAGCCTCACTTGGGCACCATTCAGTTACCTGTTTCACTGTTTCACGATGACTGATCTGGGTGCCAAGAGTTTTTTTTCCCTTTTCTTTACGCCCCTCTCATTGCTGTTGCCTACCTATATGACCCGAATACAGACACTGCTCTTACCTATGCAGTGAGACGGTGAATGGGCAGCCGAGCCGTCATTGGGAGAGAGAATGGATGCGATTGGGTAAGTCGGATTCGGAGTTATAGAACAGCCCTTCCAGATGTACGGACATTGCGAATACCGAGCAAGACATTGAAGCGTTCATCAACGCTATTTTGCTGATGCTCACTCCCAGGGGGCAAATGGCCCGAGACAACATGGCGAGTTACAACCGTCCATCGTGAGCGAAGAATGAATGCCGAGAAGCTTGTGTGACTTAAGAGACGGTCCGGGGGCTTGCGGGTAAGATGTGAGTGCGGGTCGAGTTACACAAAGTTCGCTTATGTTCATATTGTCGGCAAAGGATACCTTTCTCTTGGCCTTGATGAGTGATGATGAATCGGACAACTTTGTGAGCTATTCCATACATACCCTGGATCGAACACTGTATAAGCCATCGGAACTGCGCAGCCGAGAGATCTTCCACCCATCATTAATGAACTCCAGTCGCACTCACCATGGCTTCATCAAAAGCTGTTGAAGTTACATTTAGCGAACTCGAGAAAGAACCAAAGTAAAAGGACCGAACCCCCCCCCCCCGCGCATGTTTCCTTGGAATAATTTTGGACAATATGATGCTACCCCCCGGAACCCGTCCATTTTGTCTTGGTTGTGTTCTTGGTTCCCCCGCATTTTTCTCACCCAACCATCACCACCCCTCCTCGCCCGAACCCAATTCCGCCCATCCATCCACATCCAGATATGGACGCCGAGACATAAGAATAACTTCCCGCTCAAGCTGACCTGACTAGCTGGCAAGTCCACAACAAAAAGGGCCTAACATCTTGGCCAATGTATTCTTGGCTTGACATCAGCTGTATCTCATAGCTAAGAGCAGGGGATACCTTACCAGTAACCTGTGAATAAGCAGGACGTAGCGGCCCTTTTCCTCCTCATTCTGCGCTTTAAGAAGCTGGAAGGGCTTTGATCGGTGCAAATGATCAGAGGAAGAAGCATGGTTACCTGCAGGAGAAACAGATTCCAGATTTCTTCCAGCATACGTATGTAGGTATGTCGGACATACCTAGCGCAAAAGCATCATCAATCTGAAGCTTCACTGTCGGTACGACGTACGTGAGGTTGGTGAGGTACAAAGAGGTACTTGGCAACCGAGACAGTGTTACCCTTCGGTACATCTTCCATGTCTCCTGCAATACCTTCCAAGTATCGGTTGTTTGATCCGGCGTGCCGTATTGTTTAAAGTTGCGGAGTGCACGAGGGCCGACGGAGATCGGGGTTCTTCCTACGCAGCTTCGTACTGTTATGGAAAAGTAGCAATTGTGATGGCAGCCTTGCAGTTGTGCCTCTCGACTGCTATCACAACTATATAAGACCACTTGAGCGACCGAATTGCCAGCTTCGGTTACTTATATCCTTTTGGAACATAGCCTAGTGATGTAGTGGTCCGCCAGCGCCATGACAGCAATTAACAAAGAAAAAGAAACAAAAATGGGGGACAGTGATATTGCAACATTGATCCCGATACACATCCGAGGTGAACGGCTCAAGAGTTCGTCATGCGCTTGCTGTCTCGGCGTTTACTCTGTATGTGTGTAGCTGAAACTTTAGCGCAGATATGAGAGGGAACGACTGGATGCGCCGAAACACAAACATCGACCAACTTAGCAGGCTGCTCGCGATTATGCCTCTAAGGAGTTGCGAACACTGTATGCGTGACTGGCCTGACAAACATCTTCAACAAGTCGGTGCATGGGACATAGTGGTTGAAAAGGGAGTCGGACACTGGAGTATTTGAAACTGATTTCTCTTGAGCAAAACTTGTCTAGGTAAAACAATGTATGCAATGTGTAGAATACGCCAAGGGGTAATCGGATGATGCAAGCAAAACAGTGACAAATGACTATAAACGCTGGGTTCTAATGACTTTTTTTTCCTCAGTTGACTGCCAAACAACTTCACCTGAGATGCATGACCATAACATCAGGCTCTTCAACAATCGACCTCACCACGTCCGCCGCCCTGGCCATGGTTGCCCCATCAATCACACGATGGTCAGCACTCCAGCTGAAGTTGCAGATCTGCCTTCGCAAGATCTTGTCTTCCTCCCCAGGCACCGTCGAGAATGCCGGGACAGTACGCATGCGACCGATGCCGAGAATGGCCACCTCCTTCTCCACTATTACCGGGGACAGGTAGGTGCCTCCAATGCTACCAATGTTGCTGACGGTGATTGTACCGCCAGACATGTCCTGTGGCGACAGCTTACCGGTTACGGCTAATGACTGCAGGCGGGCCAGCTCGGCGGCGATGCTCAGAATATTGAGGCTGCCGACGTTTTTAACGACGGGCACGAGCAGGCCGGAAGGAGTGTCCATTGCCACACCGATGTTGTGCTGGCTGCGCATGATGAGGGATGGCTTACCATTGCTGTTGCTGTCGAGGTCGACACGAGCATTGAGGACGGGGTATTTGTAAAGCGCCATGCTGACGGCCTTAATGACGAAGGGGAGATAAGAGAGCTTCTTAACCTCGCCCTCGGGAAGGCCAGACTTGGAGAGAACCTTGTTGAGGCGTGCACGCAACTCGACAAGGGAGGTAAAGTCGACTTCGTCGGCGTAGAGGAAGTGCGGGATGGTTAGCGACCGAGTCATGGACTTGAACATCATCTCCTGCGTCCTCGTGAGAGGCACCGTAGTTTCTGTTTGAGGGCCTGAAGCTGTGGCGGCTGGGGATGAGAACGCGCTCGCGGCGGCAGCGGCAGCGCTCACACCTGGCGTGGTTGGCGTAGCACCAGAGGGGGACGGTATTGACGCAGAGGCCTTGACTTGCACAAACTTGTAGACATCCTCCTTGAGCACCCGTCCATCCTTGCCTGTCCCAGTTATTTCAGTGATGTCGACGTTCAGGTCCTTCGCCAAGTGCCTAACAGCTGGAGTCGCCAATGAGGCGTGCTTGCCCGTCTGCTTGGTCACTGGCGAGTGCGAGGGTGCTGGCGTTTCCTGTGCCCACGGTGCCTCGATAAATGCCTGTTTGAGTTCGGGAGCAATAGCTTGCGGCGTAGATGTTGAGATAGCCTCCCCCTTGATGGCCTGCTGTCCTTCTGGGGTAGAAACAGGCTCGGGCGGTGTCAAAGCTTCCGCCTCCTTGTTCTCCGGATCGCCCTCGATGTCGATATCGACAAACGGCTTTCCGACCTTAGCCATCTCGCCCGCATCGTAGTAGAGCTTCTTGACTACACCGGCAAAGCGACTGGTGATTTCGACCGAAGCCTTGTCACTCTGGACTTCGCACAGCGGCGAGAACTCCTCGACTCGCGCGCCGGGCTCGACGAACCATTGGATGACTTCGCATTCGACAATTCCTGGGAATAAGTTAGCGCACGGTTACAGACAAGGTAGACCAGGCGCAGTTAGATCTAGACATACCCTCTCCAATATCGGCAAGGAGGACCGGCTTGACGACTTGAAGCTCCCTTGTGGCATGGAACTGTCTTCTTGTGGAGGGCTGTTGGGCTAGAGCAGACGACCTCGAGTTCGGGGCAAGGGGACGAGTAGCAGACGAAGTCGTGGATGGTGTTGTCGTGGCTGTCGCAGTCGGCGCAAGTCTGCTCAACCCCCTCCGACTAAGACGCCACAATTCTTGCCGGCCGACGGCGCGGGAGCTCTGTCGCAAAAACATGTTCTTCATGTTGCAGACAAGTCGTTTGAGACGAAAGACCCAAGCGCAAAAGTTTGTTTACTTTGAACAGAGACCGGAGGGGATCTCGCAACTTGAGGGATCACATCTCGCTCGAGACCAGAAAAAAAGAAAACATTGTCCCCAACACTCTCCAATGCTCTACCGCGGCTTGCCGCTCTCGGTGTCCAATAATTTAGCAAAGGGAAGGATATGACGGGTGTCGTTACCCCAATCAACGTCCTCAATCGATCTGGCGGGGTGGCTTGCTACGGCTTACAACCCTCGAGTGACGTTCGGCCGAGAGAACCTTGAAGGCTTGGCCAGGAACATCCCCCGTGGATAACCGAACCCCAGCTTTTATCAGATTTTATCTGCGGCAGGCACAATGCAGGCTCCATTGTGTTCCTGGTTCGGCTTGTGCCCCAGAAAGCCGCACGGGCTTGACCCCAACTGTGTGGTCCAGGGCGCGGGGTCCATCAAAGCTCTTGGTGGGGTAGCAATGCTTGGCGCGTGGAAATTTCTAGGGACGGCGCGCTGGACAGACTGATCTGACATCAGAAGGACCGTGACAGGAGCTTCCGGGAGAACCTTGAGAGCCAGAAACATCACGAATCGACCCGTTCCCGCTACACATCATGCTTAGCCGCGCAACAATAAGAGCTAGGACGACAGCTAGCGCCTGCCTCCTATGCCAATGGAGATCCTTCAGTGTATCATACCAGAGACTTGCCGATAAGACCCCATCACCACAGCAAACCAAACCGACGACACCAGCATCGACACCAGCTCCAGCCCCTGATGCTGCTTCGAAAGATACCGCTCCGGCGGCTTCCACCGTCTCACCCATCGAGGTCCTCAGGGAAGCTGGCCCTCTAGCCAATGCTCCCAGAGCCTACGGCAAGGCGCTCGATACCTTCACGCCAACCCACCTGTCGAGGCCCATTGGCATGCACAATCCCCCAAACACCGGAGAGAACACAGGCATTGACACGCGCACACTTCAGCAGAAGAGGGACGACTTTGTCAACTATGAGAAACATCTGAAGAAGCGGGAGATGCTGTGAGAAACCCCGTCCCAACCTTAGCTTTCCATCTACGTTATGCCCTCAGCTTGACTGACCATGCGCGCTCTATGACAGCAAATCCAAAATCTCCCGCCCCTATTTCCGCGACTGGCGCAACATGCAATTCCATAAGGGCAAGACCTTCCTCGCGCCGCCACGTCTTTTCAAGGCCGACCTCTCCCTCTACTTCCCTAACTTGCACGGCCGAACCCTCGCCAAGGACGCTGCTGCCAAGGTCGCCGACACCACACCCCTTCTCGAAGGCCACTGCTCCGTCGTCACCGTCTTCAGCAGCATGTGGGCCGAGAACCAGATCCGTACCTTTGTCTCCCCCGAAGCCAACCCGGCCCTCCAGTCGGTCTTGCAGCAGAGCGGTGGGCGCGCGCAGCTGGTGCAGGTCAACATTGAGGAGGACGCCATGAAGGCGTGGTTGGTCAGGTTGTTCATGGGCTCGCTGCGCAAGAAGGTGAACCAGGACGACTGGAAGAGGTATTTTTTGGTAACAAAAGGCATCACGGACGAGATCCGGGAGTCGATTGGCTTGCTGAACAGCAAGGTCGGCTATACGTATCTGGTTGATCATAACTGCCGGATCCGATGGGCGGGCAGTGGTGATGCGGAGGGTGATGAGAAGGAAGGCCTGGTCAAGGGTGTCCAGAGGATCCTGGATGAAATGACTAAGGAGGGTGTTGGGAAGAACTATGTGAGGAAAACAGCGGCTGTTCCCGAGTTGAAGACACAGGAGACTGTTACGATGCAATAGGCAAATCGGTATACCTAGGCGTATACACGCGTTTAGATCATACGGATGTCATGATCCATTGCCCAGCTAACCATATCAATACAGCTCTTGGTGGTAGGGATATGGACTTGATATGCTCGAACAACAATCTTCAACTACAAAGGGGATATTGAGCTCGTGAGCAACCATACCGGCTCATCCGGCAACGAGACTGTCATGTCCAGAATGCCATGGAATGCCATGGACAAAACACAGCGGACAGTCTTGATCTGTTCTGGCTAAACCAGGCACACCTATACGCCACGGTTATATTGGCAAGAATACCCAGGACTTTCTCCTGAATCTGTACATTGTATTATTATTCTGTAAAACCACTTCCACACCTGCTTGCCTCGTAACGCCCCTGAACGCCGTATTCCCGCCATGCTTTACCAACACAATACGAAAGCCCAAGACTGAAACGGTTGGTCATGTACAGCCGCTTTGCAATATGGGTCTGGGAAGATGTGATCCTGTCACAACTTCCAGAATCCGTAGCCAGCGCCTACCATGGAATGAGTCGCAAGAACCATCCCTCTGGAGTCACTTTCTGCCCATGCACCCAATTCTTCGTTACCAAGCTCTTACACTTTCTGGCGTTCTTCATCCTGCTCCGTCCGCCCTCCGCCGCTCCGTGCCGCCGCCAACCTTATGAGAAGAACCAAAACATCAAAAAGCAAAACGCAATAAACGACCCCATGATGATCCCATCCCTCCTCTTCCTCGCCGAGATCCTCGTAATCAGCGTATTGATCCCCGGCACCTGGCTCGCCGCAAGAGTAATCCGCCTGTTGATGTGCGCCAATCTTTCCCTCTGCGAAGCGAACGAGTCCTGCACCGCGTACGCCTGGCTCAGCACGCTGTCGGCCACGTCGTGGCTGCGGTCCAGCCTGCCCCGCTCGTCCAGCATGTAGTCGGCTTCGCCCTGTTCCGGGTTGGCGGCGCGGTATGCCGAAATATCGTCGCGCACGCTGCCCAGCAGGTTGGCGCGCGTGCGGGCCGACTCGAGCGTCGACCGCAGTCGGGAGAGGTCCCGCCGGTGGTCCAAGAGCTTGTCGCGCAGGAGGGAGAGGTTGTTTTGTTTCATTGCGGAAGGGGACGGGTCCGAGGTTAGGATGCGGGTGAGGTGGGAAATTACGGATTCGCGCTGAGTGAGGCAAGGGGTCAGTGGTTTTGGGATTCATGTGAGCCAGCTCCAAGGGGCATGTGAAGCGTACCTTGTCCAGAAGCTCCTGTAACCTCGTTTCCGTCTGTCTTTCCTCATCTGTCGGTTTCGGTGGGATGTTGGTCTGGTTCGAGAACTGGGCGTATGTGTGGAGGACCATTTCGGTCTGTCCAAAAGCGTTAGTCTCATGCCCTTCCCAATTCCCAGCGCCTATTGCCAGTCCAGTCGTACCTGTGTTTCGAGCGAGCGGGCTTGTTGTCGTAGTTGGGCCCAGCCCTGGTTTGAGGATGTTGTCGCCGCCATGATGTAGTGCTGCTCCTAAGCTATTGGGGAAAGACTGATAATTTTCGGGACATGCAATTCGCTTTGGTTTTGTGCAAGCAACGGGTTTGGAAGAATTAAAGGCGGCGCAGTTCAGATCTACAAAAATTGTCTTGGTAGTGTTGAGCTTCGTTGTTCAGGAGAGATCAACACCTAGGTAGCCGAGGGTCCTCAGCCAGAATGGAAGTGGTCGTGATGACGATGTTAAGGAAAGACATGTGGCTTTGTTAGTAGGCGAAGTTCAACCCCCTAATGGAAGGCGCCACAGTTACATACTCACTGTATCGTAGCCGCGTGGACCGACTGTTCAGCTGAGCTGCAGCAGGACAATAGAGCTGAAGATAGGGCTTGCAGCGCATATGACCCAGCGGCAATTGTCACCTTGAGCCAGGTGTCAATGGCCCCGGCTCTGGCAAGCTGATGCACATCTATTGGTAGGGGTCTAGGCCAAGCGTGACATCAAGGTTCATACAATCAACACGCCAGATGTCTCCGGACCACACCTTTCGCCCGTCTGAACAGTGACAGACATCGATAATATCTGAGGCCAAGGGAACTGATTTATACCCTTGACAGTTGGGGTGATGTTGTCATCCTGCATAACTTGGTCGTGAGCGGGACAGCGCAAATAGAGACAGGAAGGACAAGATATCCCAGGGTTCAAGGGAAAAGAAGCCGGGTAAGGGTAACGATCATATGGGACCCATATAGAGTGAAAAGGGCGGTAACTAAATGGGCTCGTATAGTCGTCATATAGGTTTACTGGTATGTGCGTAGAATGTGCGATAAACATCGACGCAATGGAGAGCGCAGTCGCACAAATCACACATAAATATCAAGGGTCGAACATGCGGCAGGCGCAACGAATAGCATCCGTAGGTATTGATCTTCCGCTCTTTGGACGGATCCCTAATCGCGTGGTTTGGTGCGATATCAGGAGTAACAGGCTATCTGCGAGAGTCGAGTGCCTTCACGAGCCCCTTGTACATTGCCATGGGACGTCCCCAATGTCGTTCATGAGATCGAGTTTCGCTCGTGGCCCGTATCCTCTGCAAAACCTAAAGCCGTATTTTATCTTCCTGATGACTGTAAAACCCTCATTACAGACGCCGTAATGGACCCGAGAACCGTTAACGTCCAAATGCAACTGGCCGAGCCATACCGCGAACCGCTCCCGTATGCACTCCCCTAGCACCCAAGCTCATAATCTACCACTTCATCTCGTGGGGCTTGTCACCCTTGCGGAGGGTGAAAGAAGAGGCGAGGTAGCTGGCGAGGAACTCGACCTTCTTGATGTTGGCGATGAGGGCCTTGTCGATGGCCTTCTGGTCGGCAACGCGGCTGCTGGAAACCTCCTTCTTCTGGATCACAATGTCAGCATTTTGCGCCCCGTCTTCCAGCCTCTCGGACATGTGTGGTCGTACCTGGGGCTTCTCGCCCTGCTTGAAGAAAGCCTCCTCACCGGCCTTCTCCTTGGACTTTTCAGCGGTGAAGTACTTGGGCTGAGCAATCTCGTTGATCTTGGCCTCGTCGATGCCAGCGAGATCAACCTTCTGGGAAGTGGCGATGACGTAGCGGGCGTTGACGCGACGAAGGGGAACACCGTTGATCTTGAAGGGGCCGGTGACGAGAAGGACACCCTGGTCGAGAGCCTTGAGGAGGACGACGCGCTTGCCACGGAAACGGCCAGCGAGGAGGATCAGGACGGTGCCGGGCACGAGGGTGCTGCGGGGAGACCACTGGCGGATGGCCTTGCGGACCTGTAGAGAATGCGTGTTAGAGCTTGTCGTTTTCGCAGAGTTTGGAGTTTTGGCAGCCTGTCTGCCTCTTGTCGCCGCCTCCATAAGATGCACTTGGTGGCCCCAAAGTCCAAAATCGCAGCATGTGCTGCTGCCCTCCACTCGCGCCCCAGTTGCCCCCATCTCGGCCGCCAAATCGATAACCGCCAATTCGGCCGCAATTCCACTAAGTGCATCTCGCGATACTTCGCCAAAATCGTCGCAGGTCGCCTGGAAAACTTGTGCATGCACGTACCTTGCGAGGCTGGGCCTCATCCTCAGCAGGGTACCATTTCTGGGCCTTCTCGGACGAGTGAGGGACCGTCCGGGTCGCCTTGCCAAAGGTCTTCGTCTGGGGAGCTGCCGCGGACGACATTGTGTGGACTTTGGCTGGGTGGTGAGGTTAGTGCAGAATCGTCGTCAACTTCCTGACTGCTGCTCGAGATTTTAGAAATGTTGGAGTGGCCCCGGTTGTGTGCATGTTACGAAAAGACCCAAACCCCAAGCTAACCGCATTGGGAATTTGCGGGACCGGCCACCTTTGGCAGGCGGCAGCGCACGGACCACCTCGGAAACGGTAGGGTTTTCCGCCCTCCCTGCGATTTTGCGCATCCACACCTCTCAGATTTTGTTGGATAGCGAGAGCCTGAAGACCGCGATCCTCTGATACTTGTCGTGGTCAAGCCCTACTCACCCAACGTCCTTCAAGCTCGACGTCAATCACATTCAAGATGGTACGTACGGCCCTACATGTCCGACGGTGGTTTGGGCACTGTTATGCTGTCAATTTCATCGATGTCATCTTTGGCAATTGCTGCTCGTCGCAGATGATCCTATCTGCAGCGATGTCGCAGTCGCCAACTGGTGGCAGTCTTTGAGATTTTTGGCGACGAAGTGCACTGGCTAACTTCAAAATGTTGCAGTCTTCTGGAAAGGTCAAGGCCGGCGCTCTCTGGTCCAAGAACAAGGACGAGCTCACCAAGCAGCTCGGTGAGCTGAAGACTGAGTTGGGTCAGCTTCGCATCCAGAAGATCGTCTCTTCTGGCACCAAGCTCAACAAGATGTACGTCGATTCCGCACCCGCCGATCTACCGCGAACCACGACCACACCGAGAACGTGATATGGGGGACTTGGACGAATCTCTTGGGGAATATTCGGGACGAATGAACGGGTTCGCTGACAGGCGCATCTCTTTACAGCCACGACCTCCGCAAGTCGATCGCTCGTGTCCTCACCATCATCAACGCCAAGCAGAGGGCTCAGCTCCGTCTCTTCTACAAGAACAAGAAGTACCTCCCTCTTGACCTCCGCGCCAAGCAGACCCGCGCCATCCGCCGCCGTCTTTCCAAGGAGGACGCTTCCCGCACTCTTGAGAAGACTAAGAAGCGCGCCACCCACTTCCCCCTCCGCAAGTTCGCCGTCAAGGTACGATATACAATGCGCCGGCTGTGGTGGACGGGAGACGCACAAAGTCCCCCTCCAATCTCAGCGGTTGCCGAATGCCGATCCGAGTAGGAAGGACAGGAGCCAACGCTAACATGTGTGTTCCTAGGCCGCTTAAATATGTTTCTTCTGGGGTTAAGGGGTTGGTTGTGGGTATCTAAACAGGCGGCGCGGTTTTGAAAAAGGATTTCGCACTCGACACACTGCATCATCAATGGAGCATGCTTGAACGGGTTTTTGGGTGCTATCAACGAGGTCAACGAAATCTTGATCCGGCTAGGTAGCTCCATAGCTGCCGAAAATGAATGCCACGGGCTGAACCACCACCATCACCACCACCGCGGACGGACCGTCCTGATGATACCCACGTTGGATGCCTGACGATTCCCCCGGCCGGATGCTGTTCTGTTCGAAGATTGCACGAAGGGGGCTCATGGTTCGGGTTCCACTGTGCCACACAACGGCTCCTTTTGGGGATGATCGTTGTAGCCAGATACACATAGTTGCCTAGAAAAGAGCACGGTTATCTGGATGGGAATCTTTCAGGGTTGCTTCGAGAACGAATCTGTCCTTGGTCCTGTGGCTGCATGTGATGATGTCCTGCCGTTCTTACGGTCTCGGAGTGAAGATCGTATTGCTATTATTGCCTTTTGTCGGCCTTGCATGGATTGTGATGCATTCCGGTCATTTTTGTGATGCCCATTGTATACCTCACGTTGAGACGTATCTACTTGAATTCCGTGCCTTTCCAGGCTCTTTGCTATCTGTCCATCTCATGTCATGTTTGTTGACACACCCCTGAGTCCCCTTTCATGGACATTGTCAATTGTCTTGTTCAAAGTGTAGAAGCACCACGCCACATCTCACACAACAAATTGCATACTAGCAGCCATGTTAAGATAATATGTACTACATGGAAGAGGATTGACACTTGTTTTCCATCTGAAGTCTTACTAGAAAGTGTTTTGGACCAATTTATGAACATTTGACAGCGAAGGACAAGTCAAATGGACTATTATTTGACTCTGACCGCCCGGCAGAATGGCAATGGGATGGCACTAGCGAGTCTTAGCGTGATGCGTGCCAAGCATGGACCAGGTCTGTGTCTCTTGTGATGAGGTGGTGGAAGCTCCAACTGTCCTCTTGTCGCGGGCGCATTGGGATTGGACCTCCACCAGTCCGTCAATGACAGCGAACCTCTCCAACAACCTGCACCATCGCGAGGAAGCACAAACCACCAGATCAAGGCCACCATGTCGGCCGATTCCCTAGAACGTCTCGCTGTCGCGGGCAAGGGAGATAGCACTCGCACATTGTTGCGGGTGATTATCCTCTTGCTTATCGCCGGTGCTGCTATTTCAAGCCGCCTGTTTTCTGTTATTCGTAAGCTTCCCGGTCCCCAGCTTCCTTGACATGGAACATGCGTGGCAGAGTGAAGCTCCGGACGAGCTGGGCAGCGACATCACGAAGACCCTCAACGCCGTCCTTCGAAGCTATCATTTCTCCAAAATGTTCAATGGGCTCCAGCATTTGGACTCCTTGACTTTATTTATGCTCATGAATGCTAATCGCTTGCTTGCAACCAGGTTTCGAATCTATCATCCACGAATGTCAGTTCCCGAGCTTACAAGCTTGCTTCCTCCCCCATCCACAACACCAACTACCACTCCGGCGCCGCAACAATATCGACATCTTTACGAAATCGCATTACTAACACCCATACAGTCGATCCTTGGTTCAACTTCAGAGCGACAAAATACCTGGTCGCAAATGGATTCTACAAGTTTTGGGACTGGTTTGATGACCGGACATGGCATCCCCTGGGCCGCGTCACCGGAGGCACTCTCTATCCCGGCCTCATGGTTACCAGCGGTGTCATTTACCACGCCCTGAGGGCCCTCTCGATCCCCGTCGACATCCGGAATGTCTGCGTCCTCCTCGCGCCTGCCTTCTCAGGTCTTACTGCCTACGCCGCTTACCTCCTCACCAACGAGATGACCCCGTCTTCGTCCGCCGGTCTCCTTGCCGCCATCTTCATGGGCATTGCCCCCGGCTACATCTCTCGCTCGGTTGCTGGCAGCTACGACAACGAAGCCATTGCCATTTTCCTTCTGGTCTTCACCTTCTACCTGTGGATTAAGGCTCTGAAGCTCGGATCCATGCTCTGGGGAGCTCTTTGCGCCCTCTTTTACGGTTACATGGTTGCTTCCTGGGGTGGTTATGCCTTCATCACCTGTCTCCTTCCTCTTCACGCCTTTGTTCTCATCTGCATGGGCCGCTACAGCACTCGGCTTTACGTTTCGTATACCAGTTGGTATGCATTGGGAACATTGGCCAGCATGCAGATTCCCTTTGTCGGTTTCCTGCCCGTCAAGACCAGCGAGCACATGCCTGCTTTGGGTACGTTAACTTGATTAGCCATCTTTTCGAGTCTATGACTAACACTTGGCAGGTATCTTTGGCTTCCTCCAGCTTTTGGCTTTCCTCGACTACGTTCGCTCGGCCATTCCCAGCCGCCAGTTCCAGACCTTCTTGTGGGTCTTTGCTGGAAGTGTCTTTGGCGTTGGCCTTACCGGTCTTGTCGTTGCCACCAGCGCTGGTTACATTGCTCCCTGGGGTGGTCGTTTCTACTCCCTGTGGGATACGGGATATGCCAAGATTCACATCCCCATCATTGCCTCAGTCTCCGAGCATCAGCCCACAGCATGGCCCGCCTTCTTCTTTGATCTCAACATGCTCATCTGGCTCTTGCCCGCTGGTGTCTATCTGTGCTTCCAGAAGCTGGCTGATGAGCACGTCTTCGTCATTGTTTACGCCTTGTTTGGCAGCTACTTCGCCGGTGTCATGGTTCGTCTCATGTTGACGCTCACCCCGGTTGTTTGCGTTGCGGCGGCCATTGCGCTCTCCACTATCCTCGATACGTATCTCAAGGCTAAATCCCCCATCCCGGAGGAGCATCTCGTTGAGGAGTCTAGCGACAGTACCCCCAAGAAGGCATCAAAGTCGGGTCTTAGGGCGTCGAGCAAGCCGTACATTGGAATCTATGCGACCTTCTCCAAGGTCACCGTTGCTGGTGCCATGACCGCATACCTGTTGCTGTTTGTCGCTCACTGCACATGGGTCACCTCGAACGCCTACTCGTCACCTTCGGTCGTCTTGGCCAGCAGGATGCCTGATGGTAGCCAGCATATCATTGACGACTATCGCGAGGCGTATCAATGGTTGCGCCAGAACACGAAGGATGATGCCAAGATCATGTCTTGGTGGGATTATGGCTACCAGATTGGTGGCATGGCCGACCGTCCCACACTTGTCGACAACAACACATGGAACAACACACATATCGCGACTGTCGGCAAAGCCATGGCCTCCCGTGAAGAAGTCAGTTATCCCATCATGCGCCAACACGAAGTCGATTATATCTTGGTTGTTTTCGGCGGCCTTTTGGGATACTCTGGCGATGATATCAACAAGTTCCTCTGGATGGTTCGCATTGCTGAGGGGATATGGCCTGACGAGGTTAAGGAGCGCGAGTTCTTCACGCCTCGCGGTGAATACCGTGTCGATGCTGGGGCTACTGATACCATGAAGAACAGCTTGATGTGAGTACAAGCCCTTTTCCATAGTCGCCTCATATACTAACTATTTCACAGGTACAAGATGTCGTATCATAACTACAACAATCTCTTCCCCCCTGGACAGGCTCAAGATCGCGTCCGTGGTGTCCGCCTTCCCGATGACGGCGGCCCGGTCCTCAACAGCATCGAGGAGGCTTTCACGAGTGAAAACTGGATTATCCGTATCTACAAGGTCAAGGACCTCGATAACCTGGGCCGTGACCACGCTTCTGCTTCCGCATTTGAGCGCGGTCAGAAGAAGAAGAAGGTGATTAAGAAGGGACCTCGCGTCTTGCGTGTGGACTGAGAGAGTCTCATGGACGGCGCATTTGCAGATCTATAGATGATTTTAAAGTTACTTACTGTTTTAAATCGGATGGGTGAAAAGAAAAAGCCGGGGTGGCATTGTACAAACTAGCGTGTGCATTGGAGTGAATATGGATCCTTTATATTGACTTCATTGTGAGTCATCTAGTCCTCCCCTTCTGTGAAACGAAGATGAATACTTTTATGTGATAGGGACTCTTCAGCAAACACTTTGGACGCGACTCAAGTCATTTCCCCTTTCCGTCGGCGGGCTCACTGTTTTCTGTGTTGTTGCGTGTATTGACCGGCCAAGTGATCCTCTGGGTTTTCGTCCGAACCAGATTTACAGACCATCATTCTAGACCATTGTCGCGTCACTATCTTTCCGAGAGTATCAGCTATCAACGCGTCCTGCTTGAAGTCAAAAAGATTACTTTCAGTCGCGTCTACCCCCGCCTGGTCGTGAACTCACAACGTGACCTCTTTGCTCTCCAATTTTCAAAACCGTCTTCCTACCCTCACATCTCTGCTGTCTGCAATACACGGACAAGTCTTTGGAATCACAATCTTTTTAACCGCCCGATGTACTTTTTTCTCATCATTCCAGAGGATTTCAGATCGTTACAATTAAGGTACACCCTGTAAGTACGCGGTGGAGTCCCCCAACGGTTATTGACATCCTACGCACCTTCCGTTGCCCTCGCCGTCCCCTCTACTCCTTCGCTTTCCCTTCACATCATCTCGTTTCTACCTCGACTCTTGCAAAAAAGGCAGTTGAGCCATTTCTTTGACTTCTGTGTCAGGTCCCCTCTGTTACGTCATTCTTGTTATTTCCCTTCGCCTTCCTAATACCTATTCATTTGCACGCTTCTTTGCGTATACGTTTTCGCAGAACTAACTCCGCGACAGAACAATCATATTTGCATTGTCCAGTTTGAGATATTTGGCGCGTAGAACGTTGTGAACCAAGATCACTGCCCGGTCAGACGTGTGGCGCGGTTGACACGCGACGAGGTGAGTAATCCGGGCCGCACTTTTAATCTAGAGTCGTTCCTCTCGCGAAACACGACCGCATCGACACTCAAAATTGTGTGTGCCGTGCGTCTTTCACAACTCGTTGAACAATTTGAATTGGCCCACGTTACTTCTTGGTGTCGGTGGACATTATTGGCCGGTGTCATCGGTCAAGAAGCTCACAACTGCCGCCAGGAGGCCCAGGCTTGACCCTTCACTTGCCGTTTCGATCACCTCCTACACGAAATCGTCCACTTTGGTGCCAAATTGCAAGCTAACAACACAAATCGGCATTACCAGCAACGGCATAACTCGCAACCACAGCAATCTTCGCGGCGCCACCATGCCTCGCAAGAAGCGCGCGTCCATCGTGGACACCCTGCTCAGCGTCAAGGGCGTAGCCAGATTACTCCGGAACATCAAGCTGCAAGATCCTTTGGGGACGGACACTACTGTGGCTAGTGGCTCCAACAGCATTGAGGAGTGGTCTTCCACCGATCGCCGCTCGCGACGCACCTCAGAATCCCCAGGGCGCAAGCATCGTCATCAGCGAGGGGGAACGCGTCCCAAATCACACCACCCGGGTACCTGGCCTGAGAGCCCTGAGCCCCGGGATTTCGAAGATGTTTTCCAAGACGACAAGTCCGAGTACTAGGATTACGAGGACGACACATCTTTGGAATATCCCTCTTCAGATCGACACGGCCACACAAGCAGAGCGGTTCTCGAGTCCGATAGTCGCTATGCCCTCTTCCAAGACAGTCGCAATGACTTCGCTGAACCTTCCACCGGCAGCCAATCCACTCATCGTACGCGAACCACCGTCCAGTCTCCCACCCAGCGGGCTGCTAGATCTGTTGCCTCCTCTTCTCGAAGCGCCGCCAAATTGGAGTCACTACGCAATCATAGGGGCCATAGACACAAGGTCATGCGCGAAGATACCGATCTTGAGTCTTCCGACTCGGAAAGGTCGGCCACAGGCCAGAAGACGTCTCAGAGTAGACAAAAGGACGACGATAGATTCATTCACGAGTCTGTGCCTGCTTCTGCAGCGGAGACGACCAACACCAAGAAGGGGCCGCTGAAAAATTATGACAGCAATTCAGATGACAATGAACACCCCACAAAGACAGCCCACGACGGTCGTTCTTCCATCCGCCAGTTCACAAAGCAGCTGCCGCGCCGACAGGTTCGCTTCGTCAAATCCAATGCTCATCTTCGTGGGTTGGTTAACGACAAGCTGCCACCGCCGAAGTACGAAAAGTTTGAGGCCCATTACCAGAAGATCTTGGCCCAAAAACAAAACCAGGGATCGAGTGCTTCAGAGAAATCTGAGTTCCGATCTCCGAAAACGTCTTCTGGTGCACACCCAATGTCATCTCAGTCCGCAGTGGCTCAGTTGCTTACAGCTCCTTCATTGCCTACTTCACCAGTCTCCGCGGAATCCCGTGCACCTTCTCAGGCCACTGCGCCCAAATCTAAGGCGGGGTCTGAAGTATCAGTCTCCGCGAGATTACCTTCCGCGTTGCGCACAAATACTTCCACTACGGCTGGTACCATTTCGTCGCCATGGGCTTCTACTGCTTCTTCGCCCACGGTGTCTAGAGCGCCTTCTTATACATCGACTAGGGCGCCATCTCATACGGCTTCTAGAGAACCATCCCGTGCTTCTTCTAGGGCTTCTTCTCTTACAGTGTCCAAGGCTCCTTCTCATATAGCCTTTAGAGCTCCTTGTCGTACAGATTCAAGTGTTCATTCTCGCACAACTTCCAGGGCACCAGAAGCCCAACAAGGCGGCCATTATTCCTTCATTGCTACTTCAGCCGCTTCTTCTGAGAAACCAAAGCCTAGTGCTCGGAAGAGTACTTTAAAGCCCCCGGATTCTGCCAAGTCCCCTCATCCAGACTCTACTAAGGCTGCATCCATGTACAAGAGTCCGGCAAACGAGAAGCATCCGCACAAGCAGTACAACCCGCAGGTTAACGAGGAACCGAGTGAGCTGGCCGGTGAACATGCTGATGAGCATGTTGACGAGCAGCTCGGTCAGCACGCCGACAAACAAGCCAATGAGCAGGGAAGCAAACAACGTGGCCACCAGGCCAAGTTTTTTAAATCAACGAGCAGGGAGACTACACTTGGCGGGCATGAAACTGTCCCAGACGTTGCCAGCAACGGGAACAGCGAGGTCCGTTCCAATCAATGTCACTTACAGGGACTTCTTCCTGAGGTCTATGATTGCAAGTACAAAACTCGACATTGCTACGCCTGCAGTCGTCCCAGGGACATGCGGTATGTTGAGTTCAGAAACAGGTTCTTGCGGGGAGAGGAACCGCAGCGTAGCCTTTGCCGCACCTGTCGTCGGTGCCTTGAACGGAACGAGGAATTCAGCCTGGTCCCTTACAGCACCAACAAGAGGACGCTCAAGGATATCAAGGGCTTTCACTGGTGTGCGCAATGTGGCACTATACGATCCCATAAATTCCATGAGCATTACCCTTCAGGAATCGACGTCCCTCCTCGTCATCAGCTGTGCCATCCATGCTGCAACTTCGCCAAGTTACCTCCTAAGAACATGTCTTCCACTTACAAGCCGCGTAAGCCCGGCGACGACGCCAGTAACGATAGCAAGAAGCGAGCAGGTGGTGATCAGAAAAGCGAGACCGGAAAACCCCTGGTAAGTTCAGTAACGTCTTGTCGAAGCGAACTTCACTAACAATACAGCAGCATCGGCGTCAGGACATCGGATCAGCTAGTGAAAATGGCCCTGCTGTGGCCACGTCCCTGTCTTCAAACATCCCAGCTGAGGAAGCGCATCCCACGAAATCTTCGACACGTGTCATTAGCCCTGGTCCAGGTCATCAGCATCATCCCTCGAAGTCTCACGCAACCAGCGAAACATCTGCGGCGCAAACCGGAGCTGAACGCTTATCGCAGGCCCAAACCCCGAGACCTGCCGTCGATTCTACATCTGTCAAGTACGAATCTTTTGGTGGCCTAGGTGGCTTCAATGCAGAGTCATGGAAGATTCCAGCTGATGACTCTCCTCCCCCTCAGTGCAAGAGGTTTACCACCCACTCTAATGGTGGCCAAAGTGACGAGGGGCTGTTCTACGAGGATATACATGTGAACTATCATGAGATCCTTCGCCAGAATCGCAACAAGCATCATCGTAACCGCTATGATGTCAGCTTACCGGAGATATGGCTCACATCTCCCACTGAGGAAGCCCATATCACGCAGCCAACCGTGATCTTGGAGGAGCAATGCCCTGGAAGATCCCTCCACGATAATCTTCCTCGGTTCTCTGTGAATGATTGTCCCGCGCGTGATCGTTCAAAGTATCAGCGTCAGCCATCAATGCAATCAGAGGCAAGCAATCTAACCGTACGCCCCTTGGATAATGACTTCTCATCCTGCCGCAACAAAGAGAACTACCCAGATTACCCTCCTCAGTATACTACGCCAAGACAGTTCCATTGGCCGACTGAGCGGGAAGAGGTAGACGAAAACCAGCCCAAAGGGCTTTCCGACATGTTTTACGAAACAGATGAGGGCAAATGCACCGATGCCTGGTTTGCCTCCATGAGCAGCTGGTCAGAACCGAAACGCAACGCGAAATCTCAGGTTGAATCGACAGACAACTACAAAACTTGGCCTCCCGGCTCCTATGATACAACGGAGCGAGCGGCTCATGAGTACCTAGGAAAGCGTCGGTCCATAAGACAAAGTGTCATTCCCGGTTCACCTCCCCATAGCCATGTGCGCAAGGCCAGCGACTCCTTGTCGGTTGAGACGGTCGCTCTGTGGCAGGGCGTTACTCCAGGAGCGCCTACCGCGGAGGTTACAGAGCCAGAATCCCCAGCTGGCGAAGAGGTGAGTGAAATTGCTTGTTGCATTCATCATCCTCGTAAAAAGGGAGCGAAGAAGGGCAGCGGCTCAGCTGCGACGAATTGCTAAATTCTCATTTGTCACTTTTCCCAATCATTCCCTCCACCACTTCTTGCACGTCACTTCCTAGCTGAGTATCCTATTTGTCATTTTCACTCGTCTTCCCAAGTTCTTCCACTTCTCATAACCCGTAGCCATGCGGCTACTATAATGTTTAATTCTGTCTAATAATGTACACCCGACTTCCACCCCTAATCCTTTTCCTTCACCCTTTGCTACACGTACCCTTTATGTTGGACGGTCATTGCACTCTGTTGTACCGAGTGGTGGGACACCATTCTTGTTGTGCACTACTTTCACATATTTTCCTTGCTGTTTCCGGCACGGGTGATGCGACACGATGGTACATCCATCCGAGCTCCATGCCCTTATGAGGTATGTCCGTGAGGGAAGTAGCGGAGATGTACCAACCTTTTACTGAGCTGGTAGGGAAATCAAGGGACCGTCACAACAGTGGCATTGAGTCTATTATATTGATGAGAGAGGCACAAGGAGGGGTCCTAGGGTTTGGCAACCCAATGTAGTAGTCGCGGAACTACTGAGTCTTGTATATGGCAGAGTACTACTACGTCGAATGGTTCTTAGAACATCCCTCATTGATAGACACGAAACAAAATGACAATGTGGCAATTGTCATTATCGGACTCTCCATCAAGTACTTGGGAAACTAGCGAGTGGCGAGCGCTATAGACCTCCAGTTCACATTCGAAGCAGAATAAGTATCCTAGCAACGCTAACCAATCAGTCGACTCGTAAGCCGTAGCATGGCTTATAACAATGCGTTACGTGACCCCTGACGATACCAACGAAAGAACAACCCAAATCGTTCTCGTCGTTGTAAACTTTGCGCAATCGTAGAGTCAAGAGTAGTATTGTCATATACTGACTTTGTTGCCTTCTAGTTTTTGCCTAAATTCGCAGCCCCGGAGCCACTTGGCCCCAGAGCCCGGGAGCCGCTTGGAACCATAACCGAGGAGCCATCTAGTAAGAGAACCCGGGAGCCACTTAAGATTGGGGCCTGGGAGCGCCGCCATGGCCCCTACTTTGCAAAGAGAACGGGCAGGTTCTGGTAGAAGTGCCAATCAGAATGTCACAGTGTCAGAGCGTAAGTTTCAATTCTTAATCACGAGTGGCCTTGTTTCCCTTTCAGTGTTTGATAACTGACTTTTGATAGATATTATATTGGCGGTTCGGATCAAGGGATGAGGAAGCGCTTACGCATTGAAAGGAATAGGAGAGTGAATATTGAGGAAGGAAAAGGGAAAAGAGAAAAGAACAAGATCAGGAGAACCCAAATTGGGTTCAGAGTTTAACTGGTCTTGAGTAGGTATCCCGGTACGCGGATGTTGCTTTATTTATTTGCTTTCTTACACATGGCTTGAAGGACAGGTAGGTAGAGCCCGATTACGTACCATAACCTCCCTTGCTAATCAGGTTTCGCTATTTGTTGCTGGCATAGTGACAGAGACAAGAGACTGTGAATGGCGGGCGTAGTAGGATGGAAGAGCAGGATGAAAGCCCATAACGCGACAACGTATGTAGAACTAGGAAACATGCTTTTTTTTTTACCTCTTCACAATAGCAGCTGGGAAAGAAGGAGATAGTGTTTATTGCTGAATTGCCTGTTTAAAGAGCAAATAGTTGATGACCCAGCCCACGCTTTGGTTTGGAATACCACAACACCCTTTTTCCACCATCCATATCATTGACCGGTTGCTATGAGTAATGTGATGTCTGATCCATCGATTCCCTTCGGCCCAAATGATGATAACTAACAAAATAACTGACAACAGAAAACGCTCTCAAAAACGCTAGAGGTCAGTTGGTGTAATTACCAAAGCCCTGCTCTCGAATAGATAAAAAAAATATATATAAAAAATATCCATAACCGAAACTCGCTTTTGTTTTGAAGACCACAACACCCCAACCCCTACGCCATCCCTATCATTTTCTCTCGTACCTAATACTTTGTAATATCTGAAACAGCCATGTACTTCCATCGCCTGCAATGATACAAACTAACCAAACCACTGACAGATGCACATTCATCATGTATCCATGCCATGCATGAACTGACCATCTTTGTTGCCGTGTCATGACCCCATCTCTTCCTAGACATCGGCACCTGTTCCTGTTTGCGTTTGTGCTGCTGTCCTACTACTAGTTTCTGCAAATGTCGATGGTGGACCTTGTGGCTGGGTTCGAGATAAGGAGAGAAGGGCTTGCTCGGGAGTTGGGAGGTCCACGGCTTGAAAGAGTTGTTCGAAGCGAGCTTCTTGTGGTACCTGTTGCTGTTGTAGTCCTTGTTGCTGCTGCTGTTGTACCTGCTTCTGTGGTTGTCCCGAGTGCAGTGATATTAGCGGTAGCTCCTTTTGCCCGAGCGGTAGACTCCGCGGCTGTAGCTGTTGTTGTTGTTGTTGTT